CATTCTTCTGACTGTCGTCGCACAGCCCTCGCTTTTCGCTATAGTCCGTGGGGGGTGAGGAGGGCGACAAAGACGTGCACACATAAAAGAGAGACTTTCCAAGAATTCGGTCTTTCTTTTCCCGTGAAGACGCTCACCCCATCCTCTCGGAGGATACTGGATGGATGGATGCTATGAGCGTCCCCTTTATAACGGGGTGGTGACAAGTATGCCACCAGGCTCGACAAAAAAAAAAAAAAAAAAAACTTTTTTTCTTTTTATGTTGGCCTAATGCCTCTACTTCGATAAATTCTATCTTAATGAAAAAAAAAGGTAAATTTTCAGCTTAAGTTCTCTGCCATTTACGGCACACTGTCCATATTTTATTTTTCCAATATTTATTTTAGTCCTTTCTCTCTAATTTTCTGCCACCAATACTCTAACCGTCTCTTACTTATTTCAATCGCGGGTGTGTTCAGCTTTCCATTGTTGTCCCTAAAACCCAAGGCTTCCTGTAGGCTCGTGCCCAAACGTACACCTGGGTGGATATCTCCACATTCAATCAGAACATGCTCCGCCGTTTCCTTATCTTTCCCGCAGCATGTGCATTGTTCTTCTTCTTTACTGAATCTTGCTTTATAACTACGCGTTCTAAGGCAACCCGATCTCGCTTCAAACAGTAAAGCGCTTCCCCTTGAATTATCGTAAAATGCCTCCCTCCTTATTTCATTTTTGCCCTTTCGGTAGTTACTCAAAGCCGGTTTTTTCTCCATAGCTGCCATCCAGTAAATCCTCTCCGCCTCCCTGACTTTTCCCTTAACGCTCTTTGTTGACATACGGCTTACAATTCATACTGCCCACCTGTTTTCACGCTCTCCCGCGGTACCGCGCAGCCTTATGAGACTCTGAGGGGAGGAAGGCTTACAGATGATGGTGCATGGTTTGAAGTTAGAAAAGACGTTCCCTCCTGAGGCAAAATGTTTTTGCACGCCGCATTCGGGGAGACAGGGAACCTTCAAATTCAGCGCTTTCCTTATTTCTGTTTAGGTGGCGCTAGAGGAAGATTTTCGTTGTAGTGATAGGAATAATGTAGATTTCTCAATATTCCTGCAGTTCTTGTGTGCGATTCGTGTGCATAAGTATACCAGGAGACCATAACTGTTATATTTTAGGCTATGCATGCTTAGATTTCAGCGCTATTTCAAGATAACAACGATTTTGTTGATGTTTACGGCATGATAAATTAAGACAATTTGCGAGCTTTGTTTCGCATTTCTGCTTCCTTTATTGAAAAACGCTACGTTGAGGAAATAGATCAGGGGTTCTAGTTTATCCACGTGCAAATTCAGCTAACGAACTTCAGTAGTTCTCCGCAAAAATGGGCCACGGTAGGTCTATCTAATAAGAATATTGCCCAGTTTAGATCAATATAATTAAAAAGCGAGCAGGCGTACATAAATAAAATTGAGCACTCAAACGGAAAATGCCATCCTCTATATACACCCAGAAAATGAATTTTCTCTAGCGAATAGGTGCCGGATAGTCCGCATCGACATTTACTAAATTTGGCTCTTTTCAAAAGCTAATCAGCAATACAGTAAAGGCGCTAGAATCATTTGCTACGTTGAGGAAATAGATAAATATGTCTTAAATGTTCTGCGCAAAGAACAGTGCTGTAACTGCAGGAGATTTTTCAGAAAATGGTCACTGCTGACACACAGTCAGACCAAGCCATGTAACTAGCGCTTATTCTTGGCTCTCCCTACCCGAATGCTAAAAGCTTGCTTATTTTTAATAGATATGTTTAAAATGTACAAAAATTAAGCTTTTCAATGACACATAAACCAACTATATAAGACAAGAAGAACAGCCGCCACGTCAGTTGGAAAAGTGACAAAAACGATGTGTTCGTGCCGCCGGAGTGAGACCGCCGCCTTAACGCCCAGAAACAGGGTGGCACACAGTTTTTTACAGGCTTTCTGGTGTTCAACATCACCATCAGCCTGACTACATCCACTGCATGATAAAGGCCTCTCCCATGTTCCGCCAGTTAACCCGGTCCTGTGCTTGCTGCTGCCAATTTGTACCCGCAAACTTCTTAATCTCATCTGCCCACCTAACCTTCTGCCTAGCTCCCTTAACCCGTTTGCTTTCTCTGGGAATCCAGTTAGTTATCCTTAGCCAGCGGTTATCCTGTCTACGCGCTACATGCGCGGCCCATGTCCATTTCCTCTTCTTGATTGATTTGTGGGGTTTAACGTCCCAAAACCACCATTTGATTATGAGAGACGCCGTAGTGGAGGGCTCCGGAAATTTTGACCACCTGGGGTTCTTTAACGTGCACCCAAATCTGAGCACACGGGCCTACAACATTTCCGCCTCCATCGGAAATGCAGCCGCCGCAGCCGGGATTCGAGCCCGCACCCTGCGGGTCAGCAGCCGAGTACCTTAGCCACTAGACCACCGCGGCGGGGCCATTTCCTCTTCTTGATTTCAACTATGATATCCTTAACCTCCGTTTGTTCCCTAATCAACTCTGCTCTATTCTTGCATATAATGGTAGGTGCATCTTACACCTACCATTTTTTCTTTCCATTGCTCGCTACATCGTCCTCAATTTAAGCTGAACCCTCTTTGTAAGTCTCCATGTTTCTGCTCCGTAGCTAAGTACCGGCAAGACACAGCTGTTATATACCTTCCTCTTGTTCAACACATACCACCAGATCAACAATGTTGTCAGTTGAGGAATGGCCGCGCCTGAATCCGGTTATGGATACTGGATAGATTTCGTAGTGCTCTAAATACCACTCAATGTTAGAATCATTCTTTCAATTGTTTTTCCCACACAACTGGCAAGCACGATAGGACGGTATGAGGCAATATTCAAAGAAGATTTACCAGGTTTTAGAAGTCGAATGAGGCGACTTGACTTCCAGACTAGTACGGTTCCCCAAGCACCCGTACCAATCTGCCAGCAGTCGCAAAGGTGTTAAAGTGCCTTCCGGGCTTCGTCTCCAAGATTATGAAGGGCACGGTATGTAATGCCATCAGGTCCGGGTGCTGAAGAACGTCTGCACAGTACCAGTGCCGCTTCTAGCTTATTCATTGAAAACTGGCACTCCATACGGGGATCACGTGAGGGCGGTGGGTTATCGAGTGTTTCCATTCTTGTTTCCGTGAAATTGGACTTGCCGGTAATTCTTCAGAACAATCTGCGACGTCAATATTTCTGCATTGTAGGTGAAGCGCCAGAAGTGTAAATGGGTGTCGCTGACCAATGGTTGTGCTAAGACCACGGACAGTTCTCCATATCAGTGATAGGGGCTTTAGTGGATCCAACGACTTGCAGAAGGATGTCCAACGTCGCCAATCCAGTTTATCTATGTGCCGTTGTACCTTGTTTTGAATAGCCAGCCTAAAACCTTCCATGCACTTTGTGCCTATAGTATACGTTCGGCACGACGACGTATTGCACGAAGTTTCTCAAGCTCGATGTCGAAAACGGTGCACTGCATAACACTACACATTCACTTTTAAACCACACAACAGAGTCACATAATCATAACAAGGTATTCGCACAAACGCCAACTTAACAAGAGTCATGAATTGTGTTCACGTGGCGCAAGATTCATGCGTGATAAGAAGTACGATATTAGATATGCAGGCGGAATTTTATATGAACACGATTGCGTCCTTGTGCAGCTCACGCGTGTTGCTCTGTCTATGATAAAGCTCTCGACTAAATTTGACGTTGCACGCTCAAACTGCCATTTAGGTGCAGCTTGGCGCAGCAGGCCATATTGGCACATCATGGCGCAATCGGCGCAGCATTTCCACCCCTGCATGTTACGCGAATGAACAATTACGGTTAATTGGTTACAGTGACAGCAAGATGATATTTTGTATTGGGTGGGTGGGTCCCGGACCCAATCGTCTGGCTACATCGAAAGTGAACAGAACTGAGCGAGCCAGCGCGCCTGGCTCGTGCCCGCCACCCCTTCTTTATTTGTAACACACTCCCGCGGCCGGCAAATTAGCGCACACTTTAAGAAAGCTTTGAGTGAGTGTGCCAGAGGAGGTGTTACACAGACATGATGAAGGGCTTTGGCGACGGCGGTGAAACATGGGGAGACGGTGGCTTGTCTTGCGAGGGAAGCCGTCCATTCAAGCTATACTATTTAGATGACTTCGCGGTGGCATTGTTTGATATTCTTAATGTTCCATCTCGAGACCCGGTGCGCTTTCTTCTCTGCTTGGTGCTGCTGATAGCGTCGACACAATGCCGAAACTCACGCTGGTGTATTTTTTGCTTCTTGCGTCGCTTGTAATAGGAAGAGTGACTTAAGTCTGCGTTCACAGACTTTGAAGACTTCCTGGTAAGCAGCGTTATCCTTTGGTTGTTGGCGTTTCATGTCAAGCCTCTGCAGGTGCGGCACTAATATGCTCTGCTTGACCCCTTCGGGTGTCAGCTGGTCCTGATCATGTGCCTTGCTTGCAGGTGCTTCCTATCTGAATGAAGACTCCAAAATCGACGAGGATTTTTCCCCTCGCTTGAAGAGGACGACAATGATGCTGAGGCGTATTGGTTCCATCAGGCAGTGACGTCTTCAAGGGCGGGAATCTCAGCTGCGTTTGGAGGCATGTCTACGTGCTCTGTGGCCGGTAGCAGAATGTCAGTGTCCGTCTCAGCGTCGCCAATGATGGCGCACATCAAGCCGACGTTTTCGGGTGCGTGAGTCTGACTTCTGGAGTTTTTGAAGACGTCGCTGCAAGAGTCTCCTGACGACTTGTCGATTATTGTGTGTCCCGCTTTGTGAGACTTCCATTGCGCCGGATCCCTGCATAATGCGCATGACGTAGTGCTGGAGCTGTGTGACGTGGCACTTGTACATCCAGCGCAAGCCTCTGGCGACAGACGACATCTCATGATGTGTGGTGGTGTTGTAGACGGCCATGATGTGCACCTACTTGGTTGAGCGCAGCTCGTAGCAGCACTGCTGCTCGCACTCCTAATCCTCGACCTGCTTGGACTTGAGGGGAGACGAACTAGAGACCCTACCGCCAGGATCGGGCTCTAGAAACATGTAGGGAGAGTTGTAGGGCTCCACGTACTGTTGCTTCTGGGGCAAGCCCTCAAGGCGCACGGTGCCGCGTGACGGATAGTACAAGAGTTCGTCAGGACTCATGTGGGTCATGAAATTAAGACGGACTTGCCAAGCGGCGGCTCAGGTTGTAGGAATTCGGATCTTGGGAGTTGATGCACATGGTGCAGCCGGGGTTTCCCTTAACCGTTGAACTCTCCTTGGCACACCTTCCGAACGAGTCCTTGCACTCAAGCACCGTGGAACACGTGGACAGCGACAGTTCTCCCAGCGTGTACCCGAAACTCTTCAACTGGTGGGGATGGGTTCAAGGTAAAATGTCCGTAGGCTTGTGCGCGACGAACTGCATAGCCTGGGTTAGACCGAAAGGAAATACTGTCAGTGCAGTTGGGAAGCCTTAAGAAGGTAATGTCGCGGTTCGCTGGGACGACGAGAAGAGTCGTGAGGCCGGTTGGTGACGAAGCCGTGGCCTGCTGCGAGGTTGAAGCGATAGGAGTTGACAGACTGGACAAAAACGAAGTCGCAGTGTGCTGCGACATAGAGACGAGAGGGGTCGTGAGGGCAGTTGACTGTGGACGAAGACGAAGTAGCTGCATGCTTCGGTGTCGGGGCGAGAGGAACCGAGCGGCCGATCAGCTTCGACGTCAAAGCGAGAGAAGACGAGAGGCCGGTCGAAGGTGAACTTGCGGCCCGCTTTGACATCAAAGCGAGAGGAGTCGACAGACCGGACGAAGACGAAGTAGCTTCCTGCTTCGATGTTGAGGCGAGAGGGGTCAAATCTGATCGAAGACGATGTCGCGGCAGGCTGCGATGTGAATGCGAGAGGCTTATGGAGGGCAGTGGTAGTGACGGCAGCCAATAGTGGTAGGGTTGGTGGCCACAGCTGTTGCGCGGCGAGCTCTCCCCCGAGCGCAAACAAAGTCGCTGGCTGTGATCAGGTCTGCTTTCAAATCTTCCTAGTGAAGGTAAGCCTGGATCTTTCTGTTGTGACGTCCCCGCAAACACGGACTGAACCCCGGTCCTTTCAAGATGTTTTCGCTCGTTTCTTAAACCCACGCATAAAAAAAGGAAAAGAAAACCTTTGGTGTAACGAATGGGCATTCCGGAGTGAAGTACCTGGAAGGATTATTTCTACTGTTCTCGCGCCCCCCCCCCCCCCCCTGCGCAAACACGAGGACCGGGCGGCGCCTTGTCGTCTACAGACAGTGCGACAGTGTACGGTGGAGGTAATCCGCGTGCACCCTTCAGATTTGTGGCATGGGGGAGCAGCAAAGCACCTTTTGTTGGTTCGGGGAATGCGACCCTGCCGCAGCGCTTGTCCCGGGTCGGGTCTGACTTTTCGTCAACCTCCGTGGCTCCAGGGCTCATTACTGCGTTCTGCGCGGATGGCCACCCGCGGCGTTGAATGACGAAGAAGCGGCGACTACGGAGAATTTCGCGGGAGACACCGAGCTGCATGGAGACGTCGAGACTCCTTCTGGACATCGGCTCATCAAGTACCAGAAACCGGGGAAATTGGTTCGGCCGAAAACTTTTCGGCACAACACTGCAAACTCCGGACGTTGGCCATTACAGGCGCCACACTTTGTCGGAAGCATCAGGACCATTGTTCGCCCGTAATTAAAGTATCTTGGGACAGCTCGCCTATCTCTCTGAGGCTTGAGTTTGTACATTGTTACTTGCTCGGCTTTGTTTGGGAGAGGGTCTTCTACTGGTGTAGGCCGCGGGGGCGGCCTTCGAAGATGATACACTCCGACTGACAAGAAAATATGCTGCGTCGATGGTGGCGATAGGTTTGGTGCCTCGGTAGGGCGGAGTCAGGTCCTACAAAAAGGGACTACGAGTCGATACGAGTCGGAGACGATGCGGTGAGCTCGAGATGGTAGAGAGACGGCATAGAAAAGGAAGACAACGGTGTGAAGAGATAGCAATGAGAGTCGATGAGATTATGACTGAGGCAGGGATGGTATAACGAGGAATGAAAGTTAGTGTTGGGAAACGAGGAAGCTTTAGATGGAAATCGCTGAGGGAGACGAAGAAGACGAAGACTGACAACTTGGACCATTCATGAGACGAACTTTATGCACCCTATTTAGACGAGCTTTGCCGGAAGGGAGGTGGCGTGTTGAGACATTGCGTGGTTTTATTTATTGATAACTTTATCACTTGTGTCATCCTGTGTTTACTGAGTTGAGGTACCCTTGTATTGTCACCGTTACTTCGCTTATGTATCCCGTTTCGCGTGTCACGAGTTCCTGATGTGTTACAATTTCGTCTAACAGATGTCGTTCACGGACAGTATGTGTGTACGCCATTTACACTTGCTATTAAATGAGCCAGTAAACAGAAACAGGTCGTAGAGTCTTACTTCCCGGTCCCAGCACGAATCTCTGTACATGAGAAGTGATTGAGACACATAGCCAAGAGGGAACCAGATAGACAAGGGGTTGAGTGGTCTTCCCTCTTTGGTAATCGGTGGCGTAGCGGGGGGACGTCTCACTGTCGAGGTTCATTAGGTGGGCATGTTTGGCGATGACAATTGCGAGGAGCTCCTGGAGCCTGAAAGCAGGGGTCATTGAGTCAGCCAGAGGGGCGTCGAACATCTAAACGTCCTTTGGGATGGCTTCCGGTAGAAGCCGCGCTGTACTCTGAGTTGGTCCATTGTCGAAGTCGAGGGGCAGACGATCGGGTGGGTTCTGGCACCAGAACGAAGTGCGAGAAACTAAGGGGACCCAGACCTGATCATCTGGCTACATCGAAGGTCAAGGGAACAACTGAGCGAGCCAGAGCCCCTGGCTTGTGCTCGTGCCCGCCACCCCTTCTTTATTTGTTACACCCACTTTAAGCAAATTTATTTGTGGGGGGGGGGGGGGGGGAGTGGGGACAGGTAGTTGAATTCATTCTGTGTTCTGACCATTTCTTTTTTTTGGGGGGTGGGTGGGGTAAGAAGAGGCCGGCAGTAATATTAGGGAGGCAGCTACCCCTCCAATGGTGGCACCACTGATTGGTGGCATCCAGTAAGTATGAGGCGAAGCTTACCTTTGCAAGGACTTTTTCGGGGCAGTCGACAATGGCTTCGAAAGATTCGAAAACAGCTCGAATCAATTAATGGCAGGCATCACATTAATTCGCATCTAGTAGTTCACACCAGCTTAACTGAAAATTCCTTGCTTCAGCTGCTCGTAGCACCATTCTGGGCATCTCCCAAGGCACCCAGAAGAATTCCCTTAGAACTGGGCTTGAGCTCAACCTGTCAACATTTTTCACCCTGAAGTCCTAACGCCTTTCATACACATCTAGGTAGCTTATGGCAATCTGTTGATGAGACTGAAATGAGTCATCAGTGGTTTGCAATTGTGCAAGTTGAGCAATGATTGTGTAGCGTAGCGCTAGTGGTGGCCAGCCGACTAGAGAAAAAGATGACGAGCGCTAGTCGCTGGTGGCGCGAGGCGCCTACAATGTTCATACACTTCTGGTTGGTTGGACACCACGACCACTTTTTTTTTGACAGCTCGCTTCCTGTACGTCTCGTCTCTCATCTGTTCATGAAACCTGCAATGACAGCAAGTCGCCTATAAATTGGCGACATCGGACACACAGACGAGCGACCGACGCTACACAACTGGCGCCGAACTCCGCGGCCATGTTTCAGCTAGCGCAAGCCTGGCAGCCCCAATTCGACCCGCCACTGCCACCATTTCAGACATCAGTCGTAGTTCAAGGAGTTTGCGGCAGCCTTGGATCGCAATGGCATCTGGATCCAACAGTTAATGTACGAGGTATTGGAATATCCTCTTCCACATGACCTCAAATGCCGCCTCACATACTCCTGGAGCCCTCACCCGTACGATGATCTGCGAGACGCCGTGCTCAAGTTTTACGGCATCAAACTGGACACTTCTCCCAAAAACAACAAAACTGCACCTGGCTCATTCCCTTCCAGAACACCTCCTGCCCCGCAGCCAGTCCAGACCATTCCCATGCCAACAACTGGCCACACAGGCGACGGAGACCATCCTCCCACATCTGTCGATCCGTCCACAGAAAGACCCTCACTCAAAATACAAGGCTCCTGCCTTTGATGTTCTGGTTCTGACACCAAAGTCATTGTCATCTCTCTCCCTCGCAGATTCGACGCCTGCCACTGCCCGTGCACCATCTGATTCGCTTCAGAAACCCGGTCGGCTGCACTGTCTGCCCTGGGCAATTCAACAACTTCAGCCGGGCCGGCTGACCTGCCTGCAGACTAGACACCTGTCCCGGCACCTGTGGAGGCCCACAAGACATTATGGACGCTGAGCCCGCTTTCGCGCTGCTCGGCATCAGATTTAACAACACATTCGCACCTGGCACTCAATTGCTCGAAAACAGTCTTCCCAATCATGGCTCCACCTCTTAACACCTCATGTGCCAACTCGGGTTTCCCAGACCTGCCTGCAAGGATTTCCTCTAACCTTTCTGAGGAGTCAAGACCAACGCTCTGTGACCAACCCATAGCACCGACACTATCCAGTGTCGTGGACAGCCACTCCTCATTACATCTGTCGCCTTGTCATCAAGTCGGGCAAAGCAGCATCACGCCTGTACACAGCGCACGACTCATGTTCCGCCCAAAACGCACATCGCATTGTCGATAGACGCACTGTTGTTGGAGCTCCATTAGCCGCTACGCACAACGTTACGCCCACTACGGCGTTGGCATCTCTCTCACCACCAACATTTCCAAGGCTCTTCTCGGCTTTGCTGGCTGCTGCTAGCGACGAGATACCATCAGCGTCCTCACCCGCTGAGTGGCTCCCAGTGACGTCCACCGAACTGTCCGACTTCCGTACGCCTTTCACCCCGACAACCTTCGGACTTCCCAATGAACACTTACAGAAACTGACACACATGTACATAGTGTTTAAATGTTTTTTACTACCTCTTTTCCATTCATATTTTTTATCGCGTAACATGCTAGGCGGGGAGTCCTTGTAGCAGAGCACTTGTGGTGGCCAGCCAGCCAGAGAAAAAGATGAGGAGCGCTGGTGGCTCATGGCGCCTAGAATGTTCGTACGCTTCTGGCTGGCTGAACACCACAGCCACTGCTCTTTTTCGGCAGCTCACTTCCTGTACGTCTCTTCGCTCGTCTGTTCATTAAACTTACGATGACGGCAAGCCTACGTCAAACTCAGTCACGCCGCCAACAAATGAAAGTAACCAAAACGCCTGTATTTAACACATAGAAATGGCACGGAATAAAATATGCAACTTTATATGAAGCTGCTAATACACAGTGTATTCACCCATAAACCATGATACCTTTCATACACACCTAGATAGCTTATGACAATGTATTTTTGATGTGAAAGAGAAGAGCCATCCATGATTTGTAATTGTGGAAGTTGAGTAATGAACAAAAGTGATCAAAATACCTGTATTTAACACATTGTAATGTGTTAAATACAGGCATTTACATGCAGGCATTAAATACAGGCGTTAAATACAGCCTTGAGGTCATGTCCACGAGCAACGTGACATGGCCCAATGATTACCGAATCACCAATCACTACAACAATTATAACTATCCAATCATCACCAAGTAAGAACCAATAATACCGGGTCACAAGGAAGACACAGACTTCCCTTTATTAACACCTCCGCTACATTAAAAAAAAAATGATGGCTACCCTATGGCAGTCTGGATGCATGGCTAGCGGCGGTCACTCGTCTGTCCTGTACAAGCAGTATGCTGAAGACACCCTTTACGTGGCTTCAGCTGCCAACTTCTCAGCCTTCTCACGAACTTCCTCGATGGGACCCACCATGTAGAATGCGACTTCGGGCAGGTGGTCCATCTCGCCTACAGAAAACATTCACCACAGTTGAGACAGTGAACACACCGAATTAGGTGCTCCATTTACTCATGCAAGACAGTAACAGTTTCAACAGTTTCCGAGCAAAAATTTAAAAATCTTACAAATTTACCGTATTTACACGATTGTAAGACGACCCTTTTTTTCAAATTTGACAATCCAATGTTGGGGGGTCGTCTTAGAATCGAAATCGAACCATGTACCTTAGAATCGAAATCGAACCATGTATTGTCATCTCGAATAGTTTCCCGCTCAACCCAAAGCGCATAGTTTTCCGCGTGCTTATACAAAAGCTTTTCTTTTTTTAGCATCTACTGCGCGCATTACGAGTGCCTTTATGACGAGCGCACGGCTCTTGAGGGAGCACCGGTAATCGATGGAAGAGCCGCTGTAGGGGGGTATTGGTAGTTGACGGAAGAGCTCCTCTTTGTGATACAATTTTCTAAGCGGGCGCGTCGCCGCGTGCTCCTGTCGCTTGTGTCCACGACCGGCTCTCTCGAGTCACTTCTGTCTGACATGAGTGCCGTAGGCTCGAAGAACACTCGGCGCTCGTTTACGGCAGCGTTTAAGCGGGCTGCTATTCTTCATGCGGAGGAAACCAACAACTGTGCAGCAGGACGGAAGTTCGAAATCGGTGAATGTGAGGTGCGGAAGTGGCGGCTTCAGCGCGAGGAACTTTTCTCGTGCGACTCCAAGCGCCGTGGGTTTCGCGGGCCGAAGTCTGGCCGCTTTACGGAACTAGAGGCGAAGCTCGCGGCCTACGTGACTGACCTACGCGATCGATCGTTGTTGGTCACCTGCGAAATGGTCACGCAGCAAGCCCGTGTCTACGCTGTTCAGGCAGGGATACCAAGGTGTTTTTTTTTTTTTTTTTTTGAGATGCTATTTTGGGGGGGTCGTCTTACAATCGTGTAAATACGGTATATATGTTCAAGATGGAAAGCACACCAACTCGCCCAATTGTCCGGTCTGATACTGTGACGTTTGTTCGAAAATTCTAACCTTTAAAATATTTGTACAAGCCTAGAACAAATGCTTCACAGAAGATTGGTTTCATTCTTGTAGTCTGCACCCCTAGCCATCTCTCGGGGAACAGAACTCTCAAATAAAACATTTTCCTGGTCCCTTCATGTTCCATTTATTAAGTCTATTGCATATCTTCTCTTTATGAATACAGTAAAAGCTCATTAATCCGAACTCTGTTATTTTGATATCCCACTTAATTAGAAAAATTTCTGCGGTCCAGTATTTTCCAATGTAAATTAGAGTGGATAATTTGAAGCAGCAGCTGGCACCAGTACGGTTAATTCAAAAACTTTGGGCATGTGCCAGTTCCAGATCCCGATTTCGCCGTGAATATGCGGAAACTATGGCCATTATTTGCCACAAGGCAATGCAACATATCGATACTAATGAGTGGCAGCTGAAGCACCCCAGTCTCGCTACTTCCAGCGAAAAAAAAAGAAAAAAAAGAAAAAAACCGGTCTCGTGGTCAACCAAAATGAGCGCCTGGCGAAAACAAGCCCTGCTTCACTGCAACACAGCGGTGACACGCCGGCAGCTTATGGCATGTTTCTCGCAACGTCAGTGGGTCACGGTTTACCTATTCTTTCTGGGATTGTAAAGAAATTAATAAAGAACAGTTTAGCGGAAATCGCGATGTATGCGAACCTGCGATTGCCAGTTGCTCCAGCAATTCGCGTCTTTGCACTGCTGGCGGAGTTCTTGCCAGCAACACCTACTTTAAAAACCAAGTTCGAAAGTTTCAAAGATAATTTTTTTCCAGCCAAAACACACCGTGATCTTTGCCATACTGGCCATTATTGTATTTATAATTATAATACAGTCAAAGTCAAATCTCATTTTGAACATGCTTAATTCGAACTTCCGGTTAATTCAAACTCACGAAGAGGTCCCATAAAAGCTATGTGTATTCCAATGGGTGAAAATGCCCGGCAATTTGAACGCCTAAGCACTTTCGACGTTTAATTCGAACATACCGCGCTCCGAAAATGCTCTCAACACCCCGCCCAATCCCGCGGCGGCACCTGCGACACCTTTTTTAGGCGACTGACACTGCCCGCGAAGGAAATGAAAAGGAAAGAAAAGGTTGCGGTGGAATGTTTGCTCTCTCTCAAATGCTGATCTGGGACGCGCCCGTGTCACGCTTCTCCCTTTTCCGTCCCTGCCACGTAAAGACCCTCCCTCCTTTTAACACTGTGCGCGAAGAGAGAGGATAAAAAAAAAAGAAAGCAGTCGCTGGGTTGAATGAATGTGTGGTTGAAGGAAAGAAAAAAAGCACTATCTTTTGCAGCCCTTGCCCCTTGCGGGAGCACGGCTCTGTGACTTGAGAGGTGGGGGGTTTCTCACGCGCTGGTGCCATGCTCCCCCATTCCCTTCTCTGCCAAGTAACCATTCTCCTTTCAACGACCCGCGCAAAGAGAGCAAAACAAAAAGAAAAATCTGCCGTGGAGTGTTGCTTTTCTCTTGAATACCGATCTGCTTCTCTCCGCGTGGAGACGCTCCTCTTTTCTCTTCACAAGCTGGTCATGCTGCGGCTGCGTAGTGGAGGCTCCGCTGCGCAGCAGTCATTACTGTTGTCATTAGAAAGTACGGAGTTTTAGAATACTGATTGCAAGCGCTGCGAGCGAAACGGACGCCATAAGAGATTTAAAATAGCGTTTGCCCTGCTGCGAACCGCAACGCACGATCGCAGCGACACCATAGCCTCGAAACCAGTGCTTGCGGGCCACATGCGGCCCACCATCACCGCACACGCAATTTCGGAGTTTCTGCGTGCGGTCCGCGAACGCGAACGCCTACTCGCGTTACGACGCATGCGCAGTGGCAGCGACCGCACCCCAAGGGCTCGCGGTGCGCTATTCTAAAGCTCCCTAGTGTCAGCGCTGGACATTTCCGCGCGCAACTTTTCTTGCCAGGAGAATGCTGAAGCCAAAGTTGAAATGCTTTGCAAGCTGCGTGCAAAATTGACTGACTCGCTGCAAGGCAAACGCGAGCAGATGCGCATCATCGATTACTTCAATTTATAACAGATGTCCTGCGATTTGTGAATAAACAAGTTTTTCTAAACTTCCCCTCGTCTGTTAACTCTATGCACATGCGCTACTGCATGGAGAACCTTCCGTTTATTTAGCTTTCATTTATTTGAACTTCTTTAATTTGAACAAACTTTCAGGCCCCTTCGAGTTCGAATTATCGAGATTCGACTATAGAAAGAATGTGCGAATCGTCACATCATGACGTGCTGACGCAGCGAGGAGCCGGCGACATGATGCCGCGTGTCACTTGTGTTGTAGTGAAGATTTCTCGTTTTCTGCAGGCGCACATTTCAGTCGATCACGACCGCGTTTCCTTTTTTTTTTCTTCCGGTGGCAGCAGTGAGGCCCATCGTTCCTCCATGTCCGCGGCAAAATAAAGACCAGGTATTGCTGGAAACATAACCTTTGGAGCCGCAAGGGCTAGCACAGCAAACGACAAGCACTAATCTGATTAGTTTGAATTATTTTAAGTTCCTTGCATCCCACTTTTTGTATGTTCTGTTAATTCGAAAACCTGCTTAATTTGAAGCTTTCTAGCCGTCCCAGTGACTTCGAATTAACGAGGTTTTACTGTGTATGGACAAGTGGGTCGTATCAAGGTAGAAAACAACTGAGAGCCAACATCATGCCTGACAACTTTGCAGGATGATAATTCGGAAGACCGCAGCAAATGGGGGGGGACGGGGGCTGGAGAGTTTTTTTTTTTCCGGTATATCTGACATTATTGAGGCAAGACACTTGCAACACACTGTCTTTGCTTCCACACACTGCGACTACGAAAGCACGGTGGTTCAAGACCTCCATGGTTGAGTTTTCAGCATCTGTAGCCTTTTCCCCGACGATGGCAGTTCTCGTGTGTTTGCACCCATACCGCTTTGCACCCTTCCGCATCGGGAGCATTTTCCGAAACAATGGTCCTGCCTGATCACTTACGCTCAGCAGCGAGCTGTGTTCAATCTGCGCCGATTGTGCCGTCTTTGCAGCTCTTTTGGAAGAAACTTCTGATGTTGTCCTGCCCTTTCGCAGAGCAAACTTACTTTTGATGCTGATACGTCAGCCTTGCCACCGTGCAAACATAACTAATGCACGTAGTATAGAGAATCCATATTTGCCACTTTTCCACAAAATCGCAAGGCACAGAAACTCAGTAGTGCGAGAGTCCAGAAACACTTGCCTCTTTACTTTTGAAACTGCCATCGACCTTCTGACTGAACTCATGGAAACGCAGAACCCTCAAAACCATGTAACAAATACAACTGACGCCTAGGGAAGCGATGAAGGCCTAATGTACAACGCAAGACAGACTGATGCAAAATCTGTTGTCACCTTTCGATACGATGGTGACAGTCTCATGACCGCCGGCCTTTGCCCAGATGCACAGTACTATAGTGCCTAGAATATACTTAGCGGTACTCTACGGTATGGTTATAATGAACCACAAGTATAGTGGCAAGTGCTATTTCACAGCACTTCAACCGTCGCAGCCGGAAATGCTGACATACACAAGTGAATTAAAAAAAAGAAACGGCTCTGCAGTGGCTTTTTGAGAGATTCAAGATAGCATTCATACAATCGGGAGATTAGGTGAGAATTTGGGAGTCTCCGGGACAATTTGAAAGAGTTAGCAGGTATGCAACATTTTGACTCGGGTGTGGGTACAGGTCTAGTAGCTGTAGCAAAACTCACTGTTGGGCTAGTTTGTGCATGTCTGAATTCAATAGTCAATTTTGCTACAAAATATCGACCACACTGCAAACGAACGTCCTATCTGTGTTTTCCTCGTCTGCAGTATGATTATATGATCATGATTTTGGTGCGAAATTGACTACTGAATTCAGTCTAGTAGCTACAGAAATGTAATGCTTCTTTTGCTCATACACTTCTGAAATAATTCCCAGGTCCTTGATTCACTGAAGGCAAAATACTGCTAAGGAGAGCACAACCCTTTATAACAGGATTGTTGGTCGATTGATGGCCTCTAACATTTTAGGAAAACAACTCAGATTCAGAAAGATGCAAAGTGGAGTAAGCTAGAAGCAAATGCTTCCAATCAAGTCTTGTATCATCACACGCAATCTGCAGACACTTACAACTTCGCAGTTAAATAAAAAGGCCCCACCCCTAAAGAAGCAGAGGCTTTAAATAATGTTTCAGATCGCAGAAGTTTGAAAATAAAAAAGAGATTTCCGGGATCCGCAATTTCAGATCTTTTCATACATTGACGTCTACAGGGCCGATCAGCTACACCGAGTTCGACTGCTTTGTCTGCCAAATCAGTTGGGCCACCACAGAAGTTGAAAGCAGAGATGGAGGAAATAGTCTTTTCCTTTCACATGTAAGGTGTTACTACACTGAATTGGTTACACCAAAACATGTAAATAAATAAAATTTTATCTCTTCATTGGCTCATTTTTGATAAAATTAGGGCACACTATCCCTCCAGCACTTCAAGCTAGACAAAAAAAAAAAAACACTTCCATGTTCTTATCTCATAAGAATGTACTTAAGGAGTACCTACAACCAGTTCCCACCAATTTCACATTTAAGTATTAGAAAAATATTACTCAAATATTCAACAACTATTTCGAAAAAGATTCAGTTTGATTCGCACCCAAACTCCAATATTCAAATTCGCTTCACACCAACAATCTTGCTATTCGCACAGCTCTAGTTCTAAATGAAAATTCCAGTTACGAGAGCAAAGCTTTTACAGTACTGCAAATGCTTTAAATGCATGCATCTTGGCAATTCACTACATGATTAATTAAAGATTCTTTGCTCTTTCTTTTGGTGTTTTCCAGACAGTGCTGAATTATTCAAAAAGTATTAGAAAAATATTCGGCAATTCAAATGTGTGCAATTCAGTTATTGTACCTAATCGATTTTATGTTTCTTTGTTATTTGTATTTGTTATTCAAAATTTTGAATATAAGCACAGGAGTGGGCACATATTCGAAAATATTAACACCTTATCAACAATTTAGTGAGCAATTTTAATTATGTACAATCTGCCGAGAATGTTTACGTACCATTCAGGATTTGCTTGAAACCAGTGATGGTGTCATTGATCGGTACGAACTTGCCCGCCTGGCCTGTGAACACTTCGGCCACCTGGAAAGGCTGCGAAAGGAAACGCTGGATCTTGCGGGCGCGAGACACTGTCAGTTTGTCCTCTTCAGACAACTCGTCCATGCCCAAGATGGCGATGATGTCTTGAAGAGACTTGTAGTCCTGCAACATAGCACGATTATGAAAGGACCCGACTAAACTCAGTCATCCGTCATACACTCAAAGAATGTTTGAAAATGCACATTCAATGCAGAAATTTGGGCTACTTAGTAGTAACTGAACTCGTACATCTTAACAGTGCAAAGCAACACTCATAAGAAGAAACACAGGACTAGGGTGGGCCCCACATATCCACTGACAGTTTACCAATGCAAAACAACAATAATGCACAAGCATGCGTAGAACTTGCAATGAGGTGCAAATTGTGGTGCTAACGCAACTACGTCACTTCAGATAAGCCTTCTTGGCGTGCAAAGTCAGTGACGGTGTGCTCACAAATTTATTTGATTATAGACCGATGCAAAAAGCTTCAAATTTCGAGAGATTGCCGAGAAGCAAAACTGTTGCTTCATTGCACGATTGTTGCTTTGAAATGTTAAGTTCACTTGTGAAATGCCACTCTGCAAAGCAAGTCATAGAACATGCATGTAGTGCACTTATAATACTTTAGTGCACGAGAAAAACTTCTTAGGAAAAACCAAGCCAATTTTTTAAATTTTACATCACAGGCAGTCTAACAGTGCAAGTTTACTTTCAGCACCATTTTGCAACATCTGGGGCAGCTAAGCACTCGAAGGTGGACCTGCCTGGAGAATCTTCTGGACGCCACGAGCAATGTCATAGTGCTCTTGGCCAACAACGTTGGGGTCCATGATACGAGAGGTGGAGTCCAAGGGGTCCACTGCAGGGTATATTCCGAGTTCGGCAATACCTCGGGACAGCACAGTAGTGGCGTCCAAGTGCGCAAAAGTGGTGGCTGGCGCAGGATCTGTCAAGTCATCGGCCGGCACGTAGATGGCCTGCACGAGAGAATAGCTTGTTGCAACAGCATGACCCCCCAAACCCAAAATGTAATGCTACTATGAGCTCACTGAACTTTCCAGCAAACCTACAAAATACCATTACATACATGTTACTGAGCCACAGTCCCCATGGTGAAGTCTCATGGGGAGAAATTTTAAGCACTTGCAGTCTTTTCTTTCTCTAAATGGCAGCTAAAACGACATTTTGGTGCGGGCTCGGAACGAATTACACACTCTTGAAGGTCTCTATTACTTTCGTGTAAACCGGACTAAGGTCAGCCTCCCCAAGTTAAGGGGACCAAAACAAGAGGAAAAAAAGTGAAAACCCAAAATTGCAGAAACATTTATTTGTGAATTGGGCGCACCTCACCCCGATCTTTGGAGCTCACCTTCAACCACCATTGCAGCTGTTCCTATTTGTCAGACGAAGCACCACCACCTCCCACAGTGCATCGTTTTTCGTGCAATCCAGCGAGCTGCGGATGCACCATTTCTTAAAAGCATTTTCCACCATGAAATCTGGCAAGGAACGCCAGGCGGAAAGCGCCCAGCCGCAGACAGTCGCAGGCGAAGGGCTCTGTAGACGGCCCATCGACATCTCTAGGTTGTCGCCAGATATCCACTGGCGACAGCCCCCACAGCTTGTTTAGCACAATTTCGAGTGGCTGGAGGGTAGACGTCATACCACCTGGTATCATGACGAGGTTTGTTTTAGGGGCGAAGCTCCTTAAGGAGTGGGCTGTGCGTACCCTGTATGTAGCTACCTCTCGTTTAGTTCTTGCAGTGTTCACTAGACGGCGGTACCGTCGCCTGTATGTAGCCACCTCTCATTTAGTTCTTGCAGTGTTCACTAGATGGCGATACTTGTAGTTGATTATGAAAGATGCGAGATGTTATAAAATAGGAATGATGTCACATATGGCGCATGTCATTGGTGGAAGGCAATCTTTCAATTTAGTGCGGCAACCTACGCTAGGGGGAGCGTTGCAATAAAATCGAGTGGGCAAAATGTACGGAGGATTCATGGTTTACCTCCGGAGCTTCGCCCACTCATCATCATTCACTTCGTGGATATGGCCGCACTTTTTTTCATCGCCGAGTGCACGTTTCACAGTGTCGGTCAGGTGACCACGAAACGCAACCAACACAAACATGCTGAGAGGACGCAGTAGTGCACCTGGCCAACGGTTCTAGACTACTTGTATCCATTTGAACATCATGGCCTCATCCGTGTATCCTTTATTGTTGACGCGAACGACAACAGTGGGCGGGAACGCTTCCTTTGGCATTGTTTATCGGTTAAAAATGAATAAGGGCAGAAGCTTTCTACTGTCTGCTATGCACACCAGTAGGATGGTGAAACGCAAGTGTTAGTTGCCAGTGGACAACAGCTTCACATCCTTGGCACGGCGCTGTGCGATCGACAAAGGCATGTCAAATCACACAGGGGTCTTATTGACATTGCTACTCTACCCTATCATGTAGTTGTTCTGCTCCCAAAGCTTGTTCACGAAGCGCTGAAATTTCATAAGCTTGTCCTCGAACTCCTCCGGCAACTTCCGAGAGATGGATGTGCGCTGGCGGAGGGGAAATTCTTTGCGTCTCTTGGATCGATGCACCCAACAGTTTGGTGCATGGAACACTTTCCTCGCGAGTCAAGCTTCTAGAGCGAGCTCCACGGCTTTGTTGCAAATGGTATCCACAGTCACTGGCAGCGAGCGTGGACAAACTTCCCGCACAAAGTCCGCTAGCGTATCCTCCAGCAGCGGATGAACCGCACTTCATCCACGAAATGACATTTTCCGAGGATTGCACATCTGCAACTTCCCTTTCTGCGCTCTCCAAAAGCGCACACTTTTTCCAAAACACCGAAGTTGTGCTAAGCAGCCATGTTGCCATTCGTTTTAATGAACTCAACATTTATTTTAAACCCAGCGGACAACTGCCTCTTTGTGCCAATACTCATATTCAGTGAACGGAAAAAAAAACACTATAAATCAAACTCAACGTCAAGCAGAGCAAGAACTCTGAACAGATAGGAAGCACATCACGAACACAAAGAAACTCTAAAAATACCGTATTTACACGATTGTAAGACGACTCGAATGTAAGACGACCCCCCATAAATCGCATCGCAAAAAAAAAAAAAAAAGAATGCGCGCATTTTACACAAGGGAAATTTATTCACGTGGTTGCGGAGGATTATTCATCGTCGCTGGAGTCATCCTCGCTGGTGCTGCTGCCGTCATTGCTGCTGCAGTCCCACAGCACGTCGACGTCAAGTGCGAGTCCACACTTCGCGAACGACCGCACCACGGCATCGCGTGGGACGGCCGCCCATGCGGAGAGGACCCACCCGCACACAGTAGCCAGGGAGGCTCTCCTCACACGCCCGCTTGGCGTAAGTCCGCGGCTTCCTGACGAGCGCCGAGTGCCGAGTGTTCTTCGAGCCTACGGCACTCATGTCAGACAGAAGTGACTCGAGAGAGCCGGTCGTGGACACAAGCGACAGGAGCACGCGGCGACGCGCCCGCTTAGAAAATTGTATCACAAAGAGGAGCTCTTCCGTCAACTACCAATACCCCCCCTACGGCGGCTCTTCCATCGATTACCGGTGCTCCCTCAAGAGCCGTGCGCTCGTCATAAAGGCACTCATAATGCGCGCAGTAGATGCTAAAAAAAGAAAAGCTTTTGTATAAGCACGCGGAAAACTATGCGCTTTGGGTTGAGCGGGAAGCTATTCGAGATGACAATACATGGTTCGATTTCGATTCTAAGGTACATGGTTTGATTTCGATTCTAAGACGACCCCCCAACATTGAATTGTCAAATTTGAAAAAAAGGGTCGTCTTACAATCGTGTAAATACGGTACCTGGTATTAAGGAGCAGACTGGTCTTAGACATTTTTTGTTTATTTCTTCAGTGATATTGATCAAACTGCACAGGGTTATGCAGTGTTTTTCTGCTGATTTCAAATATTTAATTAGTTTTCCTGTAACTTATCTTGTTCCTGAGATAACTTAAGGTCACCCTCTGTTCTTTAAGGCCACCATAGAAAAAAAAAAGTGCTTAATTAAAGTGATATTTAAGATATGCAAACAGACTAATGACTATAAAGTGAAAGTATGCAAGAGTTTGTCTATAGGCCTTTGCTGGTTATTTTACAGCAAAATGAACTATCCATTTTCAAAAGCAGTTGGAATTGTGTTACAATTTCGATTAGTAATTAAGAAGGCTGGTGCTCTAAATTCTGCTCCCCCACTTGCATTCTACACACATACAGGTTTCCACTGCAAAAAGAATTGTTGTACCTGCCCTAGCTGCAGAGATATTGAGGCCTCAAAATTGAACAGTCGTGAATTTACTTTGAGTAAAATAGAAAATACTGAAAACACAATCATAATGTGCATGTTTTGCAATCCTCATAAAGGCACTCATAAATTGGTAAGAGAGCTTCAGACACAGGTGCTGGCATATTATAAAGAAGCCTCAAAGTCTGTTCCCCATTTTTTTGCAGGTTCTGCATGTTAACAGCACCAAGAATCTGGACAATTAGAATGACATTACAAAAAATTACTACTTCTTGGTGTGTGAAATTGCAGAGAGAAAATACTTGCAGCAACCAAATGTGTCAATTTCAAAAAATTAATATTTGTCACTTTTTAGTCTCAAAGACCAGTCTGCCCCTTTAAATTTGGATGTGGATATGGCTGTGTCTGGCTTTTCACACACATGCAAGCCACACGTTGCCAGACGGCGGCGCATTGTTGACTAGACACCGCTATAAAAGACGAGGGGCAACTCTTTACCTCGTTTTATGGAAATATCTCGAAATATTCCAGTTTATACGATATGTTGTTGAACTTGCTTGATCACTGCAACTGAAGAGGTAAAAGAAAAGTTCCTGAGTTGTAGAAAAGACAAACGCAATGGTAAACATTTATACTACATCAAACCTCATAGCAAAGTAACATCTGCCACAAAAATACTTCGCTATATTCGGGAATTCGTTAAACCATCATTTATAACACTGTTACAAAGCTCTTCTTCACTTCGTTATATAGAATAATTCGTTATAACCGAATTTGAAACCTTAAGATTAGAGTGTACTGTACGCTGTCGATGCCAATGCAACTGACCAGGTCAAAAAACTGAATGAGCACTCACAATGCAGCCATGATGAGTCTGATCACAAAGCAAAGCCTTTCCGATTTGACGGCATTGTTAATTAAGTGTCAATTGACAACAGTAATCTGAGTATAATAATGCTTAGAAATTTGTGCCCACTGTCAATTCACAGGAAAAGTGCTCACCACTGCGAAAGCCAGTCACAGCAACAAGCAGTTCAAACTGTACACGGTACACACAACTTGTGCAAGAATTAAGCCGACATTTTTAATAAGGAGAGATCTAAGCTTGACTAAAATGTGCTACGTTGAATGAATTGTTGGAAAGAGTGAATGAGGAGGGAATTAGGTTTTACAGTATACTGACAATGCCATAAAACCTCAGCCTCATTTGTAAGGCACAGAGACAGGTACGACGCTGCAAGAATTCTGGGGTAAGTGATTTAGTAGTGCAGATATGCACAGAGAAATGCTGAAGGGGAGGAACCAGGAGAGTTGCCTACCTGTACAGAGGTGATGGAACCTTTTTTGGTGGTGGTAATACGTTCCTGCATGGTACCCATGTCAGTTGCCAGTGTAGGTTGGTAACCCACAGCTGAGGGGATACGACCCAGAAGGGCAGACACCTCAGAACCAGCTTGGGTAAACCTGCACATCGGTAATATGGCGATAAGAGAGTTAATGGCAGGATGTTGAAAATAGCATGCAAACGAACTAATCAGCAAAATCACTCGCAAGATGAGTCAGCTGTACGAGCCATTTAAGCAATGTCGAAGACATCTCCACATTTTTTTTTTCAGTATCCTAAATAGAAGAGGAATTAAGTGAATACATGGATTTAAAACCACATAAGCAGCTAACAAAATATATTGAAAAAAGGAAAACAAAAAGGAAACATCGAAGAAATTGAATCACAGAGCACAGTCAAATGCATTCACCAACGTAACATAGCTGAATACATATTCACGAGCGCAAAAACAAAGAAAAAAGTAATTGAGAAAACACTTATAGAAATTACGTCAAAAATATTAAATATATATAGCAAAAAAACTGTAAATGAAGCGAGGACAACCAAACAAAGGTTAGCAATGTTCCTAGCTGTACAAACAGCCCTGCTGCATCGAGTGAAATATGGAAGGATCTGTTACTAGGGTGATGTTTGGTGGGAGAGAATTCCACTCTTATGCTTCATTGAATTGACAATGTAAGCAAACTTGCCAGGTGCTTAATTTCCAGTGGTTAAAAGAGGAACCAGCTCGAGTGAGTCAATTTCTGACAAAAGTGCACAAAGACACTAAAAAATAAACGAAAAAGGAAAAGCTCTTTAAGGGGGGAAATGGCAATTAAAACTGCATCAGTTATTTACTGGAACAAATTTATAAAATTTGGCACACTGATGCAATTTCCTATGCTGATATCAATAAAATCTAGGCTTGTGCGAACAGTGAATTTTAGGTTCGAAGCGAATTCGTAGCGAAAAGTGATTTTGATCACATAATTTCGAATTGAATGTGAATGGCATTTATGACATAATAAAAAAAAGAAGTATTTATCATAACCTAACTAACCTGCACAATATTTTTCTTTAATTGAAACAGAAGCTCTATGCAAATGTGATTTTTTTCTTTTTTGGTTCAGAGGAAGTTGAAACAACCATTCATTCCCCAATTGGCTAGACAATTTTGGTAGCATACTTACTTTTAGCAAGGCCCACTGTGCACCTTAACACTATTATTTTTTTAAGGTCTAAACTAGCACCAAAATTATTCCTGCACTCTCGGTAATCATATTTTCTTATCTACATCCTTTTCACAAATACAATTCTATAATTTTTTCATGTGTACAAAGAAAAATGAATAGCATTATGGTGCTCACCAATGTTTCAGAATCTAAGTGCCAAAACAATGATTCTAGATTCATTAGTTATAAAGCATCACTGGAATGGCTGAAAGCAACTGCACAAGAAATAGAAGCTAAGAAAACAGAACTCAATTTTATTTCATGAAACTGGTCAATTTTTAACTTTGAGCACCTATAACCCACCTGGGATGTGGTTCTTTGTATATGCAGTTTCTTTTCATTTCAATTGAGTTTTTCGCTTCTTTGGAGCAGTTTTCAGCACTTTGGTCAACTTTGTGACGCGCCATGCATTCTTTTCAGCAGCCCCCCGCAAGGAGCACGATCCTGGAGAGTACCCAAGTTGTGGTGTACCTTCTTTTAATGCTCTCCCACATCCAGCATCAAAACGGCAAACTGCATCTCCCACAGTACTCAACGCTTAAAAGAGAGGCAAACTGTTTTTGACTGGAGTGGGCAAATCACTGTTGAGAGACTCAATGGCATTCTGTATTCTGCCTTGCCAACATATTTCCAGAAGCTCCCTTGAAGAAAAGCACTTGTATAGAGGCAGAAAGCTGCAGCTTGTGTGCAGTCGCTGGTTCCCCCGAGGCAGCAGCAGCATTAAACTTGCACCATGAATTCACACCAGTAGGGCAGTGCTCATGGTGTGGCTCGTTACCAGTTGATGTGACGTGACAAAATGTAGCCATAATGGCCTTCTCCATCGCAGGCACATCATTGAGATTACTTTTTATGGCCCATCCAAATAGCTTTTTAATTAAGCCATGAGTGAGACCTCTTCCACACATGATGAGCTCTCTGTCCTCGCTTTTTTTTTTCCAACTAGGTTTCGCAAAGCTGTGCCTGTTCTTTTTAAATGGTTTGCACATTCTTGCTTTTGTGTGGGTACGAGGCCATGCACCTTATCCTTGCTGAGGGAAGTAAAGGTGTGGCATCGTCGCAAAATATATTGGTGTTGCAAACCCGAAAGAAAGTCCAGTTTCAAAATGAACTGGGGCCCTTCCACACTAATGGCAGCAAAATCTGAACAGTAGCTTATTCATCATCATTTGAGTGCTATAAAAATTATGCCTGAAAACAATATCATTGTCACTTTTGCAATCATGTAAAAGTTCAAATTTCCTTTTGTGGCCAGGGTAGTTGACAATGCATTCAAAGCATCCGCTCTCAATCTCTCCATTAGTGACATTTGGAGCCATAATCTGCTGCTGAATACTCGACGTGCGAACATTACGATTGCAGATGCAACGTTGCTTTTGCTCACAGAAGCGCGGTCACCACTGCTTGTGGATGCATCAACACTACACGCAGATTCATAATCTCGGCACATGAACTCTTCAACACCGCATGCAGATATGCACGGAGAGGCATCTCCAATACACGTGGGCGGGTCACAAGCACTGGTTGCATCATCAGTGAAGCACGCACCATCAGCACAATTCGTGGTTGGGTCGTAATCGGCACATACAGATGCGCTGTCACAGTCACACATTGGCGAGCTGTCCCTATCTCCCACGTGCGCCAGCTTTTCATGGTCGGCGAGTCCAGCGCGTTTGCTTCCGTGTCCAGTTTTCTTTTATTCTATGGCGTTCAATTCTCGTACCCTTGGACTGTTCGGTACTTCGCTCCTTTGGGACTCTTCGCAGAATACACATGTGGCGATCAACACAAGAATGAACAAACACTCAGCAGCCAGGAGCGGCTCCCTCCAGTGCAAATGTGCACAAAAGCCATTCAAATCTTAGACAACCAATAAGAGTGTGCCAAGAGCCCCCACGTGACGATTGCAACCAATGAAAGTGGTCAATGGCACTTTTGCTCCAATAAATATGGCGCTGCGGCTATCTTCAGCTTCAATCTCTCCTTTTCACAATGATTCGAAAATGGTGGCGCTCTGTCGAGCGAGAGCCGCGGAATTCGCAACGTGGCAGCACCTCCTGATTGTGTGACTTAACATCTTAAAACCCCCATACGATTATGAGAGATGCTGTAGAGGAGGGCTCGGGAAATTTCGATCACCTGGGGTTCTTTATTAATGTGCACCCAAATCTGCGCACACCGACCTACAGCATTTCTGCCTCCATTTAACATGCAGCCGGGATTCGGTCCCACGACCTGCGGGTCAGCAGCCGAGTACCTTAGCCACTAAACTACCGTGACAGGGCAAATTATGAATCAATGTCAGGGTGATAGGATCGTTCAGCCCTAAAGTGAAGCTTTAGGGCTGTGTGAATTTCCCCTGAAAAGATTTGTTCACGGTTATAAATGTTTATTACAGTCGAACCCCGCTACAACGAACGCCGCTTAAACGAAATTCCCGCTACGAAAAATTCACGGTTCTTTGTCAGCAGCCCATAGGAGTCAATGCATAAATATTGTCGCTACAACGAACACTTTCTTCTGCAGTCCCGCTTCAACGAAATTTCACGATGCGATTCCAGGCTCCGATATTTATTGCTATACAGTAAACCTAATATTACTTTAACATTTTGATGGATTTTCAAAACCTGAAAATGCACGAATATGTTAAACATCGGGTGTATAGCCGCAGACGATCCGAAGCTGAAGCTCAGTTGCTTAGTTCATGGTTTCTTTCGCGCAGCTGCTGGGTGCATCTGCAGAATGATGCCTTTTCCAATTCCAATGCTTATCATTTTGTTCGTGCTTGGCTGGTGTGGCAACTAATCAGAGTGGCTGCTCGTCTGCATTATCAACAAAATCAGCTAGCCACGAGTGATGGATGATAAGAATGGCATAAAATAAGGCAAAAGTCGCCGCTCCACGATACCTTGCTGCCATCTCGGCGTTTTGACGGCGGACAGCTGCTGGTGTTAACGTGTTAATGTAACTGATTCGTTCACAAAAGCGGTTGTAGTCATTGTTTCAGCATGCTTTTCACCATGGCCGCACTATGCATGGGTGAGAATCGCGTCGTGATGCTGCTGGGATAGAATAAAAAGCAGTGGACAATTTTTGAATTTTGAGAATAAATGTTCCTTCGTTTTGCTAGTTCAGATCGGCTATATTTTTTCGATTTCACTACAACAAAATTTTCGCTTCAACGAAATTTTTTCTGCACCCTTTCAGTTTCGTTGTAGCGGGGTTCGACTGTAGTTCATTTCGAATACTTCAAAATTGTGTTTTGAAGCAAATTTGAATACTGTAACGGATTGCGGAACTTCAGAGTTCTGAGAGACGTAGTTATTCATGCAATATTTTTAGTGCTCAAATATTCGCACAAGCCTACATTCAAGCGAACGAATTGTACCAGAGCCTGTATATCCATACCTGCCAACCTAGCAGCACGAAAATTTGGAAGACCTTCGCAGGCAGGAAGGGGATGCACCAAGGAAATTACCGAGACAGGTATTTGCGAGCAGCTGTCAATGCTTTTACCAACTGCGATTGTGTAAGAACGACGTACAGTGAAGTATCGATAGAACGAACCCTACATTAACGAACTTTTCGGATTAACAAACTTTCAAGAAATCCCGCACTGACTGCTAATAGTTTCAATGTAAAATTATTTCACTACTACGTACTTCAGAATACCGAACTCTTCAGAATAACGAGCGTTAATTTAGTTCTGCATTATATTAACAACGCCTCAGTACTACGAACTTATGTTCTGAAATTCGTCGCGACCACCGGAGCGGTATGCAAGTAGACGACAACGAATGGATGCGTTGCTCTTCAGAGACGCGTGACGGTGTGGAGGGAAAAAAACGAACGGACGACTTTCTTTTCTTTCTTTTTGTTGAAACTGCGAGGCTGCAGGTTTACAAGCGGGCGCAGAGTCAAGGGCAACACTGAAGGGCAAGGTCAGCGAGGCAGAGTGGGAGTTGCGGAGCAGGAAGCATGGGCGCTGAAAACCTGAGACAGCGAGAGCAGGAAACGAAACGCTAGGAATTTCTTTTTTAGCGCTTTTTTTTTTTTTCAGAAGAAGCGATGAACAGCTGTGACGCTTCAGGTTTTTTTTTGGAGGCCTTGTTTTTTCAGTCGTGTTCGTCTCTTTTCGGTGATTACTTATCGCGTCCGCAAAGCAAGCCTGTGCTTTCGCTGAGATGACACTTCAAATAAGTTCATCTCTGCTTGCGACGAAGAAGCGGAAGCAGTTTTCGCTAAGCGAGACAATGGATATTCTTCGGCAACTGGAAGGCAAAAAGCAGATCAAAGTACCGAATCGCACCCCAGAAATGTGGATGAGCTGGAGGCCTTTGCGCTGCAAAGTTTGTGCTGTTCGTGCAAAAAAAAAAAATCACAAACTTCTTTGAAGTAAACATGCATTTTTTGGTGTTTACTTGCGCATTTGTTTTTTTCTCGTGACCCACCGTTGTAAAGGTGGGTCATTTGTGGTCGGTGAAATGTAAGTATTCAAAGTTAATTTTCGAGCTTTCACTATAACGACCCTTCAAAATAACAAACAAATTTCCACGGTCCCCTGAAGTTCGTTATACAGAGATTTCACTGTGTCAGCCTACACTTGTGTTTTCAGCATCTGCAGCCATTTTCCCAACGATGACAGTTTGCGCAAGTCTGCACCCGTACCGCTTCATGTCCTTGCACTTCGGGAACAGTTTCCGAAACAATCTAGCATCTTCCTCGGGTATCCCATGAACAAGCAATCTGCGAGAGTCGCGCTGTCCTCACAGCTTTTTAGGAAGAAACTTCTGATGTTGCCCTCAGCACGAACGCAGTTCTGATGCTCCTGTGAAGCGATGTACACCTCTACGTCGGCCTTGCCATTGTGTGAAACGCTTACATCAGACACGTGCTTCAGAATCTGTACTTGTCACCTTTCCGCAAAGTCATAAAGCACGGAAACTCTGCTGTGTACGGGTCTAGAAACACTCGAAACAGCCTCTTTGCTAATCAAACCATTATCAACCTTCCAACTTGACTCTGGGAAGCACGCAACCCCCACAACCACCTAGCAAACACAACTGACACCTAGGCAGGCGGAATACGCCTAGCGTACAAAATGCGGAAACCATGACAGACAGACGCAAAAGTCATTGCACCTTTTTTCTTTTGCCTTTGTTTGATGCAGGTGGCCACACGTCTCGAGGTCACCGGCCTTCACCCGGATGTGCGGCGCAGACTTCGAGGTACTCTACAGTATGGTTACAATGTGTACCGTATTTACTCGATTCTACCGCGCCCTCGATTGTAACGCGCACCCGATTTCCACCGCGAAAAAAAAAAAAAACGTAAGACATCGATTGCAACACGCACCCTTTTTTTTTGCTGGCCCGCACGATCACACCACTCGAAAAAACGATTCCTTTCGGGATTGTCTTCCATTTAAATATGAGGTATGAGGCAAAGCTTGTGCCCATCTGACGTGTAACAGAGCATTGCCGTCGCTGTAGTTTTACCGTGGACCGATGTCAGCACGCGAACTTGCTTCGCCCCCTTCTCGACAGTTGTGGTGCCAGGCATGTCGAAGTAAGGAGGCGTCTGATCGGCATTCCAGATTTGCCCAAGCAGGTAGCCGTTGTTGCGCCGCAAGTTTAGGACGAACCTCTGAAAACTGTAAAGCTTTTCATCGTACTTCTCCGCAAAAGCTTTCGCATATGCATGTTCCCCTTCCGAGGGAAGAGCCTTTCCTCTTCATATAGTTAATTAGCCAGCACCTGCTCGCTTTAAACAGGCTCCGCATTAGACTTTTTTCTAAGACTAATTGCATAGCCCGCACTTGGAGCAGTTCTGTCGTCATGGGCCGCTGTGCCGCTCGCTCCTCAAGCACATACTCGCGGAGCAGCTCTTCAATTTGCGGAAACCGACCCTGCTGTAGTTCACTGAAGCCTTTGCATGAAGCTTTGCTGTCGACAATCTTCTGCTTTTGTTTCCGCCGGTCCCGCACGCACGTTTCGAGAAGGACCGCGATGCGGCCCGACTTCCGTCCGTTTCTGCACACGCGATGACTTTTCTTTTGAAAGCGGCATCGTGGTGCACTCGAGTTTTTGGAGTCGGCCCTTCCACGTCGTCGATGCTAATGCACTACTAGATGACGAACTCCTCAGCACAGGTACGAAGTGCCGCACATGGTAAACACAGGCAGAAATAGCCGACGCACCATGCCGACGCACGTAGGGGGCGGCCATTTTGGATTTGCGATGGCAATAGATTGACCGTAATTTTTTTGTTCGTACTCAATTCTAACGCGCATGTGATTTATGAACTCGCTTAACCGGAAAAAAGGTGCGCGTTAGATTCGAGTAATTACGGTAGTTGCGAGTGCTCTTTTGCAGCACCGCAACTGTTGTAGCAGGAAAGAGACAGGCCCGATCAAAAACGGCTCTCTTGTGGAGACCACATTCCAGGAGATTCGCGATAGAATTTGTAGAATCTAGAGACCAGGTCAAAATTCAGGAGTCTACCTGACAACGGGAGAGTTTGCAGGTATATATATCTAACAATAGGAAGTTCAGCTGCTTCGTAGGGATTCATAATGAAGGTAAAGCGTGGAAGCTCACACAAGATCACACAAATAGTTTTGCTGTTGTCCTGTTCTCGTCCCTTATTCCATGTCCGCACGTCGCTATCTTGTGCAGCACTTATGCTTCCTGAGGCCAAGAATAATATTTGCACTTTGGCATCAACATGGGAGAATGACCATGCAGACCACCCACGTAAAACGCACACACATGCATGCCATTACAGTGAGCTGGAAAGTGTTCATACCTGAAAATGTTGTCAATGAAGAGCAGCACATCCTGCCCTTCCTGGTCCCGGAAGTACTCTGCCACAGAGAGACCGGTCAGGGCGACACGGGCACGGGCGCCGGGAGGCTCGTTCATCTGACCGTACACGAGGGATACCTGGAGCAAGAGGAGTGTTAAAAAGTGTTTTCGGATGCTTCTACAGAAAAACGAGAAAAAAAAGGGGGGGGGGGGGTATCAAGGAAGCCTATGACTTTGACAAAGTTTTCTTGAAAGATTAAGATATGTATTGAGATGTCTAATGGCTTGAAAGAAGAACCCACTTATGCAACAGCTCAGCAAGCAAACATTTGTTTCCCGAATACCATTGCTACACTCCTTGCATACAACGACCACATAAAAAACATCAGAGGCAAGCCTGGAGAAGTCTGCAATGCACACGGTCCTCCCACTGGATCAGCACGCCTGCAGCAGAGCTACAGAAACTATGCACTGCCAGAGCTAGTGAAGTGCATTAATGCTAGTTCTTCCGAAGACATAGTTGATCTACTAGTTCAGTTTTATTTGCATTGTGTTCGTAATTTTACATGACACACTAGACAAAGCCCCCTATGCCTCAAGCTTCAAAACATAACTGTTCCTAGGACCAGACAAGAAAGTGGATAGATCACGCTGCATTGAAGACATTGACGAGTCACATGTCTCGCCACATAGATAGTAAAAGGACAGTGAAGAAATCATTGCTCTAATATCCGGCAGCTTACTGCACACCAGAAAACATACTGGCACAGTTTTACTTAGGTGAATGCAGGCTTTGACCAGTATGAAATCTGAAGGCCAGCATTTTAATAGAACACATGAAGAAGGCAGTACCTTGGAGTTCTTGTCCTTCAGACTGATGACACCACCTTCAATCATTTCATGATACAGATCGTTGCCCTCACGGGTGCGCTCGCCGACACCGGCAAACACTGAGTAACCACCATGAGCCTTGGCTACGTTGTTGATCAGCTCCATAATAAGCACAGTCTTGCCGACACCTGCACCACCGAAAAGGCCGATCTTGCCTCCCTTGGAGTACGGCGCTAGCAAGTCAACAACCTGAAAAATAAAGTAGAAACAAACTTTTGTGTTATACGAAACACTGATGTGCTCGGAAACCCAGTCAGCGAGCTTCAATTGCCTCAGCATTAAGGGGACACTAAAGTGAAACAATAAATCGCCTGTATTGACAAATTGTACTCTGAAAACTTATGTCGTTAAGTTCAGGATCATAGATTTATTATTAGGGTTGCCTAACGTTTTATTATAAACGTTGCCTAACAGACCTATTTATTAAAATCGAAATGCGAGACAAGTTTTGCATTCTGCTTTTCAACCTAAAAAAAGCTTATTTTCCTCTGGGCAGAAAAAAGAGTTAAAATTTCTTTTTGCCACACTTTACGCAGTAATCAAGACAACGACCACAAAAACATCAGAGGCAAGTCTGGTAATGGATAATGGTAATGGATATTAAATTTTCCTATACAAAACCTAACAAGCCAGCATTTCAGACTTTTCGCCAACAAGTATGCTATCATCAGTATGCCCGAGAATGTGATGCACTACCTTGATTCCTGTGACAAGGATCTCCTGCTCGACACTCATCTCAACAAACTCTGGCGCCTCCTGGTGGATGGCAAGGAACTTGTCCGAGGGAATGGGGCCCCTTTCGTCGATGGGCTCACCAATAACATTCATGATACGACCTAGTGTCTCGGGTCCAACGGGGATCTTGATGGGTGACTGGGTGTCCTTCACCTTCTGGCCTCGCACCAGACCCTCCGTGCCGTCCATGGCAATGGTGCGCACCGTGTTTTCACCTGAGGAGAAACCAACCACCCATGCTCAGCTTAAGGGAACACTAAAATGAAAGAATGTATCTGTTTAGATTCTAATAAGAGAGCTAACTTAATTTAGCTATCATAGATTTCTGAAAAAAAAAAAAGGAAGATCAGTGATTTTTCCCAAATTTTGCACTGAAATTTCCGCACGTGACATCCCAGCTTTCAAGGTATTTTTGGGGTTTGAGCGACATTGTGTAAGCAAGAACTTCCTAAATGTTGCTGTCTTCAGTCTATCATTCTTTATTTATTTATTTATTATTTATTTATTTATTTAACCTCAGGGTCAACAGACATTACAGGGGAGAGTGGTAAAAACAACAAAGCAATTTCGCAAGTACAAGAGGCAATGCAATGTTTTTGGCTATACAACAGCAGATTGAAACAAAACAAAACAAAAGAAAGAAATGAGAAATATCAAAATGGCATACAATAAAATAGAAAGATACTTATAAAAAAGATAAAAATAACGTTTCTAAGTATACGATGAGCATTGTTACACTTCAGTGCGACAGGTACAACAAATACAACTGGTAACAGTGAAATCTTATTTTTAGAAATGTATAAGGTGAAATACTACGACCAGGCATTCAAAGAATTGGTTAATACTGTCACAAATGCGTCACGATCTGAAATTGTTACAAACGATTCGGGAAGGCAATTCCAATCACGTGAAGTGCGTGGTACGTATGATCGTCGAAATGACTTTTAGACGATGGGATGCCAACTTTATGAGCGTGATCTAAACGATGCGAAACGTAATGCGGCGGAAAGATTAGTAAATCACGGAAGTATGAGTGGTGATATATTTTATGGAAAAGAGTTAAGCGGATCGTAGTTTGACGAGAAGCAAGTGAAGGTAATTTAAGGGTAGATTTCATTAGTGTGATGCTCGTATTTCGATCGTAATTAGCTGTTATGAGGCAAACAGTATTTTCTACCATTTCTAATGAACGCACCAAATTATGGTGGTATGGATCCCAAACAGATGCGGCATATTCAAGTTTAGTACGAACTAGTGTTTTATACAACATCAGCTTGACAGAAGAAGGTGATTTGATGAAGTTACGACGAAGATATCCGAGCATGCGATTAGCGTTACAAACAACATAGTGATATGAGTATTCAATGTTAGGTTGTTACTGATATGAACTCCGAGGTACTTGTATGAGGTGACACTGTCTAATTGTGTGTTATGTAAGTTATAAGTAGGTAAAGTGGTAAAGTTGACACACGCACGAATTTACATTTTTTACTGTTTAATTCCATGAGCCATGTGTTACACCAGTTAAGGACAGCAGTGAGGTCAGATTGAAGAAGGGCGATGTCGTTAAGTCCAGTTATTTCACGAAAATTACGCAATCATCGGCAAAAAGATGAACAGATGAGGTGACACAAGATCGTTAATATAGATTAGAAAAAGAAGCGGACCAAGAACAGAGCCATGTGATACACCAGAATGTACCGCACATTCCACGGAACTAATTCCATCAGCCGAAACGAATTGTGAGCGGTTAGTAAGAAACCTTTCAATCCAAGTTACAAGGCAGGGGTCAAGGTTAAGTAGTCGTAATTTAAAAATGAGCAGTTTGTGGCCCACCTTGTCAAATGCTTTGGAAAAAATCGAGGAAAATGCAGTCTGCGAGCAAGCTGTTGTCAAGAATGGTGTTTAGTTTATGCACAGAAAGTGAACTGAGTTTCGCAAGAGTATGATTTGCGAAATCCATGTTGCGATTGAGCGAAAAATGAGTGACTAAATAATTTGCTTAGTGAGCCAAAATGTGTTCTAATATTTTACATGGTATAATAGTGAGAGAAATGGGTCTGTAGTTTAAGTGAGAATTCTTGTTACCCGATTTGTGGATTGGAACTACCTTCCTGACTTTCCACTCAGATGGGAGAACATCGTTGAGCGGCTGTTGAAAAATTTTGGTTAGTACCGTATTTACTCGATTTTACCGCGCCCTCGATTGTAACGCGCACCCGGTTTCCACGACGAAAATAAAAAAAGTAAGACATCAATTGCAACGGGCACCCATTTTTCTCATTGGCTTGCACGATCACACCACTCGGGAAAATGACTCCTTTCGCGAGCGTCTTCCGTTAAAATACAGTATGAGGTACGGGGGAAGCTTGGGCCTATCTGACGTGCAACGGAGCATTGCCGTCACTCTAGTTTTACCGTGGCCCGATGTCAGCACGCGAACTTGCTTCACCCCCTTCTCGACGGTTGTGGTGCCAGACATGTCGAAGTAAAGAGGCGTCTGATCGGCATTCCCAATTTGCCCAAGCAGGTACCCGTTGTTGTGCCGCAACTTTTGGCATATGCCCGTTCGCCTTCGGAGGGAAAAGCCTTTCCTCTTCATAAAGTTAGTTAGCCAGCACCTGCTCGCTTTAAACTGGCTCCGCATTAGCCCTTTTTCTAAGGCTAACTGCATAGCCTGCACTTGGAGCAGTTTTGTCGTCACGAGCCGCTCACTGTTCAATCATATACTCACCGAGCAGCTCTTCAATTTGCGGAAACCAATCCTGCTGTGGTCCACTGAAGCCTTTGCGTGAATGTTTGCTGTCGACAATATTCTGCTTTTGTTTCCGCCAGTCCCGCACGCACGTTTCGGGAACTCTGAACGACCGCAATGCGGCCTGATTTCCGTCCGTTTGGGCACACGCGATGACATTTCTTTTAAAAGCGGCATCGTGGTGCACTCGTCGAGTTTTTGGAGTCGGCCCTTCCATGCCGTCGATGCTCATGCACTACAAGATGACGAACTCCTCAGCACACGTACGAAGTGCCGCACATGGGAAACACACAGGCAGAAATGGCCGACGCGCCATGCCGACGCACGTAGAGGGCGGCCATTTTGGAAATGCCGATGGCAATAGAATGACCGTATTCATTTTTTTTCGTACTCAATTCTAACGCGCATGCAATTTATGAACTCTCTTAACCGGAAAAAAGGTGCGCGTTAGATTCGAGTAATTACGGTATTATGGATACAGTATTTTGGAAGAATTTGACGTTTATTTGATTTCTACCCGGTGCTGAGGATGGTTTCAGTGACTTAATGCTTGCGACACCATCGTAGCTGAGAATGACAGGAAACATATGATCGTGGTGATATGGTTGCACATGGGGAGCGTTGGTGGTGGTGGGTAAAGAAAAATGTTTTGAAAAAACATCATTAAGCATGTTCGAGCATTGGTCGGTCGGTATAGCGTTACCGCTAAGATCATTAAGTACTATAAGATCACTTTCTTGAGGATTGATCACTCGCCAAATTTTTTAGGGTTAGTCCAACATCGTAGATAAGGTGTTGCTTATAAAACGATCTTTGGCAACTTTTAAGGCCTGCGCGTATTCATCAGCGTACTTCTTATAATCTGACCAACGAGCCCTACTATTAATAACTTTAACCGATTTGAAGAGACGCTTCTTTATATTAGACAAGCCTTTAAGCTGGTGATTATACCATGGTTTTTTTAGGTTGGAGGAGATAGCGTAAGCAGGGATGTACTTATCTGTTAGTTCCACAACCTTAGCAAGAAAGATACTCCAGTTTGACTGCACGTCGCGATAGTCGAAATCATTCAAGAAATCATCAAGAAATACAGCAAGTTCATTGTTGATGGTAAGAAAGTCGGCCTTGTTGTAATCTCGTAGTGTCTTATTCGTTTTAACGGCTTTAGAACCGTTAGAATCCTTTATGAGGACAACCTACTTCAATTTTACTCTTTAGGAACTACGCAAAACCTTGTAGATGCCATCAAAATTATGCAATCATGCTAAGTGATTCGAGAATTTCAAGGTAGCGTCACCACCCGCATTTTTATTTTTATGCGACAGCATTAAAGAGCTCATTTGGCAGAAATTCTGATGTTGAGTCATCCACTACGAACGAAAAATCATCCTGCCTGACCAAACAATTTAAAAAATGCAAATAAAAAAAGTTCTGGTTCAAAGTGAGAATCGAACACAAGCCGTCTGCATGAAAAGCAGGTTTACCACAGGTCTTGAAATTACTTTGGGATAAAACACTATGAATGGAAAGTGATAGTTTACCGTGATAGCAGAGGTTAAGGGAATGGCATTAACGTACAGCAAACGTTCGTTGCGGACAGCGTCTTATAGATTAGCGGGATAGCGTTTATGTGGTTTTTGAGCCCCAGCTGGGACGGGGGCACCATCTATCGGATGGTTAATAAGTTAAAGAACAGCGAAAAAGAAAACTAGAATGTTTGCCTATGCCACCGCGCGATGCATTGTTAGTTTATTTTAGTAATAATAAAACTAAATAAATATGAACCACGCACCAAACGCAAAATGCGAAAACATTTATGTTGCCGATTTGTTTACACTGATTTTGTAGTTAGGCCTAGACGCGTTCGAAATGGGAAGCTATCTCAAAAACTATGTCAAAGCTAACTGAAGGCAAGCGAAGCCACTTGAAACAATCGATTGCTGCGAACAAAGTGTTGAAACAGCTACGCCAAAATCACGTCGAAGCGGGGGTCCGAGAGCGCCGCCATGTTTATGGACACTATGTACACCTACGCTTCCACAGTAATGTTAAATCTGAAAAATACCGTGCGTACGGTAACCGGTACGAATAACATACGTATCTGCACATGCGCACTTCGATTACGCCATCACAGTACACCCGGTAAGCCCGGTATACTATAACTGCAATGTCATGTAGCGGACGGAGTCTCCTTAGTGCATGCAAGGTTGCGTGGCAGAATCCTAGAATGGCACCAGACATCAAAACCTGCAATGTCATGTAGTGGACGGAGTCTCCTTAGTGCATGCAAGGTTGCGTGGCAGAATCCTAGAATGGCACCAGACATCAAAAGAAGTGAACTGTGCAACGAGTGGCTGATTTTAAGATGCCACCCATTACCAAGTGTGTAAGTTCACGGGGCACCTTAAGGACGAGTAGCAACTGCACATCCACTAGACATTCTAGAATAGATTGAAATGTCCAATGTTACGTGCATAAACGCTCCTTTCCTTGCGGCATGTCTGAAGGCAATGTGCACTGGCCCGATCACGCTATCTCGTTCTACTCTTGAAGGCAAACCCAAGCGTCCTCAAAGTTCTTGCATGTTCTCCAGCTTATCAAGCGCTTTCTCACAAGTGTAGTGAAAAAGAATTTTTAAACATAGATCAGACGCGAGAAATCATTTACTCAGAATAAAGTGCACACTCACCTAAGTGCTGCGCCACCTCAAGGACAAGTCGTGGCTTGCGACCTTCAACCTCGAGAGCATTGAGGATGGGTGGCAAGTTGTCATCGAACTGCACGTCCACGACGGCACCGATGACTGCAACAATGTGTCCATTGCCTGCCTTGGCGCTAGCTTGAGCTGCTGCATGTCTTCTGTTTACAGGATCTGAACAGAATGAAAATGGCAAAACTTATGCAATGACATAACTGTAGTTCTGCACATGCTCCCTATCTTACTTCTATATATACACACAGTTTGCGTCGACGTCACCGTGGCTGCCATCTCTCTGTACCAGCTCATTGAGATACCACGTGCATTCTTGCTCTAATGCGCGGAGCAATAAACTGACATGAGATTAGTGTCTGTTCTCCCAGAGTTCCTTTATGTTCAACCTTGGCACGGCTGGCAAACAGAAGGAAGCGGGGGCAGCACAAGACATCGCTGGGACGGAACAATTGCATGTCTTACCATACACTGAATACAGCCATGTCCGGGTACCCAGCACCATCACGTGAACACTGAATAAACTTTTACACAAGTTGTTCCTTATGTCATTGTCTTATTGCCTTAGTTGCATAGTTGGTGGAACATTCACTGTGCAAAACACTACAAAGAGTACTGTAGCGGCTGAACAAATGAAACATTCAAGGCTTTCCAGAACATTAATATTTTCGGTCTAGAGTTTCATCTGGGTTTCTGCGAACAAATGAAACATTCTTGTATACTACTCGGCAAATTCAAGTGAGAAGCTTCGTACACCTGTCCCATTTCTTTCCTGTTTTGTACATCCTCATAAACCTTTCTAGTTTAGCACACGATATGTATCGTACGATGCAGTCTTACCACCGAATGCAGAGAGGTTACTTGGCTCGCGCCTTCGACTTGACTTGAGTAAGTCGGCGCGAAGCAAGCAGCGGACCTTATAACGCTCAAGTCTGCCTTCGCGTTTCGTAGATGCTCAGGCTGTCTTGCTTGGTCAAGTCAAGAACGAGCTTCAAAGCAGAAACACGCTGCTCAACTGCTAACGAGGCTAATAATGAAGTTGTTTGCATAAGGCACATGTTACAGCAAAAAAATACCTTACATTTTAAAATGACGATAAAAACGAAGTGCCACAAGCATATTTTTACCATTTTACGGCTAACAAGCGGCCCGTGGTGCCTGCTATGCCTGCCGCCACAGCGTTGCTTCTGTAAAGCGTCCGTTGCCCGCTTGTTTTAGTGGCCACCCAAAATGCGGCGTGTTTCTCCACGCTTGCTTGTTTGGAGGCGAAACAAGCATCGCGTTGTGTTCTTTCGTTTTTTTTTTTTTCCAGTCGACCGCGGCGTGTACTTGTGCTGACCTGGCTGACGAGGTAACGCGACTTTCTCGGTATTCGCCTTTCTGTTTACCTGTGGACATGCTTGTAGCAAGCTAGGTCGCAGTTACATATGAAAAATTAAAAAACAAGTTCTGGGAACAAAAGTGATTCGTATCCTTTTGCTACGCCTGGTAAACAAAAAAAAAAAGCGGGGGTCAGGACATTGTCCTCAGCAGAATTTTGTCTCGCGGGGTGCAGCAATGTCTCGCTGCATGATGAAGAAGGAGGCATATGATCAGGAAACGCGTGATAGGGGCACCTTTTTTTGTGTGTGTGGAATTTTTCGTAGCGTGGTGCAAGCGATGCCTTTCCGTGCGTGGAACAGTGCCCTAGAAGGGACGAAAGGATAGACGAGACACACAGACAGCACCGAGTCAATTTTGTACCGAAAGAGATGGAAAATGTCGCGTTTTAGAAAAACAGACAGCCTTTGCGGTTACGGCACATTTCGGCGGCGTCACCGGGGCTATTAATACGCACGTGTGTGCAGTCTACACATCCTGCAACGCCAGAGAACTCAACCACTTCATAAAAGTCCCGCAGAAGTGCTGCCGGCTGCGCAAAGCCCACCAACATCGCTTGCTTTGCAATGAGTAGAGTGTTTCCGACTGCACTGTCAACTACAAAATGCGCACGAAATTTCCACCAGCACTATAAAACCTGAGCCCTATCAGTAGCTGTAACAAGTGCAGGCACAGGCTGTCTTCGGTTGTGCCCACTTTCACAGAGCGGCAACATAGCCAGCAGCTGCCACACGGCGTTCTTCGTGAATCTGTACCGAATGTGGAATTGTTGCTCGTCGTACAACTCGATCAGATTTCCTCGGTCCCGTAAAGCGGGTCGAAGAATCTTCTGCAGGCGGTGCGCCACAGAAAATTCTACGCTTATGGCGAGGCAAGCAAACGTAAAAGCGGCCACCCTCCGCGGAACATCCATTCGAGAGGTGGCCATGTTGGAATAACGCATGAAGTCGTTTTCAAGCTAGCCCCGCAGCTGACTTGAAACTTGTCCAGACTTCGACCGAGCCAAGTCACCTTCAAGTCGTCCGCAAGTTTGAGAACAATTTATGGCCAGCGGCAAGACTGTCTTGAGTCAAGAACGAGTCAAGTAACACCTCTGCATTCGGGGGTTAGAGTCCTGACATAATCGCTACACAGGATGAAAGCCGTCTCATAATGTAAATTATATTGAGCATATTTGCTTTAATATTCACACCACTTACCTTCAAACAAGTTGGAATTTGATTCCCTTGCCTTGGGCAATTTTACAAGTCTAGCATAATTCTTAGAAATGAATTTTTTCTGGTGAACGATTTTTGACAGGCAAACTTGAAGTAAACAGCTACTTTGATTTTACAACTGCACTAGTCAACAGCCCTGAAACAGCAGTACGATTGCAGCGATTGATACTTGTAGGAGAGTATCAATAAAACTCGACATGCTTGGTAGGTCCAACAGTATCGCAGAAGTTACTATTTGCTTTGAAATGCACGGAGACGTTAACTGTTTATGCTGCATTTGTAGACAGCCCAGTAGATGCAGTTTTTCTCTCACCTTCCACGTTTAAATTTATTACAACGGAAAACAATAAGGCTACTTTTGTAATAGGCTACTTAGAGAGAGGGACGATAATTTTGAAAAACCTCCATGTGTGAGAAGTTTGTCACGTCTTGATTTCACCGACACACTTTGGAAACGAAGCAGGAATGCGGACACCAGCCCAACGCCAGCAGCAGATAGCCGGGGTCACAACGAGGGTACACTTGACCGGGCAAGCGAAAGTAAAATTTGAACAGTCACTGGTAGCCTGGTAAGAAGGAAAGGTGTTTTTATAAAAGGCACACGCGAAAAGACCACCACCCAGAAGAACGTTCTGCTGGAAGTGAGGTGCAGAGCAGGATGTTGGAGAATTGGCGATAGCCAGCCCACTTAACATGTGACCTCTGCGTGTCCGTAGTTTCTTAGAGACCCCAAATTCAAGTTATTCAAGAAAGACGTACCGAAAACAGCTGTTTATCCCTAAGAACTGCTTCAACTAGTCGGGGGTCATCTCTGCCAGGTCGGACCGGCTGGGAGCAGCATGGACGCCGGCATGCAGCGCCAACCGAGGCTTTAACATAAGAGGGACCACCGTTGAACGCTGTTTCTGCGAGTGCAGCAATACCTCGCAATCCTACTGCTGCTGCTCACAACATTTTATCAACGATGCAGTCGTATTTTTCGCGGACAGTTCAGCTATAATCGGCACCGTTAACCCTAATTGACCCAACATTTCCACCCAAGGGCAGAGAGCGGTCGGCGTCGACCGAAGGGCAGAACTGTAGCACTTACGTGTAGCACACAGCGCCGGCAGCAACTTCGAGTTCGCCCCATTGACTTTTACTAAAGAGGCGGCAGGCTTGGCCGCTTTTAGCACGCTAGAGCAGGCTCTTCCTACGACACTGAGCATGTTGCACCCTTGCTCCGCACGAAGGACGGACGAGGATCCGACGAGAGAGCAAAGAGCGATCGAGCAGGCAAAAGTTGGACGAGGGGAGGAGGCAGCGGAGGAAGAGTAAATCACGTGGTAAACTTTTTGATGCATTGTTAACAGCTTCTTTTTCTCAATTTTTGCTCAATTTAGGGAAATCTACCTGCTATGTTAATTATTACAAATGAACTATGTAATTGTGCAAAAATTTTCAATAACATAATACATAAGTTACTGGAGAAATTTTTGTAGACTTATTGCAGAATGAATGTTGAGTTTTAAACTTTTTTGATAAGGAGGCATCAAGGCGGCTGGCTAGCGGCTTCGCCGAGCTGGTAGGTGTTCTGTGGCTTCGCGGGCTTTACAATGCGGTGTAAACGGGCGGTAAGCTTCTTATGGCAGAGATATAGTGTAGCAGAGATTTTAGGTTTCCTGAGATTCTAGACGTGAGTGTGTGATAGCAGTGCGAAGAGAGACCGTCTAAAAGCCGTTGCTTACTGGACAACTCAGCATCATGGCCAAAACATCCAAAACTTCCGTCGACCTGTCCACCAAGTCTGTGCTGCTGGCGGCAACGGACCAAAACATGAACCTCTACGAAAACCGCCTCGCTAGTTTCGAGAGTTGGCCACTGACCGGCGACTGCATGTGCACGCCAGCGCGGATGGCAGGAGCTGGTTTTTATCACTGTCCTACGCGGAACGAGCCAGACCTCACACGTTGTTACGTGTGCTTTAAGGAAATGGACGGCTGGGAACCGAGTGACGACCCAGCCAAAGAGCACGCGCGCTCTGTGGACTGCGCTTTGGTTCGCTTGGGCAAAAAAAGTGAAGACATGACAGCGCTGGACGTTCTCGGCCTCGAGAAGGCCCGCGCAAAGAACCGAGCCTGCAAATTTCTCGAGCTAGCCGCTGCCGAAATGGGAGAGGCCATGCGCAAAGTCAAATACGAACTGGACAAGGTGCGGAGGAAGAAGCGTTGACGGCCTGCCTGTGTGCTACGAGGCGTTCGCTGCTGTGTGCTCTTCTGAACTGTGGGGATTTCACGTTGTGTGCGCTTTAAACTGTGTGGATATGACCCATATTTTTAGCTCTCGGTGTATATTAACTTCGCCTAAGCTTGCGTTCAAACTGTGCGGAGCCAATCGTATCGATCGGATCTTTAAGTACCTGTGTGTATGTCCACGTGCGTTTTTATGTGTGGCACTATATTTAACGTGTGTGGGAAAATTTAATAAATCGTTCTAATTTTTCAAGCACTACCATAGTGTAGTAGAACTCGCCGTGGGGCTAGTTGGCGCATGTCTTGATTAAATAGTCAACGTCGCGCCGAATGAACTCCACACAGAGAAAGAAACACACATACACACCACGGGCACTCACTTACAACTGTTTATTCCTTGAGGAAACAGGCTTATATAAACCCACACTTCGTCCACACATGCGCAACATGATCAGCCCTTCTCTTACTTAATCGCGCTATCGGACACATACTCTCTAGACAATACGTTTCTGACTCATACATGTTTAGTGACGTTTCGCTAACACACTTGCTACCCCGTTTATGCGATATGTCTCCAAAATTTCCCGTGCTAACTTGTTTGTACTTCTTCCCAGGATCCTAGTCTGCGTGAAGCCCACAAGTATGGCACTTAATTCTGCTCGATATTGACTGTTTATTCAAGACTACCTTAGTGTTTGTTCATGAACCGATCTTCCATAAGAAGAAGTGCGACGAGTTCGCCTCTCCTTTTCATTACTGTCCTTTCAAGATTTTATTCTGGATTACTTACTTTTCATAGCCATAAGGACGCAGTGCTGCATCATTATGTAGTTGAATTACTACCATTTCTACAAAAGGAAAGCCCACGAGTGTGGCACTTTTTCTATGACTACTGATTGTCACGCTCAAAAGAAGGGACACACTATTGAAATCTTAAGCCTGTTCAACAAAGAAAAAAAATTTTGCCATGAGTTCAAGTACTGCAAAATCGGAAAGAACCGTATCCTCTTCAGTTGCTGCAAAAGGGCTTACCGACGGCTCACGGCTAGGTTATAATTTTGCCAAAATGACAAGCGGGGACCTCGTGCCCGAGGTTCTGAATAGACATTAATTCAATCTGAACAAGCTTGTGGCATTTGGAAATTTTCTAGTTATTGTCTGGCTACATTCATCCATCATTTGGAGTGGAATTGCATTAAAGCTGGTTTGCTTGTATAAGCTTGTACTGTTGGAAGGCTGGATAGAACAAAATGTACCAATGTACAGTGTGTTGTCATCAGAAAAGACAAATAACCCCCAAATTTCTAACACTAACCTATGCCTCTAGTAGCAGTGAGGCGCCAGAAATTCTTGAAAGCTTATCTAAAAGTATAGCTTTCAGCGATGTACCCCAAGGACAGACAGTGCTACTGTTGCCGAATATTTCTGGATGGCTCGCAGCAGTGATGTAGACCTGCATGTGCAAAATGAGCAGCCCAAAGCCACACCTTGACAACTATGACATAGTGCACCTCATTATAAAGTGCGATGGTAAACATCCAGACTACTTCATTTCCGTCCCGACCAACAAAAAGAAAAGGAGATTACTACCGCTAAGTTCCAAGTTTTGTTGATTCAAGCATGATAGGTAGAGCATGATATCCGCCTCCACCATATGTATGGCCTGTGCACAGTAAGGCACTGGCAGTGGCACTTGCCCCTGTTGTGACAAATTAAATCTGCTCTTAAGGCGGCGCCTCACTAGGTGAGGTCTCCAACACAAACTATCAGCATGCACACGAAGGTGGTTCCCAGCAGGTAATACACAACACTGTCACCTTCAAATCCGAGTGTAGGATCAGTGTGGCTCTGTTGACAACATTAGAACAGCAAAGACAGCCCATAATAGAGTAAAAAGACGGTCATGTTACCTCAAACATGTTCCTGTCTGAACACAAAACACTTATATACTGCAGGAGATGGTCTCGTGAACAATCCAATGAATTTTTTATAAGTTCTGGTTATGCAATAAAAGTTATGCAGAAATTTAATGCTAAGCTGTTCAGTACTCAAGACACGAACTCGAATGAATCTATCAAATATGAATTTGTTAATGCTAAACATTTTGAAAGAGTTGCCTGTCAGGTTGAGTAATTAATTAGGACTTTTGCAATGCACTAACAAAAAAATAGGTTTATTTCCCGACTTTTTGGAACCAACTCGATTCCTTCTTCAGAGAAAGTGACAGCAGAGGTATTGAGGTGCAGCTCTTAACTTTTTTGACGGCCCAGCTGGAGGAGACTCCAGAGAACTGGACGTTCAATTCAAGCACCCCTTCTTCCCAGAAGTGAAGCATCCTCTCATACTCAAGGGGCAGCAGTGAAGCCATCGGTATATTTTTAAGAAAGAAGGCATAACAGTCACACACAAGCCAAACAACACAATGACCGAATCATAAAGATACTCAGATGTCAAATTATTGAGTATCAAAAAATCAATACAGAAACATCAATATACTATTATTTTCTACATTAATATGCAAAAACTGTTTTTACTTTCCCTAAGAAAAGTGTAGAAGCCCCAATACTCGTTATCACGCCAACTTCACAGTGCGACTTCAGTCTCAAGATAAGCATGTTTTAAGGAAACCCAAAACAGTTTTGACGATCTTGTACAAACACATTCAACTGGTAGAGCTAGCCCAATGGATAATTTGCAGACTGATGTAAACTCTCTGTGCAAACTGAGCAATTAGAAGATGCAAGTGGTAAACTTGAGCTCTGAAGAAAATTGTGATTTGTTAGAATAATTTCGGATCGAACAGTTCAAATAGTACATACCACATATTATCCCTTTAAAATAAATTATGTCATTCATTTTATTGCCTCAAAGGTCCTCGTTGGGATAGTACATGAGGGAGCGGGAGGTAAAAAGGCTGTTAATATATGGGTAGTTGTGATGGGATGGTTTCGAAGAGCCACTTCAATGCATTGGTGTAGATGATGGTAGCGACTTGGGTGGGCAGGTCATTCCAGCCTCTAACCGTGCACAGGAAAAACTATTGTTGAAAGGTGACAATATGGGCTTGCACTGAATAGACGCTGTTACAGTGACTGTGGTGGGAAATGCTGTGAGCTCTTCCGATGTATTGGATATTTAAAGGCAAAAAATGTCAGAATTTATGATAAAGGTGAAGACGAGCAATTTTGCGGCGTTTAGCCAGATCGAATAAGTTAATCTTCGCTTTTAGAGCCGAAATGCTTGAGGTGTATGAATAGTTAGATAGTATGAATCACGCCGTACTGTTCTGGACAGACTCAAGGGTACCAATGAGGTTACTGTGGTGATTATAAAAAATCACATGCGCATACTCAAGCGTCGGCCAGACAAAGGCATGCATGCCATTAAAATGAAACTGTACATTATTAAAATGCAGTACATTACAGGTACTTTTGCTAATTCACTTATTATTGATTAATTTAATTAGAAATTATCACACAGAAAAATTGACTCCGGTCATTTCCAAAACATCAGGACTCTATAGGCACTGAAACGCATCTGGAAGTGAAAAAGGCTCTCTCCCTTGGAAGTGAGAAAGCCAAATGCAATGCGACACTTGCATATTGATTTTTGTGAGTATTTAAAATTGGTTTAGGTAATGTCCTTGAAGCTTAATTTATTGTGCTTATTTACAGAAGAGTAAAGTACAACACATGCTGTATAAGAGAGCTGTTGGCTAAAGCTTGAAGAGAAAGAAACTGCTATTCTGTGGGCACACGAGAAAGGCTAAAACGGAGCACGATGGAAGTGCACGCGTATATTCATAGTTCTCAGTTATTAAAGCATAACACGCAATATTATCTTGCCCAGTCAGCTTGGATACATTTAGCAAATGAATAAATACCATCAACTCAAGGGCAAAATGGCAGGAGATGCAACAAAATTAACAAGCAAGCGAAGGTTGCTTACCGGGCACAAAGAATTGTATGGGCAAATGTGCTTTCATAAAAGGCGCACGTAAAAAATACTGCCACTCCGCAAAAAGTTCTGCTGAAAATGAGGCTTATGGGAGAACTGTGGAGAACAGTTGATAGCCAGGCAGCCTACTTTACAAGTAACCCAAACCCGTGCCCCCCCCCCCCACCCCCCGTATTTCGGAGGATGTTGGGGGGGGGCGTTTTACCAGAATACATATAATGAGAATACTGGTGTTTCTTTCAACCGGTGGGTTCTCTTCGAAAAAAAAATTCTGGCTACGAACCTGAAATGACATCTGCGTGTCCACCCCCTGGCTACTCCCCTGGGCAGGACTGCACACAGCGCCCGTGGCAACTTCGAATTCGCCTCATTGACCTTTACGAAAGAGGTGGCAGACTTCCTTGCTCTTTTTAGCCCGCTTTTTCCCCGACATTCAGCACGTTGTGCCCTTGCTTCGCACGAAGCACGGACGAGGATCCAACAAGGGTACCAATATGGGCTTGTTGGTTCAGCGTTTCACTGCAAACCGTCTGCATGCCACCTATTACTACTGTTTTTCTTGCAAGAAGTAAATCGCGGATTGGTCTTTTCTGCCGTCATTGGCAATGTCCATCAATGAAATTGAGTATCTACACATTACCTAGAAGTTATGTTGTCCTAGGGTGTGGCAAATTGAAGGCCCTTTCCATCTTCATGATTTGTAAAACGAAAAGATATCACTGTCGCGTGATGTGTGTGCGTGTCTGTGAACGATCCTGAAAATAAAGTTTTCGTTGTTGGAAGTTAGCGCTTGTGTTAATGATGATGCCTCAACTATGGCTCATACTCGCGGGGGGGGGGGGGGGGGAATGGCCAAGAATTTGTTATATGGATTTTTGGTCATTCAAGCACTTGTGTTTGTTTGTTTGTTTGTTTCCCTGGGATGATGGCTCATACCCACTCAGGGGGATTGGCCAAGAAAGTGTAGTGCAGTTTTTCTGTGATCATTTTAACTATGTGTAATGAATTGGTATTATAATAAGACTAATGTAAAAAAAAACATAAGAAGAGCAAACGAAAAAAAAATCAAGCAATTTTGAGATTTTAGGTGTTATTATTACCACTCAGCTGCGTTTACTTCACTCTACCCTGGGGAGTAATAAATAATAATTTTTTGATTGAAGATCACAAAGGTATACACTTGGTTGCCTGACTATAATCGCAAACGGCATTGAAAGCATCCCTGTGGCAATGTCCCAAAACTGAGGCACCAAAGCTTAGCCCCGTTTCCGCCGTCAATTTAACGCCTATTTTCAGAAATGGCATAACTAGTAACCTTTTTCGAAGTATATCGTAGCGGCGACAATACAAAAAATAATGATCTAGTGATTCCATTTCTCCACAGAATGCGCAGAGGGGTGATGTTGTCTGACCAGCTCTGTGTAGATACAGGTTTAGGGGGGGGGGGGGGGGACACGACATCGAAGTTTAGTAATTAAGACTTCGAGCTTTCTGGACTGGCTCCAGTGGGGTTGCCACGGAAAGATGAGGTGGTTATATTCTGTCCATGTAGTTACTTTTTCTATCGTATCAGTGGAGATTGCTGATTTTCGATATCTTATTGCCGTGATATATCCAACATCTGGCAGTATGGACAAAACTGACCCATCAAGTGCGGCTCGTGCTAAGGAATCGGCCAATTCATTTAATCTTAATCCACAGTGTCCCGGAACCCATAGTAACCTCAGGAGTCTCAACTGCGGGGGTACTAATGTTTTGAATGTGCTTAGAATTCGAGAGTTCTATGAAGCTGTCAGAGCTGCACAAACTGAAAGAGAATCCGTCATTATGACTGCGTTGTTTTGATTTGATGGAAGTTTTCGAAGAGCTAAAATAATCGCCACGAGCTCCGCTTCAAAAACTGGAGTAAAATCAGGCAGTCTCACTCAAAAAGGACCAGTCAAGCGAATCAGAGGCAATGCCTACACCTGCCTTTTGATTATTTACGGAAGCATCTGTGGCTACTATATTTTTAGTTTCTGCATGCTCCAAGTAATCTAATAACATGTTATTTAAAATTTTGAGAGATTGTAATTTGGCGTTTTGGGGGAATATATCATCATACTCAATAATAACATGACAATGCGAGTCATTAGTCTCAATTACATTTCTAATGTTCACATTTATACTTTGTAGATTCTTTTGTACAAACATTATCTGAGGTGTGTGAAACCGTGGCCAATGAACAAGAAAGAAGGCGTCCGGGTTTGCGATAAAAGCATATTGAGATCTTCTTGCCGGTAAGCTATAAATTTTTAAAAATGCTTGTATGGTCAAAATTCGAAATCAACAAAGTAGTGTAGGCAGGCGCGCTTCCTGGTACAGTACGTTGATAGCCACAAATCTAGGGAGTCCCAGACACATTCGCAGTGCTTCTCGCTCCAAGACAACTAGAGGTTTCGTTTTATAAGCAGGGTTACCCGAGAATAATATGCAGCCGAATTCCATGATGGGGCGCATATAAATCTTGTACAACGTTATCAAGGTGTGCCTCCGTAACCCATATTTCCGGTTACTTAGCTTGTGTAGTAAGCCTGAAGCCCGCTGTGCTTTGGTAGCGCTTGTGTTTGCCCTGTGCTTCTTTTTCCTCGTTTGTTTTCCGCGCGTTGACCGATGGCGATATGACTATTTGGATGGCGTAGTACACGCAGCTGGCCACGTAGCAAACATAGAGTTTTCGAAAGTCTATGGTAGCAACCACAAAGAAAGCCTACGCATTGTTTAAAAAAACTATGAAATTACCTAATGCGCAATCCCCACATTTTTGATGCAGCGCCACTAGCAGTTTTTTTTTTTTAGTTCTGGTAAAGCTTCCAAGTGCATCATTTTTTAAATTTTTTATTAAAGTATTACACAAAGTTTTATGTAGCACTTTTTTTCACTTTACGAAGCGTAAATATTAAATTTTGTACGTTTTTATTGGAACGAGCGTCATGCATCAGGGCGGTTCGGCCAGTTATGGCGGCTTCGCGACTCGCGAGCTTCACGCGCTCAACAATGGGCGACTTGTAACGATCGGGCTGTTTGCGTGAAATTTGAAAGTGCTGCGGTGTCCTGTGGTTCCAGGCGTGCGTTTGTGACAGCTTCTGTCGAAAAGCGGTCCTGTGCGGCGCGAAGAGAAACTGTCTTCAAGCCGCAGCTTGCTGGTCAACTCTGCGCCATGGTCGAAACGTCCAAACCGTCCGTCGACCTGTCCACCAAGTCGGTGCTGCTGGCGGCAACGGACGAAAACATGAACCTCTACGAAAACCGCCTGGCTAGTTTCGAGAGTTGGCCGCTGACTGGCGACTGCGTCTGCACGCCAGCGAGGATGGCAGCGGCTGGTTTTTACCACTGCCCCACGGAGAACGAACCAGATCTGGCACGCTGTTACGTGTGCTTTAAGGAGCTGGACGGCTGGGAACCGAGCGACGACCCAGCCAAAGAGCACTCGCGCTCTGTGGACTGCGCTTTGGTTCGCTTGGGCAAAAAAAGTGAAGACATGACAGCGCTGGACTTTCTCGGCCTCGAGAAGGCCCGCGCAAAGAACCGAGCCCGCAAATTTCTCGAGCTAGCCGAGGCCGAAATGGGAGAGGCCATGCGCAAAGTCAAATACGAACTGGACAAGGTGCGGAGGAAGAAGCGTTGACGGCCCGCCTGTGTGCTACGAGGCGTTCGCTGCTGTGTGCTCTTTCGAACTGTGTGAAACGAAGTCTTTTGAACTAAACTCTCTTTGTATATTCTTTAACTTGTGCGTGTCTGCTTTCAAGCTGTGCGATTCGTGCAGTCTCTTAGCTCTTTGTGTATTTTTTAACTTGTGACAGATTTTAATGACAATTTTTCCTTTTTTAATGCTACTTTAGTGTTTGTCCATGAACTGATATGCCATGAGTGTTGAGTCCCTTTGTCCTCCGTGCGTCGGACGCGACCATCTTGTTCTTGTTGACCATATATACATCTCGTGGTTCGTGCCCATTGTGGGGCTTAACTCTGTATAGCCCGCTATATAAAGTCGTATTGCACCCCATGGGGGGAAGAGACCGGGTTCCCAAACCGAAACCTATATACCACTATGAGCACAAGTGCAACGAGGTCGCCTTTCCTTCTCTCTAATGTTCTTCATTTTTGCAGCCATAAAGATGTAGTGCTGCGTCATTACATAATTTAACGACTACCATTTCTGCGAAAAGAAAGCCCACGGGTATGGCACCTTTTCTGCGACTAATGACTGTCACGCTCAAAGTATAGGACATACTGTTGAAATCCTAAGCTTGTTCAACACAGCAAAAGAAACTGTTGTGTAGTGTATAGGGGGCGCTGTCAATGCTATCATCTGTATATAAGCGATTGCCATCAAAATAAAGGTGTGGTTCCCCGTCCATGGATCGGTCCGACTTATCACTCGGCGCTTCGCGATACGGTGATATCACATTCTGGCGCAGTCGGCGAAGCTAGCGAGCTAGCGACGAACCGTTTCCTGCCGTTTTAAGGGGCGTCGCCTACGAGATGGCAACGTACGGACTACCGCCATTACCGCCTTTTCTGGAGACTCCTGGAGATGCGACAATCCCATGGGAGCAGTGGCGCGATGATTTCACAAATTTCCTTGAAGCAACGGGGATGGACGCGCAACCGCCACCACGGAAAAAGGCCATTCTACTGCAATGTCTCGGGGTCGAGGGACGCCGTATTTTTCGCACACTGGGCCCAGAGCCGGCGCGGACGCCAGGCACGACAGAAGATAAGACGGAGGCAAGTGGAAGAGATAGTTACATCGAGGCGTTGGGCCTATTGGAGCGTCAGTTCTCAAGCACCGTCAACGTACTGGTAGAGCGACGTCGATTCACTTTACGTCGGCAACTGCCGAATGAGCCTATACGGGAGTTCGTCAGTAACCTCAGACAGTTAGCGAAGACGTGTGACTTCGGGGATTTCTTGGAGGCGGCTCTGCGAGACAGGGTTGTTGATGGAATACGGAGCACTGAGTTGCGACAGAAACTGCTCGTGAAGGGGTCCCAACTTACGCTGGCAGAGGCTGTAGAAATGCTGCAGACGTACGAGCAGGCAGCGGAGGGCGCTGCGGTCTATGACCAAGGGTCGCCACAAACGGACATAGTACAGCACGTATTCCAAGGCAGAGGCCCAGACGGCGACTCGACAGCGACGTCGGTGCGCAAGTGTTACCGGTGCGGCTCTACAAGGCACCTCGCTAATTCACAGGAATGTAAAGCACGGGGGAAACGTTGCTCCAAATGCCACAAGATGGGACATTTTCAAGCGGTCTGTGGCATGAGGAGGGAGCAGAACGTACGGACGGTCCGGAACGACGGCGCTAGCGAAGAAGGCGTGCTCACTGTGCTGGCGGTCAGACAAGTGGAACGACGGACTTTGGTAGTTGACGTCGTTGTTGAGAACGAGCCACTTCAGTTGCTGGTGGATACTGGGTCGTCGGTGTCTATTTTGCCCGACCACGTCTACCGAGACAAGTTCGCCAACAGGTTTCCTTTGACTGCGGCTACAGCGACGCTGCGTGATTTTTCACAGAAGAAAATTCCAGTCTTGGGATGGTTCACAGCCAGAGTTGTACGCGGGAAAAACTCGGCTTGCCTCCGCTTTTACGTTGTTCCCCAGGGCGTGGCATTACTGGGACTAGACGCGGTGCACCAGCTACAGTTGAACATCATCGGTTCTACATTGGAATGTCTACAAGTCACGGCCAGCCCCCAGTCGCTCCCTCCTGAATTGTGTGAGTTTTCTTTTCTTTTCGCTGATAAGTTGGGCTTAGCGAAAAACTTTGTACATTCTGTAAAGCTGCGCGCAGACGTAAAACCAGTAGCAGCGAAAGTTCGACGCTTGCCCCTGACGCTGCGAGATAAAGTAGCGGCTGAACTGACAAGATTATTGGATGCAGGCATTATAGAAAGGGTTAGCGCTGCGGAATGGGTGTCTCCTATAGTGGTTGTGCAGAAGAAAGATGGAACTATTCGCCTATGCGTCGATTTGCGCGAGCCAAACAAAGCAGTAGTCATTGATGGATTCCCTTTGCCGCACACGGAGGAACTGTTACATGCGCTGAGCGGAGCAGCATGGTTCTCGAAACTGGATCTTGCTGCAGCCTACCATCAAGTGGAATTAGCCGAAGAGAGTCGCGAAATAACGACGTTTATTACGCACGAAGGCTTATTTAGGTTCTGCAGAGTTTGTTTTGGCCTCGCATCGGCACCTGCCGCGTTTCAGCGAATGATGCAAGAAATATTGAAGGGCTGCAAGGGCGTGTTGTTTTATATCGACGACATTATAGTCTTTGGAAAGACTAAGCACGAGCACAACCGTAACCTTCGCGAGGTATTGCATCGGATCGCTGAGGCGGGGCTGCAGCTGAATCAGAAATGCTTATTCGCTGTCAAGGAACTCTCCTTTTTGGGTCATCACGTGAGTGCAAGAGGTCTGGCCCCACTTAAGTCAAAGGTGGATGCTGTGATGAAAGCACAAACGCCTGCCGATGTAGTCTCGCTGCGGTCTTTCCTTGGGCTCATAGGCTATTACTCTCATTTTCTCCCCAATTATGCAGAGGTGGTGGAGCCGCTGCGACGGCTTCTTCGTAAAGGACAGAAGTTCGTGTGGGACCAGAGCACCGAGGAGAGTTTTTGCAGGGTCAAGAAGATGCTGTCGTCATGTGGGGTGGTGGCCATGTTCAACGAGTCTTTGCCTGTACAAGTGACCACTGACGCCTCGGCATATGGACTGGGAGCTGTGCTACAGCAGGTAGTCGACGGAGAAGTACGTACAGTGGCATTCGCTTCGAGGACACTAACGCCACCAGAACGCAAGTACTCTACCGGGGAACGAGAGGCGCTGGCATGTTTATGGGCGTGCGAACATTGGCATGTTTATCTGTGGGGCCGCAAGTTTGTCTTACGAACTGACCATCAGGCTTTGGTGACACTGCTGTCCACAAATGGGGTTGGAAGACGGCCACTGCGTATTGAACGCTGGTCTGCTAGACTTCTGAGATACAACTTCACGGTGCAGTACACAAAGGGGAGCACCAATGTCGTTGCGGATGCGCTTTCTAGGCTACCGTTGACCCCTGCAGAGGACGACCCTGTGGAGGAAGTAGTTGCTGTGGTTTCCAGCATGATCACAAAGAGTGAGTTGCAAGCAGCGACAGCTGAGGATTCAGTGTTAAATGAGGTGGCACAGTATGTTATGTCCAGATGGCCGGAAAAGGGCTGTTTAGCTGAAAACATAAAATTGTTTTTTCGTATGCAAGAAGAACTGTCGGTTATAGACGGACTATTGTTTCGCGCTGAACGGGTCGTTCCCCCAGCAGCACTTGCTTCCAGGCTGGTCATGATGGCACACGAATCGCATCCAGGCATTGTAAGGACCAAACAACGGTTGAGGGAACAGTACTGGTGGCCCGGAATGGACAGTGATGTTGAATCTTTGGTTAGGAATTGTGCTGTCTGCAAAGCATCAGATAAATCTGCAAAAACTGTAAGGGCCCCGTTGGAGCCAGTGCAGTGGCCCGAGAAGCCGTGGGAAAAGCTTGGAATTGACATCGTTGGGCCGATGGAACGAGCCCCTCCAGAGTGCAGGTTTGCAATCACTATTATTGATTACCACAGCAAGTGGCCTGAGGTGGCATTTGTGTCCACAATAACTGCACAGGCAGTAGTGAAAGTACTCGTGGAAATTTTTTCGAGAGAAGGGTACCCGAAAAGCATTGTGACTGACAATGGGCGTCAGTTCATGTCGACATGTTTTGAGCAGTTTTTACGAGACCGGGGAATTCAGCACTGTGTTACAACATTGTACTACCCGCAATGCAATGGGCAAATTGAGCGGTTCAACCGCGTTCTCAAGGAGTATATGCAGGTTGCGGCATTGGAGCGAAGACCACTGAAGGAGGCAATTTGGGACTACCTGGGTGTTTATAGGGCCACCCCGCATGCAACTACAGGAGCGTCGCCGGCTTACCTGCTGCATGGAAGAAAACCCAGAACGAGATTGGATGTTGTTGGCCTCCCAGAAAGGGAATTTTTTGAGGAGCCGCGTGTCGTCATGGAAAAGTTGAAACAGCGCGTTAAGGAGCAGCAACAACGAACAAAAAAGTACGTCGATGAAAAACGAGGTGCCAGAGCGTCTGTCATTGAGCCAGGAGATTTCGTAAAAGTAAAACAAGGCGGACCGAAGACGAAACACAAGTTTTCTTGGCCGATCCAGGTGAAGAGACGTGTGGGCACGAATTCATTTCTACTGGCAAACGGGACGAAATGGAACGCATCAAAGTTAACAGTAATTAGTAAAGGAAGGACAGGACAGGCACAAGCACTAGCTGACGCGGTTACAGCGCGACGCAATGCATCTTCGGGGTTTTCCTACGACATGGATCTTCACATAGGAAAGATGGCTCAGCCACAAAACCCTATAGTCGTGAATGAATCGGAAGTGGGTCCATCAGAAGACACCCAGGGAAGCGCTAACCATTCTGACAGTGCACAAACCACGGTAACGGAGCCCATATTAGAGGTTCCCGATCAGCAGGACACATCTCGGTCGCAGTTGGCCACAGCCACAGCACCATCACGCACCAGGCCGGAACGAACAAGAAGAATGCCAACACGGTATCAAGACTACGAGCTGACCTGACTACAAGAACATCAAGTGTGGTGAAGTGAACGTGTGCTGTGAAGTGAGTGCGCGAAAGTAGACTGACTTTAGTTGTGTTGTTAATTTTTATGAGGGGGGAATGTGTTGTGTAGTGTATAGGGGGCGCTGTCAATGCTATCATCTGTATATAAGCGATTGCCATCAAAATAAAGGTGTGGTTCCCCGTCCATGGATCGGTCCGACTTATCACTCGGCGCTTCGCGATACGGTGATATCACAGAAACCATGCCACGATTCCAAGTACTGTATGGCTTTAAATGAAAAGGCTCGCCAACAGCTTGTAACTATGTTATCATGTTACCAAAATAGCAAGTTGGGACTCCCTGCATGAGACCCTGGATAAACAGCAATTTTGCGGCATCAGGAAATTTTGTGGTTGTTTTCTGGCCACATTTCATCCATCATGTGAAGCAAAACTGAGTTACTCATCTAAACCTGTACTGTTGGAAGACTGGAAAGAACTAATGTACAGAACGTCATCAGAAAAGACAGACTTCCCCAAAATACCTGGTACTAACCTTTGCCTCTAGTAGCAGTAACGTGCCAGGAATTCTAAAAAGCATATGTAAAAATATAACTACCAGGTGGTGCATCTCAAAGGAAAGACAGCGTTACCGTTGTTGAATATTTCGGGACAGCTCGCATAGCTGACGTAGACCTGCATGTGCAAAATGAGCAGTCCAAAACCATATCTTGACAACTATGACATGGTGCACCTCATTATAAAGTGTGACGGTAAACATCAATCCTACTTCGTTTCTGAACTAACACTTAAAGAGGAAAGACTACCACCACAAGGTTGCAATTTGTGCTTATGCAGCATGCCAGGTAAAATATGTATCATCTGCCTTCACCATATGTACGACCTGTGCACAATAAACCACTGGCCGTGTGGCACCTGCCCGTGTGGTGACAAATTAAATCAGCTCTCAAGGCTGCACCTCTCCAGGTAAGGTCTCAAACACAAGCTAGTAGCACGCACACAAAGGTGTCCAGTGGTTTCCAGGAGGTAATGGACACAACACAGTCACCTTCAAATCTGTAGGATCAGTGTGACTCTGTTCACCACACTAGAGCAGAAAATACAGCCAACAATGGAGTAAAAAGAGAGTCATGTTACCTAAAGAGCAAGCTTCTGCTGAACACAAAACACTTCTTCACTGAAGGAGATGGGCTCACAAACAATAAATAAAAAAAAATTTTTAGAAGTTTTGATTACAGACATAGGTTATGCAAAGATTTAATGCTAAGTTGCTCTGTGTTGAGGACCAGCACTTGAATGAAAACACCAAATACAAATTTCTTATTGTATTATACATTGATAGGCAGATTGCAATGATGTCCCACTGCATTTGGTGGTGGAGAAATTCCACTGCATTTTCACTGCATGATGAAATTCCACTGCATGATGTCCCACTGCATTTGGTGGTGGTGGAGAAAGCTCAGAGCTCTGTTCTTTGGCCCCTTCTGTGCATTCAAACAAATCAAGAGCCAGTAGCTGTACAGGCCTTATTGTTTATGGCAGTTTGTTCACTGTATTTACTTCCCAACAACCATTTGAAGCTTAAAGAATTACATGCACCCATAGATCAACTTCCGTGACTGGTGCGTTGGCGAAAACCGCTACTACAGTGAGCGACTTCTGCTAGTCTAGAGCTGCAAAATATACATGTCATGTTCTCTATATCCACCCAGCTGAAATAGAGACTCAGCCAACTGGGAGAAATACCAGAAACTTCTGAGACACGATAATACGTATTGAACATTTAGTGAAATACCTGATCCCTTTTGTTCTTGCACGACAACAAATTGAATACTACAAACATCTCGGTAAATTACTTGTTGTGTGATGTAATCAAGGAGGCAAGAAAGGTCTTTAAGATAATGCTTCAAGGCTCCTCCAAGAGTCTCCAAACACGTAAATCTCATAAATTATGAGCGCATGAAATCCCGGTGAGTGAGAATACGTAGAAAGGAAAATAGGAAGCTAGCCGAAATTAATTCCAACTTATATTAGCAAATATCTTGCAATATAGTTAGAAAAAATAAATGGCGCAAAGCCGTAGCCATTGCTTTTAGTAAGTAATGAATAAAATTGCATATATGACAAAGCAAATTATCTCCTTGCTCATTCTGAGATAACTAGTTGATTTCAAAGGCACTTGTAACTTGCAGAGAGCAAGCCACTACTGTGGAAATGCAGGCAGTCTCACATGTGTAACTATCCATTTAATGTCGTGGTGTACCAAGATATTTTTACATCTTATAACAAACCAGCTCCCATAACGAATAAAAAACAATTAAACTGAATAATTAGAAATGTAGAAACTACAGACACTCCTTTCAAAATTTATTGCAATATGGAAAGCGAAACCTTAATGCAATAGCATTAAAGAGCTCTTTCTGCAGAAATTCCGGCGTCGACATCGTTGATTGTAACGAAAAATCATCTTGAGCCTGACCAAAAAATTGAGAAAGGTGCTATCAAAATAAATAATAAAATCTTCAGCATGGGTGAGCATCGAACCCAGATCATTTGCGCGGCAAGCAGCTGTTCTATCACACCGCCACACGTCTGCTTGGAAATACAATTGAAATAACTTCCCCTGCTTGGAAATGCAATGAAGATAACGCTCATGCTTTACAAACACACGTGTCCTGTATACAGGCTTCACAGCACAACATGTAATACCGCAGAAATATTGCCTGGTACAACACATCACTGTGCGGATTTCCTTAATTAAGCCCATGTAGTGGGGTGCATAGCAAGTTCGATAAGATTTCATAGGCATACTTGCTGGTGGTTTAAAGCATGCATGCAACCCGTTACACAGAATGCAGCCATACGCAAAAGCTTCACTGACCCAAGCCACTTTCAACTTTATCGATTGCATTGTAGTGATGCACACTTTAAGCTTCCAAAGTAACATCATGAAACAAAAAGTATGCATAGTTGGAGTAGGGAGCAGGAACAAGATATCGCTATCGCCTTAAGGGGGGGCGCGGCAAGTAAAGTGCCGATTTTGGTCAAAATATGCGATTTTCTGATTTATTTTTTTTCGTAATCTTCAGACCTTCAACTTCCTTGTTCTAAAATATTACAGCGAAACGTGCGCTACAAATCCCGCAAATAGTGTTTTTGCCGAGGCTAGTCGCCAAAAAGTGCGAAAAAAAAGCCCCTGAAACGGTGTTGTTCACGCCGCACAAACGCGCCAAGTTGTTGACAGTGGGCCGCCATTTTGGTAGCTTTGGAAAGAGGAGAAAGCCGGCTTCCCGATGGTCGCAGTCTCGTATTTCGCCGAGTGAAAATAAAAGCGCGAGGAGCAAGTAAAAAAACGAAAACGAAGAACGGCAATTGGCTGCGCGGGTCACGTGGTAGCAGGCGCGACCTCTTACTGGTCAAAGCTGCGCCGCGCACCTTGGCAACCTTGGAAGCGCGAGCGCATCTGCGGCCGCCGTGTCGAGAATCATCCGGCGTGCGCTTCGTTTTTTGCCAGTTTGCTGTTTTTGTGATAGTTCGCGTGCTTTTTTTACCAAGCTTTGTTACATCGGTGGTCTCTTCTGAGTGCTTGCTCATACTGCGGTGCTATGTTGCCGCAAAAAAAGTTCCGGAGCGTCCACAAGTACGGCAAGCGTCGGAAAGCTTGGAACAAAGGGCAGACGACTGCGGCTGCCGTCCCAGTCGCAGTTCCGGACGGAGCATGCTCTTCGAGCGTCACGGAGCCTCTACTCAGACCCTTCGCTGATTGTTGTGAGGCCGAGAGTGTGGAAGGTGCCACATCGTCGTATGTCAGACCGCCGGATGCCGTCGACCGTGATGGACGCTCTCGCGAACCCGATTGCGGTGGCACCGCGTCGGCAGCCGTTGCAACTCCGGGCGTGCGCGCGTCGAACATTCTATCGCGAGTTTCGGCCCAGATTCCGAGCAGTGAAGAAATCGCGCAGCGGGCGCAGACAAGGCGGGATGTTTTGGATGCCGTAGCATCGAAGTCCGCTTCAAAGCGGAAGCTCGAGCTTCTGAACGAAGGCTGCGACGAAAATGACGGCGGTAAGGACTCCACATGCTTCATTGTAAATAAGAAGATGCTGAACGGTCTGCTTTCGTCAGTAAAGTGCAACAAGTGCGACGAAGGGTCGATACGCCTCGAGACTACGCACTGCCTTGGACTCGCGGCGAGGATGGAACTTTTTTGTGACAATTGTGGCAGAGTGAACAGTGCGTGGTCGTCCCCGAGGTGCTCCGGGCAACAAAAAACGAACCCCTTTGAGGTAAACGTGCGTGCTTTGAGGGCTGTGCAGTCAGTTGGCAGGAAACAATCTGCCATAAATGACATTTTTTCTGCGATGGACATTTCGCATCGAGCACTGCACCACAAGTCCTACCAGAGACTGCAAAGGAAGTACAGCCACCCTGCCACCACATCAGCTGCCACCCGCATTGAAGCAGAAAGTGCACAGAAGGTGCATGACATTTACAAGGACCTAGGAGGAGTGCCAGGCAACATTGACGTCATTTACGACGGCACGTGGATGACGAGGGGGCACAGAAGTCATATTGGCGTGGGCTGTGTAATCGAGCTGTACACAGGCTTGGTTTGGACCACTGTGTCCTGTCCAACTACTGCCAAGGCTGTGCTGTTGGCCCCAAGCCTGGTGACGACAACTATGAGGAGTGGCTTGAGAAACACAAGCCACAGTGCCAAAAGAACACCGATGCTAATGCAGGCCAAATGGAAGTAGAAGCAGCTAGGATCATGTTTGAAAGATCGTTTACCAAGTACAAGCTTCGATACATCAATGTGCTCTGCGACGGTGACAGCCGTACGTACCTTGCCCTCACGCAAGACAAGGTGTATGGCTACATGGTGATTAAGAAACAGGAGTGTGTGAACCATGTGAAAAAAAGAATGGGCACTTCCTTGCGCAACCTTCTTGATGAGCACAAATCCAAAGGCCGAGGACTGAGCATGGGTGGCAAAGGCCGGCTGACGCAGGGCCTGATAAAGAAGTTGACGAATTATTATGGCTGGGCGATTAAGAGCCACCCCAACGATGTTCCTGGCATGGAGAGGGCCATCATGGCCACTTATTACCATGTAACATCCACAGACCAGGATCCACACCACAACCTGTGCCCAAGTGGGACTGACTCCTGGTGCCCGCACAATCAGGCATTGGCCAAGGGAGAGCCGCTGCCGCCTCACAAACATAAACTGCCCCCTCACGTGCGAGTGGCACTGCTGCCAATCTACAAGCGCCTCTCGAACAAAGAGCTCCTTGAAAGGTGTGCGCAGGGAAAAACCCACAACGCTGTGGAGAGTATGAACAGCCTCATTTGGTCACTCCAGTCCAAGAGCCAGTTCGCCTCCCTTCGAAGTGTGGAAAGTGCAGTTGCAGATGCAGTCTGCCGTTTCAATGGTGGCTGCAAGAGTGCGCTGCAAGAGATCACTGCTCAACTGGGCTTCAATCCAGGAGACTGCTCTTTGCGGCGAGCAGCCGAAAAGGATGCCAAAAGGGTAAAGAGGGCTCAAAAAGCGCATTGTTCCACGACAAAGAAGCGCAAAACTGGGTTGCGCTCTACAGAGGCCAAGGCCACAGCATCTCAGGATTACTGCCCAGGAGGATTCTGAGTGTTTTAGCCATGTTGTGAACTTCCAAACAAGAGTGAACTTTCAAAGTCAGTTTTCTCAACTCTTGATTTTCGCCTATGTGCCTTCGCTAGAACATCTGTCATTTTCTAACAAAGACTGATAGAGTCGTTCCGTTTTTTGCACTAGGCTCAGGAGGCCTTTAGCAGTGCAATAAAGCTTTATCTCTCTTCTTACTCATCATTTAAAATTTTTAGAACACATTTTATAATTACTGCGATGTGTGCGCAAAACAACATCCATGTTTTGGAAATTTTATTTATGGTTACAAGAACTAGAAAAATCAACTAATAGCTTCTTTGCACAAGTTGATGCTTTGGGAACATAATAATATGAAAAAATAATTTCATTTAGCAATAATTATCTCTTTAAGTGTGAAGAGCATTAATTAGTATAATTATGCTTGTAACTCAAAAAGTACAAGAGGTATTTGAAAACGGTTTTCATATTTGGAATCCTCACAATCATCCACATACACACACCAAATTTCATCACAAACAGTACATTAATAAAAAAATTAGTTTTACTTGCCACGTCCCCCCTTAAACTCTTAAAGGCAAAGCTTAAGGGTCCCCAAATTTTTTCTCCTCCTGGGAAGGAACCTTCATTACAGGCCAGTAGCACTTACTGTTATAGTAAGGTCCTTGAGAATATGATTAAGTGGCAACTAATTTACTTGGAAAGTAAGAGTAAGAAGTCAATAGGTCAATTCCACTGTGATTAAAGGGAGGGAAGGTCCACAGACCACTTTGCCCATATTGTGTCAAAATATTCAAGGTGCACTTTCTAAAATTGCAGTTTAAAATACTTTGTGTGCATATGTGTACTAGATGTGTGCGGTAATAACAGTGTTGTGTAAGAAGAGAAGTAGTGGCTTGTGGAATCCAGTAACATGTATCCAGCAGTCATAGCTCTTCATGTCGCTGTACTGAAGGTCAGCTTGGAGGAGGTTACGGGTGCGTTCGGATAGTAACCTTTGAGATGTCTACAAGAGATGGTATGCATCAGCTTGCATCACTGTAAAAAACAGCAAGTTCACGTAGCAACCAGTGGTAAATGCAACCAGTTCTATATTGAGAACAGAGCCGGTGCAAAAGTCTCCACAACCTTAGGCCTACTAAGCACGACTTCCTCTGCCCTAGTAAAGTGAAAGAGGACGGAGCAGATACGGTGGGATCATAGCGCACGAGTCCTGCCCATGAAAATATTTACGAATTCGTAGCTAGTCAAGTCGGAAAGGAAATGGATGAAAGGTCTGGATCAGGGGGGCAGTGTGCTTGTTGGTCAGCAGAAAAATAGTAAGACGCAGGCACTTCACGATGGCCACATTAACTATGTAGCTCACGGTGTTCAAATCAGCCAATGGCTGGGTGCTTGTACCTTTTAACGTATGATGCAGTTTACTGTAGGTGAAAGGCATTATCTATATAAAAAAAATTCGAACGCCTTTTTAGTCGACATTCTTTGTTTTCTTATTCACATGCCGCATGCTGCACTGTAATACTTCTCTCACATCTTCACAGGAGCTTCAGCTACCAATCAGCAGAATTTTCAAACCACATTCAAAAAGTGCTGCAGGACCCCTATAACAAACTTTGCATACTGTACTGAAGGAAACATGGTGACAGCACCCAAGTAACTTCAGCAGTAACTGATGACCTTCCCGGTAAACGCTGCCTTGGTGGTGTACTACAGCCATCCACAAGTGCAATAAGTACACACACAACAACATATCTTGTGTAGAACCCTTTTATAGTTTTTTTTTCTGGGTTACAAAATATCTCAAGGCACAGCTCAACAACTGAGATCTCTTTAACAGAAAGCAAGAGTGCACCCCTCAGCGACGATTGTTTTGAGTGCACGCCAACAGAACACCGCACGGTTTTCTTTTTTAAAAAATGCGATTTTCCCATAACGTAACAAAATATTTAAAGTGTGCTCACTTCATTTAACATAAACAAAAGAACAAAAAGGGCCTGCGATTGACTTGTGTCAGCACAAGCCATCATTAAAGTTGATTACATGCCATGACAAAAAAAAAAGTGAAAAAAGGATGGATGGGAAAAGTGACTGAAATTCACATATGTACAATCTCGAGAATATCCAGCAGGTAAATCTTACATATACCTTTTCCATGGCATTTTGCTGCAAAATTGTAGCAGCAGATGAAATAATTATAATAACAAAAAAAAGGCCTGCAATGCTGCACCGGCCCTTGCTCCAAGAACGAGATGGCATGAACACACACATGATGCTATTTACAGTTCAAGTAGTGATGACAATGAAATGAATGCAGCTCCACAGGGGTGCAACAAAACTGGTGAACGACCAAAAAAGAGGCAAGAATTAGGTTAAATTCCAGCAGGGCCTGTGCACCGACTGTCAGGGCAAAACAATTAACGACCCTTACGATGAACTGGTCCAGGTACACAGAGAAACTCCACTGTGCTGCGACAGTGGTGAGACTGCATGCAGTTTATGCGAGTCTTTTCTTCCACGACTGTGCACACGATGGCTTCAATATTGGAACACTCAAAGTCCCGATAGAACGTGGCTCATTCGTTCTTCTGACAGTACAGCTCCTTGAGTGATTTGAGCTCGTCTATGAGTGCCTTGTTTTGATTTTCAAGGACGGCGACCCGATTTTCCAGGCATTTGATGTATTCCTTCTTTTTCCGCCGACACTCCTTTGCAGCATCCCTGTAATTGAATGTAAATGACAGGAGTAATATTGAGAGATTGGCAGACAGTAGCACAGGTTTGATAACAAGCAGAGGTAGCACATATAACTGACATCAACAGAAAAAAAAAAAAAAGTGGACCTGGGTTAGCCACGTTATGCGCAGGACTAACAAGCAGGTGTTGGAGCGATAGACTGGATACCACGGGAAGGAAGAACCTGAGCGGAAACCCTGACATACCTAGATGCACTTCAAGACAGATGGCACAAGTTACACCACCTCAAGCTGCACTGTCCTCGTTTACGCCTTCAGAAGGCGCAGATGCGGGAATTTGAGCAGAGATGAGAAAGTAAGGAGGACAAGCTGCCCCTGAAGATAGGTTGTCCAAATCGATCAAGCAATGGTAGTGTCAAAAACAGGAGTGTGCATTCTCGATTAATCCACCACTGTGTTACTGAATATTGTCCTTTTGGCTGCCTCATTTGGCAGAGCAATCTTCTCAGACAGGAAGGTGTTGCCAAGCCAAATCATATCAAATATTCCTCCCACAATTTCTTCAGGTTTCTTGTTTCGCATCCTGCTCAAGTGGGCACCAGTGTTATGTTTTTACAGCTATGAAGAAATGTTGCAAACTCTTTACCCAAAAAGTAAATGTATGTCAGCTATCTGGATGATATAGTGACAAGCTGACCATATCCTTGGGAAGTTGCAGTAATAGAGAGAGAGAAATAAAATTTATTCGCACTCATCCAGGATGACGGGGCAGGAGGCATCAGCCTCTGCCCCCGATCATCTTCCTGGCAGTCAGCCCTAATCCTTTGGACTCTGCAGCGGTCAGGGCGAGACCGATGACTTGACGCTGTTCTTCGGTGTCGTGGCTGTGTAATAAGGCCTCCCAGGATTCTACGTTTCTACTTGGGTCATTGCAAGAAAGGGCAGGTCCAGACCATGCGCACTAAACCTGCAGTGCTATTGCAGTGCGCACATCTGGGGTTAAACACTTCCGGGTGCCATTTACTGAACAGGCAAGGATTTGGAAACACGCCAGTTTGCAATTTTTGCCACATAATTTCCTCTTTTTTTTGTTCAGCAGTTTAGCTGACTCTGGATAAATGTTACAGTGGAAATTATAATTCGAGGCGATTTCTTGGAACTTTTGTAGCTCATCTGTTGTGGAGAGGGGTTTCTCGAGTGGAGGTGGCGAGTCAGCGGCAATCGACCGGAAAGTGAGCCCTCGAGCAATCACACGACAGTAAGCTTACTAAGTGGCAGCCCTTCGCACATATATGTTCCATCCTTGGTTGTGCGAACATTCCAAATTTCTAATATTTTTCATGTAGTGTTGCCTATCCAATTCAATTTTCAGAGGAATTTTTACAATTCCAATTTCCCAAAACAAATGCAGTCAATGTTCTATTGAAAGTTACCCCTTCAGTCCTGCAATATACTTCCACTCATCAAATTACCATATTGTGGCAAAGCTGCCTCTCAGGCTTCATTGCAATAGAACACTTTCAACACAAATACAGCCAATGTAAAATTTAAAATGACCCCTTCAAATTTTTAACATACTTCACCTCTACACACCGTCGCAATGCAGCAAAGCTGCCTTTCAGGCTCCACTACAGTTGCAAATGTATTAACTCATGAAAACGCTAGTACCAACATGAAGATGATAGGTGTGGCAGAGGTGGGGGCTCAAATAATTCTCTTTTTGACCAGAAATTTGTGCAGGAAGTCCCCAAAAATTGGACGTCAGAAATTTTTAGCACCTAATATGTCAAATGTTCTTATATACTGACGTCTACAAGGCAGATTTGGAACTCCCAACTTGAAGGGAGCACAACCTTGTACGCCACAGTTGGTCTTCCACAGAAGTTGAAAGAGGAGGAGGCTCAGAAAATAGCATCTTTGCCTAGCACGTGTAAAGTGTTGCCGGCAACACCTTAATTGCACCAAATCATGTAGTAATACAATTTCGACGCAGCACTGCCTCATTCTTGATAAGACAACTACAGTCGAACTCGTTTAAAACGAACCCGAAAGTGCTGCGATATGTGGTATTTGGAAGCTCGTTGTACTGTATTTACTCGCGTAATGATCGCACTCGCATAATGATCGCACCCCTAAATTTTGTCGTCTAAATTCAACTTTTTTTCCTGAATGATCGCACCCTGAACTTGCCGTATCGACATGTCATGTGCCCAGTCTAGCTGAACGCGTCTATCATTGTTTCTGTGATCTGAAAGCGGGCATCACTATGATACTGCCGTAAATTTACTGATTTAAATGAAAGCATTGCTTATTTAGATGGAAGACACTGTTTTGATGCGAGTGACCCTACTCAACACCTCCATAACTGATGCAAAGAAAAAAAATGCGGTAGCTTTGCTCCACAAAGTGCTTCGCTCCGTCAGGCGCCATGTTTGTTTTGACATCCCGCACTGTTACAGCGGCGGCCGCCTGTTGGTCGACTCATGTTCGTCCCGCAGCAATGTTTTTTTTTTTTCCTGAGACCAAGTTTTTTTTTCGGCGGTTGCGGCGGGTAGCCTGTTCGTGCACACAAGAAAGACGCATTTTGCAACTAACGGGCGCCAAGTGACCTTGCAAGATGCGGCGGCGGTGAACATGCGAATGGCAGTATGGAGCGCTTGTGGCAGCCGTCAGTCTGTGCTGTTTAGAAACTTTCAGCCAAGCACACATCTATCTGCAGATGACTGTGGTAAGGCTGTCAACAATGAGTCAAAATTTACTTATTTACTTAAGCGCTGAGAGATACTGTTAGCCCTTACCCAGGGCTATTACAGGAGTGTAATACAAAAAGATAAAAACATAATTATTCTATAATCAATACAAAACTAACATGTATAATTGGAACTAACACAAAAGAATCAATATGAAGTAGAAGATCAATATGAAAATGGCACGTTTATCGCCACTGGCCACCTCGCCTTCGCTCCTTTCCGATACTTATTCGTTAAGGCACTGCGGCTACCATATGGAAGTCACTATCATTGATCAAACGGTCTCTCATTATCGGAAGGTCGAAAACATTTGCAGCACACTGTGGTGTCAGGGAGCTGAACGTCTCGGTGCACTTTTATGCGACAAAAAGTTGGCACTTTTTGCATTTATAACTTCTTGCGTTCGAAGGCAATGATTGGTTAATCGTAGGCAGTTTTAGATGCCCAGAACAGCGTCAGGAAAGCTTGGCGTGCGAAAGCTATTTCTTTTCTTTTACCTCACTTCCATTCTGCCGGTGAAGAATCTCCTAGAAAGTGAGCGACCTTACTCGTAGCGTACAAAATCTGCGTGTGATGGTGGCCGCGGTCTACGGTATCTTTATGTCGCAAATAAACTGCAGAGGGGCACGCACGAACGCGGGCCTATCGAATGCTTTAGAATGCCTGTTTTAACTTTCTTTTCACCTTCTATAGGCCCCTTTTTTACCGCGACCATGTCGAAAGCGTTCGTTGTAAAAGTAGAAGGCTTTGACAAACGTTCTTTATATGTGGACGCAGTCTCTATAGATAACATAGGAAAATTGTAAGTGCACTGAAATATGGTCGTTATAACTAATATATCATTATATCTGGACCGTTATAAGTGAGATCGGCTGTATATGATACCACCTTGCCGGTGCTTCATAAGTCCAGAAGAAACACTTTCAGAAGAAGAAGAAACACTTTCATGTTGCTATATCTCATAAAAATATGCTTAGGAATCCTCCCCGGCTTTTTTTTCTTTTTCTAATTTCGCTTCAATCTACTTGAAAAATATTCGATCCGATTCTTTTCACACTTCAATATTCGTATTCACTTCACACCAAGAATTTCGCTACTCGTACAGCTGTAGTTTCACATTTGCATCCCATACATTGCAGATTACAGGAATGTTTAGAATAATAGAGAGTCAAGCTAGTTGGTAGGTATCCCTATTAAAAAGAATGGGTCGTGCTCACACCAACACCAGAGCGAGAGAAGTCAAGAAACCACAAATCGCCGTTTGTGGCATCTGGACCTCTTTCTTTCCCTTTCTTGTGTCCGTGTTTCTACGACCAGTCTTTTTAGGATGATTACAGGAATGCGACGTGCTGCAAAGTGGCATGCGTGGTCTGACACTCCTGGTAGTGTACCTGTTTTTGAGTAGGCGAAGCTCCCGCTTGCGGGATGCTTCCTCGGCAAGTGACTGCTGGGTCTGGAGACTGGGCGCCGGTCCCATGACTACACTTTGTGCCAACGCCTGTGACGAGCCACCAGTGCCCGTCGTCCGGATCTGATATGCCTGAAGGTCGGCCGCAGACACTGTCACTGCAAGATCAACATTTAGCCGTAATTACTCACCCAGTTATGCCCCCAAGGCTCGGCAAGTTCATCAGAAGAAACCAAGCAGCAGAAAAATGCATCGAGCTGTGGTGTGTTATTTAGAAAAGAGACTAGTGTGTCATAGGAAACCTCTGTGAACCAATAGAGGCGATGCTTGTGAACCCCCACAAATGACAGCAAAATAGGGAGGACGAGACAAAAGAACAAATGTTTCATCTTTCGTGCCTATCCTTTTTGTATTCTGGTCAACTGCAACACTAAAAATCCAGCCTCAACAAAGAAAAGGAGAAAAAAAAAGAATCTGAACACAATTAGACAGTAAAATTACGTTTATATCATTAACTGAAATTTCAGTTTAAAATAGTACAGAAAAACCTTGCCGATTTAAATTTCACGAGACCTTAAAAAAATGTCTGAATTAACCATATGTCAAATTATCAAGAGTATCAAAAAGACATTAGAGAAATGTCTACTACATCAATATACTATTATTTTCTGTATGAATATGCGAATCCTGTCCTTATTTTTCATAAAAAGCAGTGTAGAAGCCGCTATACTAGTCATCCCGCCAACTTCAAGATTCGGCTGCAGTCTCGAGACTCCCATGTTTTAAAAGAACCCAAATGGTTTCAATGATTTTGTGCAAACGCATTGAAATGGTCGACCAAATAGTCCAATGAATAACTCGCAAACTGATCTAAGCTCTCCACGATAGTTGGGCAATTAGGAATGAGCAAATCGTAAACTTGAGGTTCGCTCGAATAGTTCAAATGGTACATACCACATATTACCACTTTGAAAAAACTTAATGAAACTGCATGTGATTAGAATGCAGCACATTCCAGAAATTTGTGCTAATGCACTCATTACAAATTATCATGCAGAAAAATTAACCCTTGTCTTACCACAAGCGCTGTAATACATCTACAACTCAAAATGACCGTCTCCCTTGGAACGGAGACAGCCGGATGCAGTACGATGCTCGTGCATTGTTTTTTGTTTAAATGAAATTCTCGATGTTTTTTTTTTTAATTGTAATTTGTCTATAGAGTATGGAGGTACAACACATTATGTATTAGACAGCTGCTGGCTAAATATTTGCAAGAAGGAAACTGCTGCTGTATGGGCATGCGGGTAAGGATGAAACGGAGCATGCAGGTGCAAACGCATGCATGTTTCTCAGCCATTACAGTATAACGACGCAAAGTAATCTTGCCGAGTAAGCTTGAATACATTTAGCAAAGTGATGAGTAGCATTAGCTTGCACAAGGGCAAACACAACGAAAGAAAGTTGCTAACCAGGCACAAAGAACTGTCCGTCCTGTCCCTGGGCATACTGGACGATGGTACCAGCCGCTGTTCCCCGAACCTGCGTTGGTCATGGTCAACGTCTGGAGGCCCTGCAGGCTGCCTTCTTGCGTCACGGTCGCCAGCTGTATGGCTGAGGCGGGGACCACTGTGAGCACAACAACCGACAGATACTTGAGACCTAATTAGGCATCAGTGTGCTTAGACAAGAGACAACTTCTCTTCGTGCAAAGGCAAGTTGCAAGTACATAGTAAGCTTGTTGCAACACAGAAACCAAAAGATTATACGATTTACAGTACAGAACCTTAAAAACAAAAGTGAAAATTAAATTAGACCATTAGAGTGAACATCTCGAACATGCACAGTTGTCTATGAAAGATGCTGTGATAGAGGTCTCTGGGTGTACAATGAAGAACGTAAAGAACCAGACAAAGAAATTAAATCTGCAACATCTTCAAGGTTGTAATGTCCACATAAGCACATGCAACATGTTTTTGCCTGTTCTTTGGACCAGTGACCGAGAAAGAGAAAGATACGCTGCATACCGAATGAACTGAACATTCCCAATAGTCTGCATGTTTTGTGTAAACCTGAACATTTAGTATATGACTGTAGACAATCACTTTAGTAAAGGCAATACTAAGTTTGATTCATCATTCGACATGCCATGTTCAGAGACGAACGTCAAAATTGCAATTCTTTTTGGGTCGAAATTAACATGACCAAAAACAAATTAACCTAATATTTTGAGCCAGTGAAACGAATAAACAGACAACTGCAGCCACTTGGCAATTGCAGCAAACAGTAACGAGTATTTAGTGCACTACCGATAAGAAACTAGGCATATTAGTATGCAGGACACATTCTCAGCGCTCACTAGAGAGGCAGCCTACCTTTCAGCAGTCCAGCTGCGGTGTGGTACTGAGTGCCAGCCACTGTGATGGTGTTGTCAGGGTCGTCTTCGTCGTCCTTCGTATCGGCTGTCAGCGATGCTACAGCACCCTGTGCCTCAGTGGAGGAGAGCTCGTTTAAGATCTTGCGGTAAGATGGTCTTCGTGCAAGTATTTCTCGCCGCTTCTTAGAATCGTCTTCTGCTGTGAGCACAGCCGCCTCCCCAGACACATCCAATTTGCCCGCTGGTATCAACTGCAATGGCAAAATGATGCACTCATGCTGCAGTGCTTCCCTTTTAAGCAGGAAATAAAATAATGTCACAAAAAAGTGAAAGCACTACTCAAGTGCAAATAAAAATGACAAAATTTTACTGCTCCTCACTCGTTTTTCTCCGCTATGTGCTCGCAGCTTGGCAAGTGTCCATAATAAAACATGTCTAATGCTTCACAAGACAAAGTACAAGGAGGACACATTATCATTTCTCGGCTGCAGTTAATCTGAGGCTGTGCTGCTCAGAGGCCATCTCTACAATAATGTGAATATTAACAACAAAACACCTGCAAAAACATGCATAAAAAGAAATGCTCTTTTATATTTTACATCTGTTCCCCTTTATAATGTTCACACTCTCAGAAGTTCATCCATGATGTGAAAAAACATTCAGGTGAATTAAATATGGCACTGGGTCGAAGATAAGCATGGTCGAATGCAATGATGATACTGCATGCACATCAGCGTACCATGGTTGTAAGAATTTCAATGCTCATGCCAGCTGGTGCATATATGTACAGCACATAATATTAGCAAATACAGCAGTAACAAAACAAGTAAGGCACTATGTGTACAAACTTGCACGACAAAAACCTCTCCTGCTACCCACATCAAGGTTAGTATTGTTAGCTCCAGCCACACACAAACACACACAGACATGCTCAGGTCAGCAAAGGAAAGTGCAATTTACGGCACACATGCAGCACAGACGACTAAGAGAGCGACTTATTCAGGGCACACACCTCTGTGCCCCTTTGGCGCTATAGAACTACACAAATTTCACAAGCCAGCAAAGACTTTCACGTGACTCACTAGTTGCACTAGCGACTCACACTGCTGTAGTTGACTCGCATCACTAGTGACTTCACACTAGTTGCAAGAGGTCTGCAGTTACATACAGACCTTAAGCCAGCCAATCACATCTAATACAGCACATAGCTGATACAGAACTTCTGGAATTTCATATTACTTGAATGGAGAACTGCACATTGGCTTCAACTGACCAATGAAATGTTCCAATTGCAAGTAAACATAATGGCATAAAATTACAGATGCATTAAGTTCTACAAAGACGAGTCGAGTTTCTTATGCAATGCATGTAGCAAGCTAAGCCTGAGCCTCAACACTGCTCTTCTTTGGGCACAGCTGTTCTTCAAGTTTGCTTCATGCAGATTATGTGTGTTGCCCTCCTTGCCAATGGCTTGTGCAAAAGCCAACAGGCAGCCTACGGCAAGCACAGATTTAGGAACTTGCAAGCTAGTGGGCGCAAAAGCATATGCAGGGAGGAGGAGAAAGTGACAAAGTAGAAGTCTTCGAACACCAATTCGATGACTGTGCTGTTAATGAAGCAGTAGAGACACCATATTTCCGTGTTTATTGCTGAACCCGAAAAGGCCACCTTTCTTGATGCAAACTTTGTCACAGAATGCAACTGCTGCCTTTGCCTCGTGCTGCATTGTCCTACGCATGCTCTTGCTCGACCATCTCGCCCTATACATCAAGGACATCTGCAGTTGCTTGGCTGCAAAATGAGGGTGTAGCTAGTCTTCAAGTGTGTGCTTGTCACATCCCACATCCCAACAGAATCTTCGCTGCAAACGTTGAGGCAAAATCAGCGATGGCCTGCTGACACATTGATTGATCAGCTGGTTCGACTTTTTTGCAGCTGGTTCACCCATGGACCTTCCTATTAGAAGATTAAGCTGGCTCTTCTCTCAAAACTTAGCAAGTCTGTGTCCTAAGGTTCATGCAGTGAAGTGAAAATGAGAAATGACGTAGCCTAGAAGTGAAAACACAAATTATAACTTAATTAAGTTAACTCCAACACAAGTTCACTGCCCTAATATTTTTAACAATTCATTCACACTAAATGTATCTGATGGCTGTTCTTAGCTGACACTTTGGCATCGGTTGATCTCTTGCATAGTTGTGACAAATCATTCAACGCAGAGCCTCTCCTTCAAAGTTGACTTAAAAACTCCCTCAAAATACCTGACCTATTCCCCAGCATTAAAAATGTGGTGTCTCCAAAATAAAAAAAAAAAAGAGGGGAGAAGGGGACAGATGAAATTTACCTCTGTACAGGCTTTAGCATGAGGGCCACCAATTGACCAAGCTCATGCATCGCATCAGCATTCACACAATTCTCGCGCAAGCAAGCAAATAAAAATGGCTCAAGAAATATGTGCAGTGCAAGCAAAGGAGAAGATCCGGGCAGCGTTAGGATTACAGAAACGCATGTTTGGCAAGTCCAGGCATTGTTACCTGGACAGGGTGGACGCCAGCATCACCGTCGGCACTGTGGATCACTGAGCCCTTATTTACCAATATGACATTCTTGCCCAACTGGAAAGAAGCAAGCAGAAAAAAAGGGGGACCCCCCACTTGGAGCAAGAGCAGTGGCGGCAGCAGCAGCAATGGCACGACAGCCCCAACGCTCCTTCGCACAACTTGTTACAGATTCCTGCGAAGACAGCTAAGCTGCCCATGTTTCGAGGCTAAACCTACACTCCTCGACCCAAGGGCTGCAAGTAGAGTTTCCAAACAAACTTGCTCAAGGACATACACAGCATACACTGACTACAATCTATAAGAGGCGCTTTCAGGAGTTGTGTTGATTGAGTTAATTGGCGACATGAATCTCAAGAATGGTTACAATACAATGAAAATGGCCACAGCTAAACATGAACCCGCACCTACACTGTAGTTCATGAAGGTAATAGCTATCAGCAAGGAAGACTTGCCTTTACAAAAATTCTTGCGCCCGTTATCAAGGTAAAGATGGCCAACTGGTGCCACAGAGGCCATGACGTAAAGCAGAACAGTAGCAACAAAAAGATTTAAGATTGCCGAACTTTCTGAAATGACTTGGATCGCGTAACTACCATGCCTAGACAACTTATGAAAGCACTATTGCATCTGGTGCGTACGTCGCAGATGACAGAGGTAAAGGACATGGGCTTGATTGATAGGCCCGTAAAGTTAACACCAAATGACACACAAAATGCAGCGTGTTCTAGTAAGTGTGCATCTACCTTCTGCAGCCACATCGTTTTATGATAATGACACAGCAGGCCGAGTTGAAGTTACGCATAACGCCAACTACACAAGAGTGGACACACAGGACAGAATTTCGTGGCCTCAATGAATGACTAAGCATCAGCCAAGATAACATACCACTAAGCGTGTATGACAGCATACAGCACTTCCTGCACAAGTTATGTGGTGGTACCTTCTTTTTTTTCCCAGGCTACTGTAAAGAATGCATGAAAAGAGAACGGAGTCCTTAAAGGACACTACAGAAAATAACTAGACTGACACTGCAGCAGCAAAAAAAAATGCTAAGTACTTTGATTAAACCCTCTGTATCACAGCATTCCCAAAGTGGACAAAACATATCAGCAAATTGCAATAAGATGCCAACATCTTTATTTAAAGTCTATGTGAAATGGTGGCATCACTCCCACATGAATAATGGTGACATTCCAATTTCATTATAAGGCAGAAAGTTAGCCACCTCAAGCACAATTTGCTAATATAGTCTGTCCACATACACGGATACTGAGATACAAACGGTTAAGAAGAAAGCAATTCTAAGCAACTAATGGAAAACATCTCGCTACACCTCCAGTTAGAGAGGAAAACCTTCATGAATATGTATATAAAAGAAGGCATCAAAACAAATGCCATGTGGCACTATAAGCGTTATTTTGGTCTCTTTCCTAAAGTGCCAAGGTCTCAAGACATGACAAAAACATATGGAGATGATTGTGAACAGTTTCTTTGAAGTTTCTGACATCGGCTGGCAGATGAAAATATGCCTAGGGCCATAATTAGAGGACCACATGCGACTTTCAGGAACATTACCAGCAACAACATACTTGACAAAAGTGCGTACGATGGCTGTTGAGTTCTCAAATGACAATGAAAGCATGATTACAAATTACAACAGCACAACAAGCAAAACAGAAGGATGAGGATCAACAGGGAAAGGCTCTTTAAAATGTTAGAGCAGAAGTGTACAGGTTACATTGAATCTCAAAATACACAGCAAATCTGAAAGCAGGACACACACATTCACCAACATAAGTTTAAATGCTAAGTAGATATCCAGCCAACACAGGACGTTCTAGCTTTACGAATAGAAATGTCTCTCTGAAGGTATTTTCGTGTAGTCTGCTGGACGGATAACACACAAACAGGAATAAGAGCACTTTTCAGTGCCAACAGTCTCTGTATTCAGTCTCCTGCTTGCCTGTCGTCCAGTCCAGTTGACCATGGTGACATGCACACATACCAATGTAACAAAAAATGACCAACGACGCTAGCTATCAACATCACACGGTTTGAATAAAACAGCGGTTCCACACAAGAAATGCGCCAGAGAGAGGGAGCATGAGAGATTGGCAAAAATATGCTGTAAAGCGCAGCACAAACATACACGCATGAATGAATTTCTCTTAACCACAAAGGGTTAAGAAAGAAAAACATAACTCACACTAAGTGCACTTACTGTCTGCAGGGCAGCTGCCCCTCCAGCGGCCTGAATCACGGACTGCTGGTTGGGCTGTATCACTGACTGTACGTGCATGGGCTGGTTGGGGATAGACACGTGCACGATGGACACACCTCCGCCAGGCTGTTGCACTGCCAGTGCTTGTGTTGTCGCAGAAGGAACCACCTGTGTGGCAATGAACAAAAATGCAAGACGTTCAAGCAAATAAAAATAGAGAAGTGAGCCACGCTGCTGGAAAACCCATCTTTTTCGACAATACTCGCAGGTAGAGACAAAATTGAGAGAATAAGCGTACGGTAACAAAAAGATGGCATCTTATTAAAGCTTATCATTAGCCACCTAGTAGTCAATTTTTCTACAAATAAGCTTCAACACCCTTTTACGCTATGAAGGGATCCGATTAGTACGAACAATCGGCACAGTAATCCTAGTGTTTGAGCTGTCAATCCTGCTCAACAGTCCTCTCAGGTTAACAACGCTCCGATTTCATGTCACGAGATCACAACTTAATTTTTCTAAACATTACGGTATGACCAATACGATTGTACAAGCCAAATACACGAATACAGGAGAGACAGTTGATTAATACAGACTCTATATACTTGTAAGAGATGTCAGTTCTGAAAATAAGTGCTTTACATAAATAATGCCAGCTTTAAATGAACGAGTTAATAATCAAAGCCAAGAGGAAGAAGCTACTGCTGTAATGAACAGTGTTGTGCTCAAGTTGTTTATAATAAGGACACAGCCAATGCCTGAGGTATGAACAGAATTCGTCCCATCAAATGTATACACAATTAAGACTTTTCTGTGGAATTGCTAAACATACTTGCGACAAATTCCTTAACACCAGCTCAAGGTAAAACAAGCTTCCACGTAGCACAGCACAAGATGCACTCAGACATTCCGAGACACAATGTTCCAGACATTGACATGTCGCATTGAGAGTTTCGGGCAGGGCATTGCAGCCTTGACGTTCCCCTTGTTAGAGCTTTATACCTGTACCTGTACCTCCACATATACTTCCAACGATTAAATATCTCTGCTACAAGAGATCTACAAAGCAATCTAGTGCAAGAATAAGTCCATTCTACTGTTCAGCATTTCGGAGCCCTTGTAATAATATAACGACTGCATTTTTGTAACTGAAGCTGTCCTAGCATGGCGTTCTCCTATTGAAAGTTTTAAAAACCTCTCAGAATATTGTCTAATAATGAACTAAATAAATGAAAGTTACTACAAATGCTCCTTGAGGCAGATCCAAATAGGTTGGTAGTGTAAATGCACAACATTCTTGAAATATAAATGCTAGTTTGCAAGCCTGTTATGAAAATGTTTCTAGGTCACTACCAATGTCTCATACTGAATATCTATAGAGCACATCACTAAAGAAAATTGAGTTAGATACTGCTTGAACCCTTTTTTAAGATAAGTGCAGCTGTGTTTTAATAATGACATACCACAACTTTGGCCTTTCAGCTAGAGCTACAAAAGAAGACCACTGAAGAACAACTCGATGCACATTCATGCAAGCTCACGAATAGACCAATATGAAACAGAAAGCCAACTCCCAGCTGCTGCACAAATGCATTGGTCTCACTGCCCACGAATAATATTGCAAGCGTGCCACCATACTGGACTTACGACAAAGCTTCCTTTGGCAACAATGCCTAATGTGTACCGCCATTTTTAACACTATGGCATTCAGCAGAGATGGCAAGATATGCCACGTTACACACAGTTTGTGGCTGCAAATCACTCGCACAGACATTACGTTCAGCACTTCACACGTTCACTCACAAAATTGATCATGCAAACACTCTCGGCACATCAGGATTATGAAAGGTGTACTCGCATGCAACGGCAAGTTTCCATGATGGCGGCAGGCATACACAAAAGAGCCAAGATGGCGGCATGCATACACAAAAGAGGAATGTGGTCTATACTTGCCATCGTAGAAAGCTGAACAGAAAAAACAAGGAAGAGAGAGAGAAAGAAGAATGGGAATGTACAGACCAGTAAACACAAAGATGTAGAGTATAGCTAAAAAGTAGGCAATATAGCCCAAAAAACGTCTGAAAGAAATGAAATGCACCTTCCAGCTAGAGAGAACATGTGCACCCTGCACGGGTTTCTACCACCTCCACAACACCTGCATGCTCATGATAGATGGGTGCCATCTGTACATTCATTGTGTTTAAAACAAGATCCTGCCGAGCACCTGAGGTGACAATCGAAAAAACGGGTGGCTCACACCGGAACTTCGAGAGGAGCCTTGTTGCTTGCAGTGTGCGGCACTATTGTCTCCCTAGGAACAATTCAGTGCACAAAAGCGTGCCTATGCAAAGCCTCGTGCGCTCAACAAATAATGAATCGTGCTGTTGTATGCTTTACCAAGCTTCACAACCAAACGTTGTGTTTTACATTTACTGTCTCCATGTCCAAATTTCTAGACATGAAACAGTTGGGTGCCACTAATTACAAAAGTAGCAGCTTATGAAATAACATGATCTTGAATTGAAATGCCATAATGCAACAATTTCAATGTAAATTTTGACCTCTTTGGGATATGACTGAGTAGTAGCAGAGTGACCTGGTTGCCGAGCTGAGAACGTTCAGTCAGTTATGAAATCTTTCGCACAAGATCACGAAAGTTTACTTGCGCTTGCGTGACAGCTTCCACATCAATGACTAATTAATACAAAGCGACTGCTTTTCAAGACTGCAAGAGAAAAGGATATTTCTTTATTTTTCCTGCTTCAGTACTGATGTGTTAATAAAAATACAATGTTTCCATAAAATATTGATAATGTAAAACCATTGTACACAAAACAAAACAGACTGCCAGAGTTGTTGCACTCACACTTGACAAAAAAAAAAAATCCCCTTCTTCATAGCAAGGTACCCAGTAAAAGCTGTGAAGGCATTGTGAAGAATGCCATAAAAAAACCTCCGTATTGCAATAAATGCCTGTTTGGCCAGTGGCCCAAATGTACTGTGCTGGTCATGTGTACATGTCGAGTAACACACAAAGAAGCATCGTTGTAATGCTGCCAGCACAAGCTGTTCTTCAAGCTTGCTGCATTGTTGGTGATCACGTGCTTGGCCTGCGCAGTCAGTCATGCACAGCGCATGGAAGCGAGCAAATACATGCTTTGTAAGTTGGTTCACTGCATGGTTCATGCAAAAGCCAGGAAACCAGGCTCGAAAACAAGCGTCAGTGCAGCATGATGAGGAGACACCATTGCTCTGCGGTTAAGACAATCCCAGTGTTCGGAAACACTGAACAACTTTCCAATTGCAACTTTCAGGGGCTGCCTTCATCGAACTATGCATTTTATGAAAGGCTGCATCGACTTCGAGTCTTCATGCAGACCGCTCCTGAATGTAGTTACCAGAAGTTGCAAGTTGCACAATGCAGTGTGAAAAGCAGAGAAATGCAGGCAAAGCATGATGCGACAGAAACTTTTTTTCCAGGTGTCTCGTGGCAGCCATGGTGCAGAACCAACTCACGTTGAGCTGCTTGACCTGTGCCGGCGAGGCAAACACCACAGTGCCGTTGGTGCGCCCCTGGGCAGAGGTGACCACTACCGCGCTGGGAGCCGGGCTGGAGCGTGCTGCCGTGGTAGTGCTGGTGGCACGCGATACGGGCGCACTGCTGGTCACCACGGTCGCTCCTTCTTCCATCAGCACTTCCATCTACATGGCCATGCAAGCGGGGTCAGCGCTGGCCAGCCACGACAACACAGCACACGCCACCCGGCAGCCTCAGCGGGCACACACCACCAACCACCCCTTGGCAACCATTGCTACGACCGAGCCCCACTGAATTTTCGAGAAGTAGTAGCAGCAGCCGCAGAGGAGTGCAGCAAGCTGTGCAAGGACACCAGGCACACTTTTGACGAGGCCACACCACAGTATGCTAGTACAGCATAATTTACGACTACATCTCCGAAATAACATTGTGAAACCCCCGACAAACCAGCGAAACCCCTTTGATTCAACACCAGAAATTTCGGACAGATTTGACCAGAAAGCACATTCTAAGTGTGCTCCTCAAGAATAAATATTCTGATATCAGTACTCGATTACATCCCACAAACCAAGGGAGCATTTTGGTAAAGTAAGAGGAGTCTCAAGTTTCCCTCCTATAAATGGCTCAACTTTCAGAATTTTATTCATTTGCATATTTCGCAACTGTTACTCTCTACCACATATCATTAACAGGCCAAATTAGAATTATTTTATTGCTATTTCTAGTTTAGTTCCATTTACTGGCAAATAACATGGCCTTCTTCAATGCTGGAGCAAGCCAAAAAGTCACAGAACAACCTCGGTTAAAAATTACACCGATTTACTACAATGGTGTTTCCGCCATATCAAACGAGTGGCAAGCGAGTGCCAAATGAAGTGCACAGCATGAATTTTAGGCAATTTTCCTGCTTGTTTAACCCCCCCAATTATCTTCCCACAGTCTTCCCTGCATATATTGCAACTGATTTCAATGACCCTCATAAGTTTAATCCATACATAACCATCATTGTCCCCGCTCCTATTGGCAGGTGCACTCCGGAAACTGGCTAAACAAAACTTCTGTGTGCTTCTGTCTTTTCTGTCGGTGTAGGAACTCTACAATCCACACATTTTGCCCAGCTCCTGTTTCCACTAGAGCTGAACTCATACGACCAGCAATGCCCCCTACTAACAACCAAAATACTGGCCACCAGCAGGCACTTGCCAAGAATTGAGATGATTATGTAGAGATGAAAATTATGAGGAGTGCATACAATGCAAAGCACTAGAAAGCATCAGTAATCCTTGAATAAAGGCTTTACTAGTTCCACTCATTGAACAAGTGTGATGGACCCTCTACATAATTGTAACGCTAGCTTCTCAGCCATGCAGTTCACCCAATTGATGGTCACTTCTGCAAAGAATGTTCAAGTGCTGTTTCCTTGTGCTGCGACACTTGAAAAATGTGGACTCTGCTCTCGACACAGTCATGCACGACATAGAATTCTCAGAACAAACACCTACGACTTCATTGCCCTTTAAGCAAGACAGGAGCTGCCATTAGTTGGGTAAATATGCGACAGGAAAATGCACTTTCAGATTCTGTAAAGGGTCTATTTAGATGGAAACTAATTGCACAGGTATGCTATCCCGATAGCTAGATTTATGCGCCCTCTTTAATGACCCCTCGCCCCTCTGTAGGTCATGTACTTTGTTATGAAACACCACATCCAAAAAACCTTTATCTGATCTAGTTGTTAATCCGTTTTGAGAACTGTAGCACACCAACATGCACACACAAAACCAGGGTCCTTAGCTGTTTGTAAGAGTCTTTTCTCTTACTTTTCAGCCGTTATGAAAAAAAAAAAAGACCTGTGCATTGCTTAAATTAAGACCGTATTGGCCACTGTTGACACTTTGGAAAAACTTGAAATGAATGCAAAACAGCCAAGTCTACAAAATCTTTATTTCCATTATAAATGAACACTTACTTTCCAATTACATGTTTGTATCACATGAATGAAAGCTGTTTCAAAGGCTTTATTATCTTGCATTTGCTCATATCATGCATCTTTTACATCACATCAAGGAACAATGGACAACACGCTTTTGAGCACATAGCCGCTTTGAAGCACTATTTCACAATAATGGTTGTCACGATTTTTGTTGGTCAATATGCTTACATGAGATGTTTCCCTTGCTTAGGCATAACGAATACAGCTTTTCCACACACCTAGTTAGACTTCTCAGTAGACCTTGTTATCTCATACAGAAAAATTCCTAGGATGCCTGAACGGGATAGGATGTACAGTAGTCTACCAAAGAGCACTCGCTACTCTGCGTGGTAAGCTATCCAAAGCATTAAGTGGTTCTAACTTATCCCTCAGTAGTCTTTCATGTCTGCTTTCCAGCAGAATTGATCTATGCAGTCTACTAGCATGCATGGTGATAACCCAAAATAGCATGCCTGCAAAAGTGTCTAAGAAGTTGAGTTTTGCCAGTAATCCAATTTTCTACTGCACTTCTTTTCGTAATTAAATATTATCCAATTAGTTAAGCCTTCCTTTCCCATGGACCCTGTCTAAAAAAACACACTGCGATGGCTAAATAACACGCCAACAAAATATCATACATAAACACACATTTCACAACAAGTGTTTAATAATCGCTTCGTGCGGTCCCGTGGTGGGCCGGGGCCGTGAAGCCGAACGGTTTACGCAAGTGCGTGACGTAACCACACTGACGTCATGCGATGACGCACGCGACATTTTTATCGACTCCACGTTGGCAGAATGCGCGCTAAGACATCCATATGCGACGACCGAATCGCGTTTATCACCAGCGTTACTACCGTTGGTTTACGACTACCACAGAGGGAAAATTCTACGCGTTCAGTCGCTTCGGAAAACGCGTTGTATATTCAACGCGACCGCAAGTTGAAGACGGACGTACACGCCGATAACACGATAGGCCCATGCTAACAGCTTTGCAATCTTTTGCTGACTTAGAACGTATTTTATCGCGTCTTAAAACTGCTACTAAGGTCAATCCTACTCGAGGGCTTCAAGATGGCCTAACGCGCCAAGCGACCTCGCAGCCACGTTGCAAAACTATTTGGCTCAAGGCCGCTGCGGGCCCAGGTGCGCGGCGCAGCACCTTTCATGGCCGCATCCGTATAACACGCGCTGCGTTGCAAATAATGTGGTATATATGCCTTACAATAGCCACGCCAGCTGGCCGAATACGCGCTAAAACCGAGTGCCCAGAAAGGAAGGGGCTAAAGTAGCGCGCAATATATGACCGCAGCACACCTACGACGTTAGGCTACAGAAACTGAAATAGCCTAGTGACGGCGAGATGCCCTATCAAAACAGACACGAACATGCAGACGCCGTATCACGCGCAAACCGTTGCAAGTCGCCAATGTAGAAATCGAATGCAGCACAGTCGGGCGACAAGGTTTCGCAAGTACCTTGAAACACTAGACTACGAATCGGCAAGTTCATGCCACACCACTGCGGAGAGCCGCAGACTTGAGGTTACTAACCCGGCAGAGCAGCTTCGCGCACTCGGATCTTATCGAACTGCCCGACTAGACGCACGTTAAAACACCAGACGGAACACCCGCGTTCGGGGGTTCCGCGATCGAACCAGCCGCGATGTACAGTTAGGCCTAACGGATACGCACGCGTCTAAATTCAGCGCGATAGCAGCCCTGGCAGCCTGCCATATTTGCAGCGATACCGCTCCAGACATCTTCCACACAGTTTCCAAAAATCAGGGCTCCAAAGTTCGGCTAATTTCTAAACCAGCAGTCGAAAAATACCACCACACAACGAAAGACATCATGCCCGACTGTTATTGTATGAGGGTCGACGCAGAGCACTTACCAGTTACGTATTTCTCGTCACCAAGTTTGCCGCAACCCGAGTGGGCAAATTGGCAGAAACGTAGCAACCACGTCAAAGTACAACGACGTCGTCACTGAAAGCAGGTCCACATAACCCTCGCCTAAGAGCTCAATATCACTGCGCGCTACGTCACCCCAGATCTTCCTTATTGGACAATTCAGGGGCGACGCACACGTGACGATGCGCTGCGTCACCGTCATTGGATGGCCTGTGATGATTCACAAGCCATGACGACATGCAGGGCACGCATATACAAGGACAAGACTTTCCATCATCTAAAACAATTTTTAGTAATATCGAAATTCAAAATATACCTCGAAAGATGCAACAAGCATTGGTGATTGGTGCGAAATATGGGAGCGAGACAATTACGGTAACATTATTTGGGTATCAAAACCCGCACTCATTTCTATGGCGGAGAGCGACAGCCGTGAGCGCGAAGGCTAGCGGTGTAGATGTAGAAGGAGGGCGTGGGCAGGTAGGCAGGCCGAAAGCGATGGATGTAGGCGTTCCAGGTGTTTTGTGTGCGTTGACGAGATAGTAAACGGTCGTAGTTATTGTTCTAAATTAACTGAGAACAGGTAGCGCTACAAACGGTCTAATTAATGCCGACTGTACTTGGAAGGGACATGAGGCCTGGCAACACGTTAATGATTGCTCCGCGCACAAATGCGCGGCAACTCTGAAAAAAAAGAAAAAAAAAACGGTGTTGCTGGACGAAACCAGCAAAATCGTGCAGAGGTTGCATGAGCGGACTGTCAAGGCGATGTATCAACCACTGCCAGCGAGCAAGACATGAATTTTTATGTCATATGAGCCCCGACTAGCGCACGTGATAGTGCTGCGCCAATATTGCCGACTAAAGCTCATGTAACCCGAGTGAATTTGTTTGTTGTGCACAGCTGAACAGTGTCGCATCGCGTAGAGATGTTTAAGGCCGCAACACCACCTTCAACACTGCGCGCAATTAGCAACGCCCACTGCCCACTGGTATAGTGTGCAGCCGTACGACACGGTGACACACCATCGTTCGACTATCAGCTGGTCAACTTCGCTTTATTCGTTTTAAATAGCCTTCCAATCGGCATATATTTACGAGCTTGTGATTGCCATCATAGTTTCCATTCGGTTCGCTGAAGAGTGTCGATAATGCGTTTTTTTTTTTTTTTGCAGTTTTACTTGCAAGGCAGTCGCACTTTCAGATCGGAAGATAAACAAGCGTTCGATCGTAGATTGACGCACTAGAAATGTATGACATGGTTCGAAAAACAATACACTCGCTAATAGAAATGAAATAAGGAAACGCGAACCTCTCGACAAGCTGCAGCCTTTACATTTCCTTTGACATTTCGCGAAAATAACACTGCACAGCTAGTACTCGGGTTTTCTATAAAAATTCGGTCGCATACAGCAACTGAGAGAGGGATGGTGGCGTTTTTTTCTATTTTTTTCACGCTTGACATTGAAATTCACTTTTTCAGAGATTCATTGAAAGTATTTCTTTTTCGCTTTGCCACCGATAGTACCAAAACACGCGTGAAGGACCAGCAGCCGAATTCAGTTATCTCCATGTATTGAAGGGAAGTGCAGCAAATGCAAATGAAGGGAAATGCCAGCAGCAAGAGAAGATCACTGGAGAGACGCCAAAACAGCGAGGAATAAAACAACAAGACTTCCTCGATTGCCAAGGTCGACTGCACTGACCAGCACGGAAAAGCAGTTAGACTTGTGCGTACCATGGAGCTGCCTCACCACCTGCGTCAGCTTTTCTTGACATTTTCCCATGAGTAAACAAGGGATGAACTTTACGCTGCCTACATTGTTAGTTGACTGCAAAGCGACGCTGTCAAGCTTTATGTAGGAAGCTGAAGAACAGTATGAAAAAAAGGTGCACGCAAATGAATCTCAAAATGGATGCCTACCAGAGTACACACAGCTTTCTAAAAGAAAGAGGATCACGAATTTCAATGCATTGCTGGGAAATTTTCAATGCCGACATGGATGCTGCATGTGGTTCTTTTCAATCCAATGACACCGTTAAAAGATTGCAGATAACCGTTTCTATTATGCAAAGCAAACAGAAAGCCATTATTTTTTAGATCAAGGAAAACAACTTGTTTTTATTACAATAAATCAAAATTACTAACTGGGTGGCAGGTTTTTCGTGAAAAATTAGTACAAATAGGGCGTACATAGTATCTTACTGAAAAAGCGTCATTTTCCGAATGCTGAAATCCAGGATTTGATGGAGTTCTATCTCGTCGGGAGGATGCACGGTAAAAAAGGAATACACACTGGCCACAATAAAAATGCATTAAGACAAACAAGACACTTCAGCTTTCGCACGGGAGCCTTGTTCACGATGAACTCTTGTTCCCAATGCTGTGATATACAACTCCTATGGCTAATATCGCCTGGACAGCATTGATCTAGAGTTCCACTCGTGTGCGAGGTACCGAATACATCTCTCTGCATTAAATAGTCTCTAAAGCCATTGTGCATACATGAAGACTGATTTGTCAATACAAGCCGTATCCAGCAGCATAAAAAAAGGACATGAAGACAAGCAGAGGAGATCATTTTCATGACATTTCACAGGACGAGTGCCTGACACAACACCTATAGGCGATAGCATTCTCGGCGCATAACTAACGAAAGATGCCACCATGCTCATTTTTCAGCATGACCTGTTCAAAATTGGTACACCTACTGCATACTTCAATGGCTCACTAAAAAAAACTACCTCAGGACTTGCAATAAAGTTTTGCATCCATTCATCTAATTGAGCTGTGATCATCTTCAAAAGCAGTTGAAGCTTGTCAACCTAAATCAATTAAACGAACCGTGACTGCAAGATATTGTGCAATTCGAAAACCAGTTTATCATGAGCATTCTCCTGATTGAATGTCACAGCAGAAAGACACGAACTCCTTTATCAGAGTTCAGTTAAAATTTCACTTTATATAGAAGTGTTCTGTCATGGTGCTGCATGTGCAATCGGACATGGTGAGAAATTTTACATCTAATATCAGGCAAACAGACTATGCGCTGGTGGTACTGTCTACAAAAAACAAATAGTTAACATAAATTTTGTGGCTCTAGCATCAGTTCGAACTTTGAATAACACAGTTTGAACTTTGAACAACAGATGCTGGATGTCTAAGAGCAGGTTGCAAGTTACATGAAGTTGCATCCCATGAAGACGTATCAATCTATCCACAACTGTACACGAATAAACCTTGCTTCTTGACATTTCGACAATGTTATCACAAGAGGTACTAGTATGCCGCCTTCTTTACCAGTGAATGAAGAATTTAAACTGCTTTAATTCAGAGTTCAAGCATTCCATGCTGTCTGTTCAGAGATGGGACCTTTCAGATAGCTTCCTTACCTCATCCCCAACAGCTGGCAAGAGTCGTTCTTTTCTTTGACAAAGGCCACATTCACCCATTCATTTTTGTTTCTTTCAAAATACCTTGCAGATCACACCTCAAAGACTGAAACTTTAGGGGGGCGGGCACTGAAGACAAAAGAAGAAAAAAATTGCAAGAAAGCCTAGGAATGCCACAATTAGCTGAGATGCGAGAAACATTGGCAAAACACCCAATTTCAAGAGTAATTAGAAAATAAACAAAAAAGCAAATAAAAACATTAAAAAGTTAGGAAAAGATAAGAACATTAAAAAAATAAATGTAATAATCTATGGCACTGTACAATATATGGGATCATCTACAGTGTACACTGCTTTAAATAAGTAGTAACTTCCAATTCTTTTATTACATAATTTAAAAGGAAGAAGCCTTCAGATCAATATCTTCACATATCCTAATGTACTGATAAAATAATTTTTACAGTATTGTTACTGTGCGAGTAAAAGCAGCTATCAGCCAATAAAAATACACTCAATCCTCAAAAAAAAAAACAATCTAGAACCCTGAAATAAAACCTAATGGAGGTGGCATTTAATACTGTGTTTCATATTATACCTAAAAATAAAAATGCACACATAAAAAGTTTTTAGGTATCACAAAGTAAAGATCACCGCGGTACAATTAGTATTGGTTATAGACGAAACATCTGGTATTAGGTAATCTGTAAACTAAAGTTAAAGCTGCAAAGGGCCGGCCAGCAATTGAAGCTCTACAAACACGAAGTGCATCCAGTGGAGATGTGTCAATTTATCTATCGGCCAGAACATTAACCTAGAGGCATGATGGAATAGAAATGCACAAAGCTGCTAGCTCACAAAAGATTCAGTGGCATGCACAAAAATACTAAACACTGCCTAAACGAAATGTTCGTCAGATAGTAATAGTAGAAAGAACCACATTTATACAGGTCATTTGCCACAATAGTACAGTAGTTACAGTGCTCGTCAGTCAAATAATGGGGGTTTGACACAGCTGTGGTGGTTGCATTTCAATAAAGGCGAAATGCGAAAGAGCTAAGTAATGTGCAATCTCATTATTGAGCACCACAAGGTCAGAATTTTTGCAGCTCTCCACTAAGGCCTTCCTTGTAATCATATTGTGGTTTTGGCAGATCAAAGCATTTAAATTATATTATCAGATGTGTGAAATAATAGCAGTTAGCATGCAAGATACTTGCAACCTTGGCATGTTCATTCAACTGCTTTACATAACATTAATTCAAAGCCTCAATAAGTGTCTGATATGAGAATGCGATTGTGGAAATACCCCCCCCTCCCCGACAGCTTTCTTTAAAAACAATTTTGGGGTTTAGCACTGTCCCTAAACTGTCAATTAAACTTGCTTCATACACGTCAAATGAAGGAAAGGCTGATTGATATGTGGGGTTTAACATCCCAAAACCACCATATGATAATGAGAGACGCCGTCGTGGAGGGCTCTGGAAATTTAAACCTCCAGGGGTTCCTTAATGTGCACCCAAATCTGAGCACACAGGCCTACAGCATTTTCGCCTCCATCGAAAATGCAGCCGCCACAGCCAGAATTCGATCCCGCGACCTGCGGGTCAGCAGCCCAGTGTCTTAGCCCCTAGAACACCGCGGCGGGTAAATGAAGGCTGTAGAGTTTTTTGCCAAACAGGAAGCTTAACGCGAGTGCAGTGCACAGCTATGCTTTGGCCGGCATGAAAGTACACAAACGAAACACGCAATACACAGGTCCAAGTGACCACGTCAGGTCACTAAAGCACTTTTGATACGACAAAAATAGCACTTCTCAATGCCAAGTGAAGGTATATACCTTAAGTGCAATCAAAGTCTCGTGTGCAACACATTCTATAATTTGATTAGGTCAGAACAATGCCAAGAAAAAAGAAACAGAAGGAGACCCTGATATTAAAAGCAGTTATTAAGGAAAGGTTTTAACATAATTTATTTTGCAATAGCAATTTTTTCATAGACACATATGTTCAAACTCTCTTCTCACTACGAATTTCGACTAATTCAGTTAATTTTTTTTGAATTTCTATTTCAGGTTCTACCTGCATCATTGCAACTCCTTTTTGTTTGAAACTGCTGCGACATACAGAAATGGTACCTATGCTATGACATAGAAGGTGGCACTCAGCACTGCCCCAGCAGTAACTTTTCTAAAGACTGTCAATCAATGCTACCTGACTGTGGTCACCTCACCAAAACTGCTGTAATAAGCATAAGACAGACGGCGCAGTGCTTAATTTTGTTGTTTGCCTACAGGCACAAGTGGTATGAACTGCATGCTAGCCTGCGGATTTCACAAAACTCACTAAGATTTTCTGAACAAGGCAGTGAGAGAAAAGAAGTGGAACGCTGGTGCACACTTTACCTTTGAACACAGCCTGTGATTTACCTTTAGAGTCTGCATATCACTGGCAGCGAACTTGGAATCACGGCAAGCAACGCATTGTCCTTAGACAGCACTAATTTTTCCAGCAACTTCAATTTAGGTGATCTTACCAGCACCGGGAACTTGTACAAATCAACTAACATACTCAGAATCTACATATACTTTTATTTCAGCTACCTTTGGCACTGTGAGCCACCTGGTCTAATTTAATGTTGTGCAGATGGTTGAAGCATTATCCCCACGTGTTGGGGAATCTTTGCACTGTCACATTTCAGGTAGCAGCTGTCGGTGGCCACTGAGTTTTGCTCAAACCTGGTGCCACAGACATTTGGCAGAGCATGGTGTATAAGCAGGCTCCATGTGTTACATCAGCAGCTGCTGCTGCTTTTGACAAGTGAGTGCATTCATGTCTCTATGAGTTCAGTAAGATGGCCTGCGTGGGCAGAGTACTTAATGACACCATTATGGTTCACGGATCTTGTGAGCTGCTGGGATTTCCCATGATAACAAAAATGGCAATGAACAAAGAAGCAGTGATTTCGAAGAAATTTGTGCCTGTTATGGTGGAATAAATACAACAGCCACATGGGCCACACAGCAATCATTTGTGTATGAAATAAGCTGCATCTTTCACAAAGAAATAATGGTGAAGATTTCAGTATGTTTTATAACGTGGAGGCTCTCTTCACTTCTGGTGAAAGGCACCACAAAGTGAGTGACAAATTACCAGAACTTCTTGCACTGCAGATCGTATTGCTACCTTTAACGTTGATTACAGACAGTCAATCAGGAATTCTGGGAAAGGCTGGCCTCTACATCTCCCTTCGTTATGGATCGCTCAATGCAAAATGTATGCCAGCCTACGTGTACCGGACAGAAATTGTCAAAAGCGATGTTTTCAAGGGAAACTCTGCTTGGCCATTTCACGTTATGGCATACTCAAAGGTTAAGCCGAGCACAAGCCTGTTGTGACCCACACTAGTACACTTGCAAAGAATTCCATTAAATTTGCAGTTGGCCATACGAGTGAGCCAGCCAACTTACGAAACAGCTATAAATGCCAGAGTGAAGTCGCAAGGCTGGCAATGCACTCAGCTGCAATGACTATTGTGTGTACACAAATTCACAATGAAAGCAGCGAGCAGGATGTCTATAAGCGTCGCCACTTTGCAACATAAAAACCTGGCGAGCACGGCATGCATTTGTCAGTTTCACTAAGTATGTGTTGTGCACCACCGCATTAGTTCTTTCAGTTTCTAAGCATGCTAATTTGAAATGCTTGACTGTCCTGATGTTTCCATACATCAGAAGGCTACAAGTGCAAGTTTTTTATCGTGCCTCCATTGTTAAAGTTAGTGGTGCTTCACAATGCGTCCTTCAACCAAGTTGCCCCCATTGAATGCAGATGTCAATTGGGTATCATCACAGTGATAATTTGCTGAACAGGCCAAAAAATCATGTATCCACTGATTTGAACTGCAGCTAAAAGCTAGTCAGGCAACAGCATTTGTATCACCTTTATGCAAATTAATGTTTAGCCCTATCTAGTTGATGATTTCTACAGAAACAAATGTGTTGCGGGAAAATATCAAACATAGTCAAAAACTAACAGCAAATTTCCTTCCAGTAATAATACTAAAGTCACAAATGCTAATTATGTATATAATTTATTGATTAGTGCCACAAGTCAATATGCTTTTCCCTATAGCTTCACAAATGCCCATGAAACACATCAGGCAAACTTTAGGCATCTGAGCTCTGTTATTGAAGCCAACAGCCTATGACATGCAGTCCTTGGGCGGCACAACAATGATTTTTAAATGCTCTCAGGCTGCATTATGCAACACCAGTGGTTGAAAAAGTCACAGTTTCACCACAATGGCAAATCAATGAACGCGACAGCAACAAATTAGAGTGCCATACGAAGTAAGGCTAACAGCTAATTCTTTAAGGATCTGGTCTGGCGTAACTCTACAAATTGCTGGCATAAGGTAATACAGTTGCCCCTGTGGGTGAAGCAGTTTTTGAACAGCCTCCTTTCATGCTTCAATGTGAAGTAAGCTGTGATAACACAGTGCTTACAAAACTATGTGCCTCCTATTGATTTCTGTACACACAACATACGTGTGGCAGTTCCCTTCTGTGCAAAGCCCTTTTCACTATACTCTTTTAATCGAAGAGGAGGAAACATGGGTGCAATTCAATGGTGGCATTCTTGCTGAGCAGTTAGATCCCAGAAGTTGCGAAGCAAGATGCCCAGCATGGTCTTGCACTGTTTCAAAGCAGTGATTTCCTATTCTCTGATGCCACACAGTTCATGCTAGAATGGTGGTCACTGTCAGTAGGAGTTAGCATAAAGGTGGCAGTTTAAAACTGAAATTTCAAGGTAGAATGTGTGCTGGGAGTCCAGTATTTTTTGTGCATGTTTACGTTTCTAAATGCACATCCATATCAAGCACTCAGCTTACGGTAAAATGGATCAGTCCGACGACTGCGTCATGGCCCTTTTAAAAGCCACATGCTGCTTGCAACAAATCCAGTTTCTAGTGGCTCTAGAGAAATACATTTCGATTAATGACCAGGAAACAAGGCAGAAATTTTCCTTTATTTTTCTCATGACTTTTGTCTTTCAAATGCACATAATATTAAAATTTCATTTATTTTAAAGCATTTGTACCAGCAAAAGTCAGTCAGTGCACACACTCAAACCTCAATATAATGAACCCGAATTAACAAAATATTGATTTTAACAAAGTGAATGAAAAATAGTCGTGCAATAGATGTAGGAATAAACCTTTGTAATAAATTTTCAGCAACACAAAACTTATTTTTGCGTAAGATGCAGCTTTGTTATAATGAGGTTTAAGCGTATTAGAGCACCTAATGTAATTGTCACCACTAATACAGCAGACTGCATGCACAATGTTTTTGGTGGCCATGCTGCGTTTGTCTAACCTGAACTTATTATTCATCATCCCTTAAAAATAGCAAATGAAAGCACAGATGTGAAAGGTGTTTGACCTAGAAGAAAGCCAATCACATATCATCAGTATTAGGCACAAATCACTGCCTACACATACTTAAAACAATGCCCCCTTTCTTTTCACCATCAGTTCATTCAAAGCACACAATGTTCCTCCTAAGTGACCTACATCTCCATGGCTTCTTCTTCTTCCTCACTCTCACTGGCGAAGCTGGCTTTATCTTCATCCTCATCTCCTCCTTCGGGCTCTGGCCCTAACTCGGCCAAGAGCTCCTCGATGTGTGCCAACTCATCTGCGTCATCAAATTGTACCTTGCGGGCTACCTGCACAGCCAAAAAAACACAGGCACATAATGAATCAGCAAGATCAAGAAGCGCACTCCATGTAATGGAGAAACTAGACCACCTCGAAAATGGCTCATGACTATCTGCAATCCTACACTCATTTATTAGGTGCTTCTGTAACTAGTATCTGCTTTCCAAAGTTTCTCGCCCCTTCGGTTGGTACACTCACCTACCAGGCCAAGTGTTGGCAGGGTGGGCCTATGTGAGTAGTTCAACATTAGCCTGTCTTCCATGCCAAGACACTGGCCCTACTTTTAAAAATTAGGAGCCCTTATTATTGGGACAATGGCAAGCTTGGCCCGTGTGTGCCTGTCCTGCTATTTTTCCTTCTTCTTACCGCATTCAACAATGCTCTCTATCTAACTTTTTTTACGTCCTCCATGCTGGGAATGAGCCTTTTCTGGCTAAATAGTCTGTGCATGCGTGCCAGCTTTGAGGAGGCACGCATTATGACTTTTTGGTGGCCAAACGTGACGACACCGTGCGGACCAAGTGACATCTAGTGCCACAAACATGCAAATGTTTGCCCCAAAGAGAGGCGCGAACGCAGGCCTCAGAGATTGCCTTTTAGCATGCGGCGGACAATTTTGGAGTCCAAGAGCCGCCAGTTTTGATTTTGGCGATGTCCACTTGGGGTGCTGTTCAAACTAGGAAAAGGCCCATTGCACCTTCGCTCACATGCTTAGCAGCAGGAAAACTTCCCTTGCCACTTTCAAAGACGCCGCAGTGCTTAAAACAATGAAATGCTTCAATGAAATAACTAGTGACCTTGATAAAAAATCCCATTGCCATATTGGAAATTGCTGACAAACTGACAATCGAAGAGAGAGTCAGTTATTGGAAAATTGCGCATACAATATACATGTCACCGGTGCACCTTTGATGGCTTCATATACACACGCCTGCATTCGTACACCCATCGGCGCCGGGTTTTTCGCGAACTATGCTGTCACTGCCACTGAAATTTGTAACTCAGAGAAGTTTTGCTTAGAGGGTATATCACTAATGTATTAGCTTTGTATAAAAGTGTGTGTAGACAAATGCACACTGACTGCGAAAATAAAAAATACATATTGTTATTTACATTACATTCGCAAAGAGCAAGTGTTAGAGGGCTAACACCATTAAAACCCTGATATGTAGCTAAAGAAATTAGAGGATAAAGACTTGCATCCGATTACACATGGTCAGTCTCGTAACGCTAGTATTAGAGATTAACAACTATTGGTATCGTCGTATTTCATGGGCCTCGTCCGCTTGTTTATACAGTCGAATCTCGATAATTCGAACTTGAAGGGGCCCGAAAATTTGTTCGAATTAATAAAAGCTAAATAAACTGAGGGCTCTTCATGCAGTGGCGCATGTGCATTGAGCTAACACACGAGGGGGAAGTTTAGGAAAACTTACATTTATTCACAAATCACAGGACATTCGTTAGTGCTTGAAGTAATCGGTGATGCGTCTGCACACGCTTGCCTTGCAGCGAGTCAATCAATTTTGCTCGCAGCTTGCAAAGCATTACTACATCGGCTTCAGCATTCTCCTGGCAAAACAAGTTGTGCGCGGAAACGTCCAGCGCCGACAGTTTCTAAAGACGACGACAACGACTGCTGCGTAGCGGAGCCTCCCGCTCTCCGCTACACAGCCGCAGCGTGGCCCGCACGTGACCAGAAAGGAGGAGCGTCTCCACGCGGAGAGGAGCAGATCAGTATTTGAGAGAAAACCAACACTCCACGGCAGTTTTTTTTTTCTTTTTTGCTCTCTTCGCACGCTTCGTTGAAAGGAGAAGGGTTACGTGGCAGGGAAGGAAAAGGGAGACGCCAGACACCGGTGCGTTAGAGACCCCCCCCCCCTCAAGGCTGCAGAGCCATGCTCCCACAAGGGGCAAGGGCTGCAGAAGATGGTGCCTTTTTCCTTTCCTTTAACCACAAAATCAGCGAGGGCTTTCTTTTTTTTTTCTCTCTCTCTACGCGCGCAGCGTTGGAAGGAGGGTCTTTACGTGGAAGGGACGGAAAAGGGAGAAGCAGTGACATGGGCGCGTCGCAGATCGGCTTTTGAGAGAGAGCAAACATTCCGCCACAGCCTTTTCTTTCCTTTTCATTTCCTTCGCGGGCAGCGTTGAGCTGTCACAGGTGCCGCCGCGGGATTGGCGGAAGGGTTCGGAGCATTTTTCGGAGCGCGGTATGTTCGAATTACCGGGCGTTTTCACCCATCGGAATACACATAGCTTTGACGGGACCTCATCGTGAGTTCGAATTAACTGGCAAGTTCGAAGTAAGGGTGTTTGAAATAATGAGATTCGACTTTAGTGAATGATGAAAACTGAATAGGTGAAATGTATACTTGCCTCACGAGCCTTGCTAAGGTAGTACCGTGCATTTCCCTGGTACTCTCCCCCACGGAGGTAGTTCAGCCACCCAAGCAGGTACCACACGTCAACTACTCCGTCGTCTTCTTCAATCAGACCATCGAGAACAGTGTTGGCCTCCTGCAACCCACATAAAACCACAGTACAAATCAACATCAAGAAAAATTACAATACATAATTCCTCCACCTTAATGTTTCTAGGCATGGGGAGCATGATCATAGAATAAAAACAACAAAACATAGTGGGGTGAATTAGTAATATTATGGTATCAACTTTTAATTGGTTTACTAGGCTATGCACGAATGAAATTTTGCTCAACTAGGTAAGGAATCTTTATGAGGGCTTCAGCATTAACATTTGCCGTGCTCAAATTAAAATATCAAAGCTTCGCACTCGGTATAGAAAAAAAAAAAGATACATGCAGCTAGGTGAGTTACATAAGAACGAGATACAATATCTAGGCTTCCATTTAATCTGGCAATAATTCCTTATGTGTACAATGTTGAAAGTTATTCGCCTTTTTATATTTGTTGTTGTTACAGACATAACCTTCAATACCCAATAACCATGATAATACCAGTTTTTTTTTTTTTTCATTTGTATTGTGTGCCTCACATAAGTTCTCCAGCTTCTGCACATGATTTAAGCATAATTTACCTCGTGTAGCAGTACTTACATCAAGCATCTCCAGTTCAATCAGAACCTTGGCTCCATTTACGCGGCTGCTATAACTTAGAGGACAAACCTGAAATAATAATAGGAGTGAAAATAGGGGGCATGTACAGTAAGCACAGCAGCACACTTTGAATGACCAAGGTACATGTGCAAGCAGTCACCTCTACAGGGTCACTATTTCCAGCGTCTTCACCAAGTAGCAGCCTCTCGTGCTGCGGTAGCCAAAGACTGAGGCTTCGCTGCATGGCCTCTTTTGCTGCCTGCACAAAACAGACAAGGCTATTGCTCACAAAGCACGCAAGCACTTGCAATCAAAAGGATGCTCTATGACTGCCGCTAGTGTGGTGAGTTGCTAACTAATTAGGATTTCTAAAAAAATGCTGCAGAAAAATTATGTGTCCTCAGTGAAGCCGACCCTCTGCCATCTTAAGAGGGGCACAATGAAATCATACACTACAGCATAGCGAAAAAAAAAAAAAAACATTGTTTTACAGCGAAGCTGCATACGATATGAACCTTCATTTTTATCGAGAGGAAACCAACCATTCCATGATTTAAAACTGCCTGTGCCTATGTCTCAGTTGGAGTTTTGCATGCAAGGAAAACTCCAATATTCTTTTCAATACAAAGAAGCAGGAAACAAGTGATGAATGATAAGGCAAGCTTGAAATGCAAGACACGCTCCCAGTAGAAGTTATAATTGCAAAAAGCACTTTCATTTGTACCAACATTTGAATGATTCTGTGCATCCAAAATGATGCACAAATAAAAACAATGCTCATTCTTTAAGGACATGTAAACATGGGGTGGGTCAGGCACTGTGGTCCGTCATCAAGAGATTAATGAGAGCAAGAACTTGTCGAGTTACATGGTCAGTTCACAGCACCTCATGTTCTTGTTTGACAAGCAGGAAGTTTGCCTGTACTTGGAAGGCCTCAGGATTGCTAGGGTCTGCCTGGATGCTCTTCTGCACTAACTCTGAACACTGCTGCTCTGCGTCCTCTTCATCGCTGCATAGCCGCAAAATATGAATGTCACCAAAAAAAACCTGATACAGTGGCTCAGACAATAACCAATAGATTGGTAAATTTATTTCCTGCTTCTGCAATGGGCAACGAAAATTGCACCAGCAGTTCTAGAGAAAAAAGCTCTTGTTCAACACACTGCGAAAGTAAATATACGTGAAGCCCAACTGCAATAAAATTTTACGAGATGTGCAAATATTCAAAATTTTGAATACTTTTCGAATAGTGTTTGCTATTCAATTCACACCGGAATTTTCTTATTAGAACTTTTCGAAATCAAATAGTCGACAACTAATAAACATTGGCCCCTTCAAATTTTAAATATCCTTCACCTCACGACACAGTTATATTGCAACAAAGCTGCCTTTTGGGCTTTGCTGCAGTCTCAAATGTACTGACTCAATAAAACGCTGGTTCCAGCATGGAGATGATAGATATAGTAGAGGTGGGACTCAATGCTGTTTGGGGCTGAAATTCGGACAGGAAGACTGAAAATTTGGACACAAAAGATATTTATCAGAAATTTCAGATGTTCTTATATAATGGAGTTGATGAGGCGGATTTTGAACTCGGACTCGATGGGAGAGCGCCCTTGTCCGCCACGTCAGTTCAGCTTCCATAGAAGTTCAAAGAGGAGGAGAGGCTGAGGAAATAGAATCTTTGCCTTTCACACACGAAGTGTAGTCAGCAAGTTTGACTGCACCGAAGCGTGTACATAAATACAATTCGGCCTCTACATTGCCTCATTCTTGATAAACCAACTAATAAATATCACACCGACAGCACTTCATCAACCTGGCCAAAAGAAACCTTTCAAGTTGATATCTCCTAAGAACATGCTTAGAAATCTTCTTAAACTTTTTTCCTGCAATTTCATTTCAAACTATCCAAAAAATAATTTATTCAATTTGCACTTAAGTATACTTGAATTCGCTATGCAGCCAAAATTTTTCTATTTGCACAGCTCTAGAAACTTCATTTTGGCTAAATTCAATAGGAGTGAACAGCATATAACACTGAAGCAATGTTGGCAAGGCCACAAGGCTGATGGTGGCAGGATTTTGTTATCAGCAGCCTTCTAACAGCAACTAAGCAGACAATACATATGCCTGCTTGTTGTTGCTGTAAAGTCCGGGCATGCTGCTCCCAAGAAGTTTCATCAATCCGAATCCTGCAGGTCATGCTGGGGAGTCATACAATCTAGGTCAAATAATGCCCTTTCGTCACTTGCAGTGACAGGCAATTTCTTGTTTGTTTGTTCTCTGACCCCTCAGTTTAGGCATCAAAAATGTCTTTTGACTGGCTTTTCATATTGCTTCCAGTCTTTTCGTGAGCATAAAACTTTACCCTATGGCTCCTCTACATCATTGCTATTTGAAACTAGGCTATATAAAGTCTCACACAATGCATGCAATGTGTCCAAGTTAACCCTCTGAGGGTTTTCACCATGAATGTGTGGCATCACCGAACAGGCACCAAAGAGTTTTCGCCGTTCATGTACGGCATCGCCTGTTGTTTAAAAGATGCGCCTTCTTAAATCATTTCTCTTCTTTGGCATGTGCTTCCACGCTTTAGTATATGTTAATTTTTTTTTTCATGTACCAAGGCGTCTCCATTGCCTTTTCTTTTTTCTTTTCTTTTTTTCGAAGCAGTTCGCCGGCTTCGCTAGCACATCCGAACGTGTGTACACGATGCGGCTGGTTTCGGTTTTGTCCTTTGTGTGGTTATCGCTTCTCGCACCCGCAAAATTCATGGGGGTCTGGTTCCTAATCTCTCAAGTGATCGCTTGTTACTCTCTCGTTTACTGCTCCCCGGGGCGCGTTTACACATATTTCTGTGTGACGCTAAGTTACACAAATGATGCAGCCTTGGTTGCACTTCCCGATCTGAGAACCCAGAACAAGTAACTCTATTTTATTGGCAATAAGACAAAAAACTATTATAGCTTTTTCACTCGTTTTGCTTTCTGTGCAGGTGCATGACCCTACAGATGTTTTTTTCTGTGCACTCTACAATGCAGTTCGCTTATGCTATGCTCTTAGTGAACTGAGTGGCAATTCTTCCGGTGTGGACTATTCCCCAAGTGCCGAATATGATTGATTGGATGTCAGTTTGCCAGATGAGGATTTTCTTAAGAGTCCAGACTCGGGTGTTGACGAAAGAGCGGCATCTCGAAAGCATGTGCAGCAGGACAATTCAGAGTGGATCAAAGAAGACTATTTCCCAGTATTTAGTGTTAGAGCAAAAATATATATTCTGGAAAAGCACCCTGGTGTGCTTATTTTTGTATGTCTGTGAGCCATGTTTATTAAAACGTATAATTTTTATTTATGAAAGGTCACATAATGTTTTGTTCTTATATTTTCCTTTATTTTATTCAAGTATAAACCATGTGTTTGTAACAACAATAATGTTTTTTTGTCCCTTTACAGTCTCGAAAAAAAACTTTTTCGAGAATTTTTTCTGAAATACAATGATCTGAAGAGTTTATTTCAGCAATAAAAAACATTACACATTTTTGCTGTGCATTTTGTGACAAAATTCGACCCACGAGTTAAAAAAAATATGTTAATTTTATGGTAGGTGGTGTGTTTGCGAGTGTTGATCACCGCTATCATCACCATCATGGTATAGCGCCGGCGGCGACAAGCCTTGGTAGTGGCGAGCAAGAAATAGGCTGGTCTCTTTCGGCTGGTGGCAGTTGCCGCGAACAGTTGTCGCTAGCGTGGGTCCCCGGTGCGTGGCACCGAGGGTTGCGCGTCGGGGGCCCTCGTGGTAAGTCAAGTGTTGGCGACGCCGCTTTTGGTGTGTGTGTTATTGTGTTTGTCATGTATTGTGTAAGGTTGTTTAGCGTATGATCACGATCGATGTATAATAATTCGGCTGACATTATTGCCATTCTAAATTAGATAAATAAATGTGTGTTGTTTGGTTTGTTCCGACCATGTCTGCTGTGTCCTTTCACTCCAAGAGCGTTGTGGTGAAAAGTTTAAATGTTAATCCATTTGTACTCAATGCCAATACTATATGTTTGTTACTAGACATCTCATGTTACTAGTTTCTTCAGGTCATTGCTATATTTGTTTTGCAACATTCGCAATTCGCGCAACATTCGCAACAGATAAGCATGGTTCTTTCTGCACTCAATGAATGGTCACATGTACCTCTATGTGCGAAATCCATGCAGGTGTTCATAGAATGTGAGAAATGTGTTTATGGCTGCAAGCACTCCTCTGCCAGATGAAGGGGGGAAACAGCAGCAACAAGTGGTGCAAATTAACTCACCAACAGTCAGTCATATAGATCTCTGCCATGGCACAGTAAGCAGATGACAGCGCTCGATTGAGGTCGGCCTCACTGCTTCCCTAGAAACAGGCCAACAGCAATGTCAGTACACGTGCCTGAAGACTCTGAACACGGTATCCATGTTTCGAAGAGTATGCCCACTCAAGTAATGCTGCACGTTTTTACCAATTATTTTTGACAGCCTAGCCATGTGGAATGTAACATTCAATATCTATTGGATACCACACTGACCACTTTCCATAAAGCACTGTCGCTGCTTTTCAGTAGCTGAAGGCCACGACAAGTTATTTGCAATTAATTAAACAGCGAGAGCAAAATTATTATGCATTGGGTATTCGTGTATCTTTTGCCAGTTACGTATGTTTTTTTTATATGTAAATACACGATGATTTGATATAGGATACATGATTATGGCAGCAGCCACAGTGTAAATGCAAGCTCTAACATATGTAACATTGCATGATCAGTTATACAAACTATGTTAACACAATGAATCTATTTTCCACTAACACACAATGACGTTTAAACTTATTAAAACAAATACTATGTGGTTGCATCAGTGGTTACAGAGGGAAGGACATTTATACCAGGAGTGAGTGAGGATGTTCTCCCAGTGAAAGGGTGAAAACACACTACTATGCAGTGGTGAAAGAGCTGGCACTAACCTCAGATGCAGCAGCCAAGCCTTGTTGCTCCTGCAGCAGATTGCACAGTATCTGCACCCCCTTAGCATAGTGTGCCAATGACTCCTTGCCACCTGTCAACTGGCCCAAGCTGAGATATTTTCTGTAGCCCCCATCCGGATCCAACTGGACCATTCTATGCAACAGCTGCACAAAAAGGCATTGAAATAACTGAATTTCTCGAAAAGAAAAGGCAACGAAGTGAGCAGGTAACGAACGCAAAGTGACTGTGTAAATAACAGTCGAAAGTGAGACATGTTTTTTTTTGTTTGGTTGTTTTTGCATGCAGTGAAGTCAATAAACACAGTGATGTTCGAAAGCTGCACACCTCAAATTTAGTGTTAGGCATGAAGGCTTTGCCGCTAAGAACAGCCCACTTGCAGTACATTGGGCTGTAAAATGTTCCACTGCGTTGACAACGGCCGAATCTCATTTCAACCCAGCCAAAGAGAGAAAAAGCTCTCGGAGCTGAAATAGAGTAATAATGACCTGTATATTCAGTTGAACGCAGAATTAAAGCTCCTCATTTATGCTTATTTGGCCTCAACCACTTACAAGCTTCCAATCTCGTCATGCACTCCATCCATTTCTGTCTGGCAGACAGATCACCAGTTACTTATTCGGTACCTTACAAAGCCTCACTGGATCTAATTCTTATTTTGAACCTCATCTTAAGTATCATTCACCAGCAGATGGTCCCTGCTACAGTGTTATTACAAGTTACAATGTATAGCCTGCATAACCTCCTGCTTTCATTTAATTATTTTTAAATAAGGTAGCACTAATTTAAAAAATTGCCATTCTGAAAAAGACTCATTTGTAGTGATTTAACTGAGGAAGGATTACAGGTGGGCGCAGTGCTTGTGCTAAATCATGTTTTTTTTCTATCTCAAAAGCGAATTTCTCGAAGCAGACACATGCCTATGGGAATTCTCTGGCACGCCACAGCAAACGTTTAGTAACACACCACTCGATGAAAACGTAAGAAAGTGAAAGAATACAAAAGCGTCAAAATAAAGACATAAATTAGGCACTCATTAAGCAGACGCCCGTTTGTGTAGAAAAAAAATTGTTGTTAGTGCGACAAAATTCCCATTGCATATTACTTAGGATGACACCAACTGGGGTGAACGGAATAAAATCTATCGATAATTACTACTGTGACACAGAATAACTTTTACGCTAATGGTCTTACTTCCAGGGCGCTTGAGGGATCAGCCATTTCGAGCAGCAGGACTGGAGAGGGCATCAAGTACTTTAAGGTTGTTCGGTTCTTTTCTTAAGGCGCTTTCGCCATACTCCCTCGCTTGATCGTATTGCAGTTCGTTCATGCAGCTTTCCATCTGGTCAGTGAAGAAAGTTACAGCACAAATGAGAACCACAACAAGAAGACAGCATGATTAGCATCTCAGAACAGACATGAAACTTGTGAATGTTACTTTCCACCTATGGGTTTCGTAATGCTCGGTTCATCTCTTAAATAGCAGCACAGATCCTTATAGTTCATAGTTTTCGTCACAGGCAATTCGCACACCGAAAATAGTCACCTGAGACAGGAGATCGTCGACGTTGCATTCTTCTGCTTTGAGGTTTTCCGAACTTTTCCTGGCGCCTGGTTCTGAAACATTGACGAGCAATAAGCAGCGATTCTTTGAGACTTGCAACGCCTCGTGTCTCGGCACTCACTTGTTTTGTTCTCCTTATTCGTCTTCTTCTTGCTTCTTCCCATGAAACCTTCTCAGTCGTCGTGCTGTCAGAGATGAAGGCCAGCAGAGCGCTGTGAAGCACGTGTGTCGCAAACAGAAACATACGCGAAAACAGAAAGTGCCCGATCTGAAGCCAATGCGCTAGCCGTTTCAGAGACCAATTCTAGCCAACGTAGAGCTTAGGCGCAAGCCGAAACTAGCCGCAAATTGCAAACAGCCGGAACCGCGGGTTTCGTTTCGTTCGCTGTGCTATTTTTTTCCTGAGGCAACACTTCTCAAGGAATTGGTTGGCACAAGAGCTGCGCGGATACGATCGGAATTTATTTGGATACTCAAACATCATCTTCTTTCACATGCTGCCGCGTGCAGCCAACTGGAAAGGATGAAACGTCACCGAACGCGCTCTTCGTTATTTTCGTCGTTCGCTGCCGTCGCAAGAAACATCGATTCCCCACGGTGTGTTGCGCCAGGACACTAAAGAACAGCACACCACGCTAGATCAGTCAAAAAGGACAAGTGAAAGCTCGTTCCGGACGCAACTACGGCGCCATCGTAGCCAAGGTTCCGTACGTAATACGGGATATCATTCACTCTGCATGGCGCTAATACGTTACTCCCGGGCTCGATGGCGACTGTTCTGGCTGCTGACGTCTTGCGTGTTCCTCTACGCGATATTCCTGCTTTCTTTTCACATAGAGCCGGCGTCCGAGGCCTTCCACGAGTTCCACAAGTGTCCCGCCTGCTTCGGCGATGCCTTTTGTCCGCACATGCATGACGTAAAGTTGACGGGTTGGTACAGTCGCAGCTTGCTGCGCTTCTTCAACGTCAAGAACGTCTTCATGGGTGAGCTGAACGGAACGCGCGTGGTGGTCAAGAAACTGGCGCACGACGACGAGTTTCGCGAAGTCGACCGTCGCTGGTGCCGCAGTCGTCGATGTAACGTCGCCAGCGCGGTTCGCAGTACCGTGGACAGCGGCCAAAGCCACGAAGCGGCGTTGATGAAACACTTGTTCGCCGTCAGGAAGGAGCAGGACATGACGGCGTGCCCGTCCTCTCGTTTGATCCGCCGAATGCTGATGATGCTTTCGTACAGTCCACTCATGGTCGCGCGCCGCCAAGGAGCATCGAGGGCGGCCGATGTGCTCGCTTATACCGTCACCGTCAATGCCGAGCCACTGCTTTTGCAGGTGTGTAAGCTAAGTAACAAGGTTTGCTTATATTAACTATATGAAGGTACGAAAACTGACAAGCACCCGTTTGTAAAACAAAGTATCAGAGAAATCCATGCGATTTCTCGTAAAGAAAGCGTCTTAGTTGCCGTAAACTTTGTCCGAACGGTTGGAGGAGGCATTGGTTCAAATCAATTCGCTCTCGCGCACCCAATTGCGAGCCTTCTGGTTAGTTGATAGAGCAACCTAAACGGTATGGCGTTTGACCCGGGTTCGACCCTCGCGGACGAGGACGAATTTTTCGGCAACCAAGCAACTTCGTTAGAAATTTGTACGTTTATCTTTGTGACTTCACGCTATACAAATGGGTGGTTGTCAATTGTCCTTTCATGACCTTTTCGCCACTGTTAAGAATGGTTATAGCGCACTGAAAATGAGGAAACAAAGGCATGCAAAGCGAACTATAACCATTCTTAACCATGGAATACCAACAAGCCCAGATGTCCACCTTGGTGAATTTTTCGCTACCTTAAGGGATTCCACAGAGCCAATTTGCGGTATATAGCCCTGCATGCATATAGCGGAGTGACAAGATTTATGCCTGCTTCGATCAACAGTATTTAGCTTTTGTCAAATGCATTGGTGCAATGTGAAGATCTGATTGGTTACTTTGCAGACGTTTCCACGCATGGATGACTGGCCATTCCCAACACTGCTGGGCAGCTGCGGTCGCACAATAGTAGAGACGTACGAAGGAGAGCCTCTCTCCAACTTCGAGCAGGCCAGCTGGACAGTGCGAGCCAACATTTCTCTGCAGCTGCTCGACATGGCCGATTTAATGACAGAGAACCCAACTCAGTATGCACTTTATATGACCGATGTGAAGCATGGACAACTTTGCCGTGAACGATCAGGGCGAAGTGAGGCTCATCGACTTGGAAAACATAATTGTGGTGGACCGCATGCAGGTCAGGGCAGGTGAGTTGAAAGATGTAATCAAGCTCTTCAAGTAGATGTGAAATAATTGTCTCATTACACTAGTGGAGAATTGATTTGAAGTCAATTCAGTGCACAGCAAAGAAGCCAAGTTCCAAGAAATGCTGGTTGCAGGTCAATTATATATATAGATGCTCAAATTTAGAAGTATGGACTAAGATCGCAAAGTTTATACAACTTGAAAACGTAGCTCCCGCAGCTTTTCAATGTGCGTTTTCTCACACCTGCAGCTTGACATATGCACAGACTTCATGTAAACATGGCCAACATATTGTAGCAGTTCCGCCAGCACATTTCTATGGCACTCTTATGCACCATTTGGATCCTGTTGATTTTGTTAACACAGGGGGAGTTCCTGCTGAAACCACTGACACTGTGTAGCAAGAAATCACCTTGGAATAGTATTGTTGCGTTACCATAGACAATCTTATGAGCATACTAAAACATGTCAGTGGCTGTTTACTGCTATCAGTGAGGCTTAATTCAGCCAGTCTGCAGAAAAGGCACTGCAATATACAACCATGTTTTCATGTCCAACTGCGGAGCGGCTTTAGTAGTAGAGTTACCTCGATACATCTAGCTTTTCTACATTTCTTTTTGCCAGCAAGATAAGTAAAAGATGTGGCAATCACTAATGCTGTAGCTCCCAGCTACTTTGAGACTTTCAAAACATTTCAAAAGCTTGTTGCAATGTGTGGCAGAATGATAAATATTGATTGAAATGTGCTGATGGGCTATTGGTCATGGTAACTTATGGCAGTGTGCCATGACTAATGTTATAAATAATAATAAGGGTGTCTTTGTGCTAGTTTAATACAGTGAAGTAGCACTCGAATAAAATCAGTTTAACAAATAATTCAGTTGTACAAACGTTTCCCCTGCTGAAGTACCATCGGCAGCACTTGGTGTTTCGAGCACCTGTGACTCTTGCACTCGAGACATGCACCACTCTGTCTAGAAAAGGGATTATAGCAACTGTCCTACTTCCGGAAGGAAAAAAGGAAGTAACACTTTTAGAAGAAGCATTAAGAATTACAGCTAAAAAAGCACTGATGTTCAAGGAAAAAAGAAGTTTTCTGCTGCCTAGCAGAGTGTTGTGTGGGTGAAGGTTTAGGAGCGCTTGGACACAGCGACTCAATTCATGACCACTGCAGTCTTGCACACAAATGCAGCAAGAGATTACACTTTTCAAAGAATGCTAAATAAGCAGAAATTCACATTTTGATAAGCAGCATTGCAATAAGAGGGTACGAAGTTCATTTTAACAACTGAGGTTTTCTTTAGGTCCTAATAGCAAGTCGCAACATAGCTATTTCAGTTCAGTGAACTTTCGCTTCAACTAACCTTTTTTTCCTGGGGTGCCTTGACGCTCCCTTTAATTGTATCTGCTTTCTGCTTAGCTTCAATAAATGAGGGAGGGGGCAGGGCATCCTCCTATGAAGCCACATACAGCAATGGTTGTGTACATGTGCTGAAGACCCACAAGTAAAACGAGAGCTGCAGATGCAAGGCATGTTCTACTTTGTCAAAATGCACAGCCACAAACTCACAAATTCAGTGCAGTGAATACATTTGCATAGTCTATACCCGAGGTACAAAGGTTTCTATGTGCAGGTTGTGGTGTGCATGCTTACAAGGCCTGCACCGTTAAAAGGAAGTGGTGCGGCCTTGGTACTAAGCATCGATCTTACTCTGCACCGCAGAAAGACGGCCGGGTTGGAAGCAATGGCTGGAACACCGGGAAGAAATGTGCCACGACTGCTTGAGCTTCAACGCGGAGGACTTGTGCTCGCACAGCGCGAGTGACCACAACTTCTACGCCGTGTGCAGTGGTATGCTAGCGCCCCGTGCCTTCTACTCATCGTACGGGGGGCTCATGCACGACATTCCAAAGAGTGTCGATGAGCAGTACGGGCTCTCCGCTCTTCTGGCTATGTGCGACCAGCCGCGGAATTCTAAGGAGAACCGCTTCGTAGCCTCCCGTCTGCTGCGCAGGGCACTAGACAGGGTGCTGCGGGCGACTACTACAACGAGCAATGACAGGGCCTTGTAAGGAATGTGAAAGACGCAGCATTTCAGTGTTCTGGTGTAGGCACTGTTCTGGCACTCTGCCATAGTAGAAGTAGCAACAACTGCCTGCCTGAAGTTTCTTTTCTTCCTACTGCATTTCTTGACTGTGATATCATGCATTGTATGTGGTAACACAAACCTTTAAGGTCACTGATCGCATATTTCTTTATAACTGCATTGATGGTATTTTGTCTTGTTTTCAAAGCCTTCAATGCCACCGCAATTTTTAAGAACTGGATACTTGCCGTGCATTGCACTATGTGCAATGCTAACTTAAAGTACAAATGCTACAGGTAGTTAGGGGGTCTTGCTAGTGCAATAAAATAACTGCAAATGTGTGTGTGATGCATTTATTCATATAATTCTCTTAGTCTGTTTAAATAATTCAACTATTCTTTAGTGTTTTTTCAATGAGCAGTAACCATGAATACACTATTCGAGGTATTGGTGACAGAGCCTACACCCACTTGGAGACTAGATGTTGAATGAAAAAATTGTTCTCTTGACATTACAATTATCTATTAACAGCACAAATTTTCCAACAATTTTATCAACAAAAATATATTTCATGTCAAAGCAACACTTCTTGGAACGAACAGACATTCATCTTGCAGCACATCAATTGGGACTACTGCCCTAATTTAAAATGTAGGCCATGTACCTCCATTTTGACAGGTACAGCTAAGATCAGGCTCCAATTAGGTAACTGAACATTTTTCTCAAGATTTTTTTTAGATATTTTGTGCCACACCAACAGCTCCGCAATACATTATTTGGACAGCATATGGCATGGTACACAAAAATGCTAAAGTCCTCTCAAATAGCTTGTCGCCACCTATCTTCGAGGCATGCATTCAAGACATATTACTCACGTTGGTGCATCACAGCCACTGAATGATGCCTTCTTTAACATGGAGCTGATACTGCCTTGGTTCAAGCATGCACTATCTGCTCCAGCAAGAAACCTAGAGGATGACACTTTCACTGGGTTCTTTCTATAATACCCAGCAGATGGCTGCATTACAGTTGGTAGGCACGGCAAATACAGCTGATTGTCTGTTAGCAAAGCTACAGTACTTATTCAGATTCTGCAAGTGAGCCCTAAATAGCGCAGGGCAATCTACTAAGATCTGTGGTGGCTCACAGTTTCCTCAAAGAATGTTTCATAACCTTGCCTCATACAGACACGAGAATGCCGAAAACGTCTTGACACACTGCTGCAGTGAAGAAATTCTAGGGCAGATTGAAACAGTAAATACTGCGACCTCAATTTATGTCATGCATTTAGTGGAGTCACTATCCACCTACCAACGATTAAAAAGAAAGCTTGTGGTGTCATATAAATTTGCCTAAGATGACTCTAAAGCTGAATACATTTGGTGTGACTATTTTATCGTTATCGTAAAAATCAGGTCCCTCATCAAAGCTTTGGAGGTCGCTCAACTAGGTGCGCACTTTGTTGATGCTATAGGGCTGATAACATTGATGGTGAATTATGCGACAACCCTCTGTAATATGCTGGCAGCTTTCAGTCACCCACTTGTTATGCGATTCACATGACGCAATGCCTGGTGCATTATCTGGTGCTTCCACCACACAGTATCACATCCGTTATGAGATCCCCTTAACACGAAGACTGTCTAGGGTATTTTTCCAAACCGGCCTTAAGCACCAGCGTCGCTCTTTGGTAGAACGCTTGACTTCATTAATAGTTGAATTCTTTTAAAAGTCAAACTGAGGCAAGGTATACAAAGCTGTTCTTATAACAACAAATGGTGAATCTTAAAGCATGTTGTTTATGTTAACGGTAAGTGCATTTGCAAATAAAAAGTTTAAAACAGCAAGTGGTTGAAACAGCTCACATTTAATGAGCTCACAGTCTCTGTATCTAGCCACAACAAAAACTTAAGAAGGTATCACACATTGTAGGTGGGACTAACTGTAATCATACTTTTCGGCGCTTCATTTTTGTAGTCTTCCCTTCTTTGCCACAAAAGTGTACTCACAGAGAGAAAACAGCATTAACGAGTTTTAGCATCTTATTAATACAGTACAATCTGGATTGCCCATGGATGGTTTCTCAACCATACACAATCGAGGACACATTTACACAGCATCTTCACACAAATTCAATGCCATATTTCTAGCAGCACAACATCCTTATAAATTGCCATAAAGCACACTTTGAAAGAATCACCCGATAATAATGCCTGCCTGAACTGAAAGTAACAATGAATTGTGCACGAACCCAAAGTCTGACAACTGGGCTCTTTCGTAATAAGTGCGGCGCATAAATGCAGGACAATTTGCACATGTTGAAGCTGCATTGCAACGGCAGTGATGATAAACGGTCTGTGAATGACAAAAAGTGGCATTCATGCCCAAATAAGCATCATTTTAATGTGAGAGGTATATCTATATTTCTATCCAAGCTCTTAAATGTGTGCAAGTACACTGTACCATTTGCTACAATGTTATTTTCGTAAAAAGACACTGTTTCAAAAATACTTGTGTATTTTAATTTGCTACATAATGGGGCAGCTCTAGAAAGTGACATTTGCCCACATGCAACTCTTTTATGCAGAAATTTCCAAGACATTATGCTAAAACTTTCTGACAGCTTCTCCAGGCCTTATGTGGCTGTGCTTCGGAAGAGGACCGCGCATAATGCGTACAAGCGCTTCCAAGCATAAGCATTTCTTGTTTCCCAACAGTAATGTCTGTAGGTCAATTTGGTTTTCTTGCCCTGAGGTATACATCTTCCACTGCTGGTATAGAACAAATTTTAACCGAAGCTCTGCACTATGCAGTGTAGCAACAGAGTTTGCATGGGAACTGCCTTTTACCACATCTTTTGGAACAGCACAATTTTCTTGAGCATATTTGCATTTTCATAATGTAAGCACAGTTTGAGAACTTGCTCAATGGTTCAGTCAGTTTTTACAAAACAGCCACTATAATTTCACACAACACAGTGGCACAAAATACTCCTCCGCAGAGCCTGCCAAACATTAAATAGTACATAAAGTGGCCATAGTAATCGATACATCACTTGACAGAAGGTAAATGAAACATGCTTCAACTAAAATTAAGGTTCAGGTGCTGTACGAGTCAGCTTGTTATCTTACATCCTCATGGTCTTGAGCTACCATTACTTCTGCAGACAAAAAAGCACCTGTGAGAAGTTTAAAAACCACTAATTTTCATCTGGTTGTCACTGTAAAGGAGGATCGTTGCACTCGCCTTCACTCGTTTTTTTGCAGTGCCCAGAGAAATTGACACGTACACTGCCTTCTACGCAGACTTTCTACAGGAATTTCATTACACGCAGTCACCATTGAAGGTGCTACAATTTTGTACCAGAGCATGCTACATTCAACACGATCCTACAATAAAAATTACTGTTTTCTTTCTAGTCGTGGCATTCTGCCTCAACTCCCCAAGTCCCATGCAACAATCAATATCTATGCACAGTGTACTTGGGCACAACATTTTGTGATTACGCCGGGGTCGCCTACTTCCATTCTTGAACGACTGCACTGTGATTAGCATCTTATAAAATGGCTCTTTACAAAAAACTGCAATACTGAATCAATGCAACCACAGACAGGCATTGAAACTAACTCAGCAAAATGGCATTATTTGTCATCAAACATTATTTGGCAGTACTGCAGGACTGAAAAACTACAGCAGCATGTTCATAACAAGGGTTTACTGATAATAGCTGTCATCCATCCTCTGGCCGTCTTCACACCATTCAGAACAGCGCCATCAGGGAGCAGAGTCCTCGCATCCTGAACAGTCTAGGGAGAGAACAAAAGCTTCCATTTCATCTCTGCCATCCACAACACCGACAGCATGAGCAGGTTTACGAAGAAGATGATGCTGGTCTAGCTGGCTGTCTGCACTCACACCTGAACACCTGCACCAAGCTACCTAGACGCGAATGTTGGAACGCTGCCAATGCTGTAACGCTGCAAGACGTCGAGCCAAGACACAATGGTAAATTAGCTAGCCTTTTGCCATTGTGCCTAGAGATAGCTGCCGGGCAGTTGGACAACAAATGGATGGAGAAGTACTGCAGCAACTGGCACCACTGCAGTGTCCTTTGGATACACACACACCACGTAAGAGCAACAGAGAACTGCATGACTGGCCAGCCAACGGTGGCCTTGTAGCATGCTGGTCAGGACTCTGTAATGAGCAAGGGTTGGTCGCAGGAGCTTAGTAACAGGTGCTGTCGTAGCATGGACTCCAGTCGCATTCGTGCCTGTCGCTCTTCCTCGAGTGCACGTGAAAGTTGGCTCGTCTCCTGCAACAACAGTCAATCATCAACGCACATCATGAATATGTCAGAGCAAGTGCATCAACTGTTTGATGGCACACCATGTTAATCAAGTCTGCAGTAAAGCTCCCAAGAGCTAAAGTCAAACTAAAGACCAGCCTGCTTTGCATGTTGACAAGTCAGCACGTAAACCTCCAGGTGTGAAGCCTAAATAAAAACCTCATATACTTTTACTGCTGCCAATGCACACTCTTGGCACTACCTGAGGTGATGTGAAGATGAAACATCTGTACTTGCGTAGTGCCATATCAATAGAAGTTGATTGGAGTAATACTTTATGGTAGGTTCAGAAACACAGTGCCAATAAATAGCTTTCAAATTCATGGCCTACTATAACACATTACTTAGACACTTTTTGCACTTTGAAGAAAATTGGAGGACGCATGAGCTTCGCCTTCAAGAATAGGTCACAATAGCATAATCATGCCTCAGGCACATCACTTTCTGAAACGGCTAACCTGGTTCAGTTGTTGGCGCATGCCTCAACTGCAACACTTTATGAGTATGACTAATAAACGCTGCCGATTGGTAGTCGAGGCTCCGGAGAACATGTAGGCCAAATATTATAGCACAGCATGTGGCCTGGAATTTACAATAAATTCTCAAAGACAGCTGAAAATTGCTTGCTCTTCTATCAACAAATGATGAAACAAGCTCAAAAATCACTACTCAAACAAAGTAAGCAATTTGGCTGTCATTCACAATTTTCAGAATTAAGCTGCTGCGTCATTCAATGTTTACTTAACATTAAGCATTCTACAGTCAAGTAAATGCTGAAAAGTGACAGCGCAACACTTACAGTGCGCAGTTCCTTGACTTGGTCTCTCAGGGCGTAGACAGTGTCAACAAGGCTTCTGCAAGGCACATCAAATGTGGCGTCAAGATAGGTGAGATAGGCAGTATGTAGCAACTCCTTCAAAAGTACAATGTACAAAAATTATCTGTAGTAGCCGCAATACCTTATCAAACACTTTTCAAAAGGCAAGCTGACGCACGTCTTCAACAAGTGTTACTCCAGAAAAAAAATCTATAGTCACATCCTTTTTTATAGTGAGTGCTGTGAAATGTTAATCTGCTCTTCATGATCAGAATCAAACACATTTACCTCTCCTCCATGCCTTTGGTGTCTTCAACAATAATTTTCTCATCCTCTGCAACTAAGACTTGCGGGCAGTTCATCAATGCTGTAGTATGAAAAAAAAAAGCAACACATAGGTCAGTAGATGCCTCGCTTTAGAAATGGTATGTGGAACTGATGGAAACCTAAAAACACAGTAGACCCCATTCTGTGATACTAAACTGCTGAGTTCTCTGAAAACCTTAACAGTTTTCAAGAACTTTTGTTTAGTGTCCCACACATCTAGAGCACCTTTATAAGACTGAGATCTACAACGTATCACACAGACTTGAAAAAGGTTTAGTGAAAGTTTCGGTGCAAAATTAAAAAAACAAACTATTGGCTTACAGCCGCCGACACCAACAGCAACTGCCACTCGACGCTATGAACGGGCACTAGAAGCTGTGATCTAAAAATTTAAAAAAGTTCAATGCGTGCAGGGTGTACCTGAGTTCACCGTGTGCCTTGCTCGAGAACTGCTGCCGCAGTAGGCCTCAATGACTTGCAGCAGCTGCATGTCGTCCACATGTGGAGCCCTGTCTTCAGCAGGACCTGCACAGGCGCCGCCCAGCCACAATTCACAACATGCCTTGCCTGCACATCGTGTCGATAAGGGCTGCATCAAAGTCGTGTCGTTAAATGTGCCTCAACCAATCACGAAAAGGTGCAGGTAACGTGGCAACTGAGAACTTACTTTCTGGCTATTACTTCTACCTTCTGTTAAAAACTCGGTGAACGAAGAGAGTTAAAGGGACACTAAAGTCAACTATTAAGTCGACGTTGATTGTTGAAATGGCGGTCCAGAAACCTCGTAGTGTTACTTTTGTGCCAAGGAAGGGCACATTTTGAAACAAAGTCATGTTTTAGGGGCCCGCATCGGGTTAGCGCGCTTCAAATTACCCGTCTCAAGAAGCAAATCAACCGGTCTGTCTCACGTCACTGTTGCCGTGCACAACGTTGCCTGGCTTTACTGTGCTAGTAGCAGCATACCGAAAGCAGTGGGAGCCACAGCAGAAAAAACAGCCATTGATCAATTTTCATTCATTGGCTCCGAGATTGCAGATGCTTTTGTTTCAACTGCGCCCCGCTAGATGGCCCCACCTGTCCCAGGTAACCACACAAAAATTGAATTTTTGAACCACTTGCGCCATTCCCCATGGTAACATCCGGTAGTTCTTTTTTTCCTGAATCAAACAAAAACGAACAAGCAGCATTTCATTGCGTCTCTCGATGCACAGAAAGTTCTTTATTTAGTGCAGTTAGATCGATTACTAGTGATCAATTGTAGGCGGTCCGTCTGATGTCATCGATATCATTCTCAAAATGTCCTACTGCGGCGCTTGTGTTCTTGTGCATTTACTTTAATTTCTCAGTAAGTAGGGCCCTGTTGTTGGTAATATTGCCGTTTTAGATGTTGTCAAACATTGAGCTTTCACTCTGACGTAAATTGTTGTTTGACTTTAGTGTCTCTTTAAGGTGAATTATGAAAGAGCAGCAAAAATGAAAAAGCTTCCGCCCTGTGATAAAGGCGATACCATGGCAACCCTTTCTGTTCAGTGGATGTACAATGCATGTTGAGATAACATTAGGTAAAAATGGTAGATGAATATTGAATACTGTTAAGGACTTGTAGTATTTTCTGAAGAACAACTGTGATGACAAGGAAGTTCGTATGGTACAGTAATAGCTGCAGGCCGTTTTTAACTTCTCCCGAAGCCCCTACTCTCTCTCTCTCTGTTTCTCTCTTTCCACACACACATATACACACATGCACAGTTAAACCTTTTCATAAGAGGCATGCTCTGGGCAGCAGTTCTTGTCTCTTATATGAGATGTCTTCTAAAGCAGGGTACCCCATATGTATTTTTTTTACTGACCTGTACTTTACTGTAGGCACGCTGGCGTCTCTTTACCTATTTGTCTCTTAGTGTCTCTTCACTCAATAACACGCAAACACGCACACACACACAGCCAAACATCATAAGTAAACTTGCATCTTACGCAAAAATGAGTTTGTTATATCCAAAAACTCAATATAAAGCTATTATATTCCGAACACTGTATCTGTTGCAGACTATTCATCATTTACTTAGTTATAACTGATATTTCACTATATCCGAGTTAATTGTATCGAGGTATGAGTGTATATATGTTCAAGCACAGACTCCCAGCGCGAGCGGCATTCTTGTTAGGTAGCCCCACTAGAAGGTAATCAAGAGTTTGACCCGTTTCAGAGTTCGGAGGCTTCGCTACAATTACCCCAGGGTCGAAAAGGGAGTCGCCTCGCGACATAACAGCTTGTTACTATGAGCGGGTCATAATAAGCTTTCAGCCGCTCCACGTTGACGATGTCGCGCCCGCGGTGGCGCATGTCTGCAGATTGTTCGACGGGTTCGATCAGATAGTTAACCGAAGATGTGCGCTCAATGACATGGTAAAGGCCTTCGTATTTGGAAAGTAGTTCTGAAGAGAGGCCAGCTACAGAGGTCGGGATCGAGAGCCATACAAGCCCACCAGGAACGAACGTGGGCTCGGACGTGGTGGAGCCATTACGAATACACTTCTGCCGCTCTTGCTCATGCGTCGTAAAAGTCTTGGCAAGCTCGCGACACTCTTCAGCAAGCCTGGCTGTCTCAGAAATAGGTGCCCACTCAAATGGATCCGGCGTGTACAGGAGTATCGTGTCTATGGTGCGCGACGGGTGCCTTCCGTACAGCAAGAAGAAAGGTGAAAAACCAGTCGTGCTCTGAGGGGCAGCGTTGTAGGTGTAGGTGACGAAGGGCAGTATATTATCCCAATTCGTGTGGTTGGCGGCGATATACATCGAAAGCATGTCACCGAGGGTGCGGTTAAAGCGTTCGGTTAGGCCATTCGTCTGCAGGTGGTAAGCAGTAGTTTTGTGGTGAACAGAATGGCACTCCGTCAGAATAGTTTTGACGACTTCCGACAAAAAGACACGGCCTCAATCGCTGAGAAGCTTTTGGGGTGGTCCGTGGCGCAGTATTAATTGATGCAGCAGGAAGGACGCAACATAGCGCGCAGTAGCCGCAGGGAGAGCGGCGGTTTCAGTGAATCGCGTTAAATGATCTACGGCAACGATGGCCCAGCGCTTACCTGCCGAAGTCGGAGGAAGAGGTCCGTACAAATCAATACCTACACACCCAAACGGACAGTCAGGGCAAGGCAACGGTTGCAGACCGGCATGCGACATGTGTGCTGACGATTTGCGGCGTTGGCAAGCGAGGCAAGAGCGTACGAACTGTTGCACGTAGCGGTAAATCCCACGCCAGAAGTAGCGTTGTCGAATGCGATGGTAAGTTTTGGAGACCCCAGAGTGCGCGCATTGTGAATCAGAATGGAAAGATTCGCATATCTCCGACCGGAGACTGCGGGGTATCACGAGTAACCACTGCCGGCAATCAGCGTCGTAATTGCATCGGTGTAGGAGGCCATCACAGATGGCGAAATGGTGAGCTCGAGGACGGATCAGAGAGCAAGGCGATCAGCGGGGCGATCCAATTATTCTTTCGCTGTTCGGTAGCGAGGATGTCAACATCGATGGCAAAACAGCAATTGAGGTTAATGAGCAGGGCACGTCGTCTTCAGGTAGAGGGGAGCGCGAGAGGGCGTCGGCGTCAGCAGGCTGGCGTCCGTTGCAATACAGTACCCGGATGTCGTAGTCTTGTAAGCGAAGAGCCCTATGGGCGAGACAGCCTCAGGGATCCTTCAATGATGACAGCCAGCATAGTGCATGATGATCGGTGACGACATCGAATGGGTGGCCATACAGATAAAGTCGAAACTGTGTAAGGGCCCAGACGATTGCCAGGCACTCTTTCTCCGTGACAGTGTAGTTTGTCTCTGCTCTCATGAGCGTACGGCTTGCATATACTATGACATTTCGGGTTTGCGCTGCGCCAGGACAACGCCGAGGCTTACACCGCTAGCGCCCGTGTGCACCTCCGTTGGGGCTGTAGGGTCGTAGTGGCGTAGAATGGGAGGAGACGTCAACAAATGACGGAGCTTTCCGAACGCGTCGTCGCACTCGGATGACCACAAATTAAGGGGCCTGTTACCTCCAAGGAGCTTCGTCAGGGGTGATATGATCGTGGCAAAGTTTTGTATGAAACGTCAGAAGTATCAGCGCAGGCCTCAAAACTGCGCAGTTCTTTGACGGACACAGGTTTGCGGAATTCGGCCATGGCGCGAAGCTTGGCGGGATTAGGAAGAATGCCGTTCTTGGACACGACACACCCTAGGATGGTGAGTTGCCGTGCTGCAAAGCGGCACTTCTTCAGATTTAGTTGCAAGCCGGCATTGCTCAGACGTGCGAAAACTTCATTCAGACGGAGATGCGTGGAGAAATCTGGAGCGAAGACAACGACATTGTCGAGGTAACACAAGCACGTGTACCATTTCAAGTTGCGCAGAACAATGTCTATCATGCACTTAAAGGTCGCAGGTGCATTACACAGACCAAATGGCATGAGGTCGAACTCGTACAAGCCGTCGGGTGTGACGAAGGCGGTCTTCGGTCGAGCGTCGTCAGCCATGGGTACTTGCCAGTACCCCGAGCGCAGATCGAGAGAAGAAAAAAAATCATATATATATATACGAGATCTAACAGACAATAAAATAAATTCGGTACCTTCCCAAGGCAAGTTCGTTTAAGAACTTCCTCTATACTTTCCTTGGCATTATGTCTGTTAGATGTCATTAATATTGTGTCAAAACACGGAAAAAGAGCCCTTGAATGTACAATTCTTTTCCGCGCGTGCGCGTGCGTGTGTGTGTGAGTGAGTGAGTGAGTGAGTGAGTGTGAGTGAGTGAGTGTGTGTGTGTGAGTGAGTGAGTGAGAGACAGAGAGAGAGAGGATAAAAAAATGGCCCCGTATCAGCATGTAATCTGCAAATGTCGTCGAAAGTAGATAATCTTGCGTGTGGAGAGAGTGAACAATACATTTATTTGATGTTCTGCACAAGGAAATCGGTGAATGGTATTCTGAGGGCGCTGCTTTAGAGTGCCTCGAGCGTGCAGCAGAGGCGAACGAGCGCATCAAGTCAAGTCACACGTGAGACATGAGCGTCATCTGGCAGTTTTCTTGGAAAATGGAGCGCGTGGCTCAGAGACGGGTGTTCGTTTTAGCAAAGGGTTGGGAACACTCTCCTGTTCGTGTAAGCGTTGCATGGTCAGCGCAGCGTGATCAGCGTTACAGTCCTTAAAATTACACATGTATGCCTTTTATAGTAAAAGACGCACATATAGAATATATACGTGTTGCTGTGATGCCCCCGACATGTGCTTTTTAAGTGACAATTGCACAAATATGAACGCTGAACCTTGAGCAACATTGGTGGGTTCTGTGGATGGGGTCGGCCATTTCAAGCACCCGATGCTGTTAAAAGTGAACAAACAGACAAATGTACAGACAGACAAAAATTTTTGTGTTGAAGGTTCCCAAGAAAGACTATCGTCTTTAAAAAAAGATAGATGGTTAATGTGTGTGCTGCAGATGCTGTCAATGCAATTGAAAACTCTTTTATCGCATTTGCTTTCCAGCAAATCTGCACAAAGCAAGAGTCACACTGGTGGAAATCCGGTGTACACAACACCTGAATGGTTTTTGATACATTCATGCGTGACTATTGGTGTTTTGTCACAGAGAGCAGCCGTACCCCTAGGAAGAATCAAACAGGCCTGAGCAAAAATCAGTTTTCAGATTGAAGTCAAGATGAAGCGAATAGCCCATCATTGTGTCAATGCAAATATAAATGAAATACTTGAAGGACTTTCATAAATCCTTGGCAGACATGCAGGATTCTGAAGAAATTTCAGTAAATGCAAGCATGGTTTTTTTTTCCAAGAGGACAGGAGCGCAGAAAATTAGTTCGGTGGCTGTGATTTGGTGTTTTGCATTTGGTATATTTAAGACATTGCATCTGTTGAGCCTGCAGAAGTGTTTTGTATTTACTCTCCACAAAACAGTGATAACGCAAAGTGTGACTTTACCTGCAGAACCCCGCGACAGCTTAGGCTAGCTTTCGCACGTTCAGGAGAAGTATTCCCAGAAAATTACTTCTGAGGAATATTGCGTGGCTTGGTCATTTTTACAGTGAAGCCATCTTGGTAGCAAAGGCAAGAAAGAGTATAGAGGTGACCTGATTGGCGCAACCAGAAATTTCATGAAGAAGTATGCATGAATGTCCAGAAAATCAAGTTAGTCAAGTACAATTGTCCGAAGCATCAAATTTTTTCATACAAATTGTTACAAGAAGATCCTTACAAAAGTTGACTGACAACTATAAAGAAGCATTTTTTTTTCCTTTGGCTCGTTTAGACGGTGAGCTTTCTCATCGACAATAAACATACTGGTTATGCATGCTTTTAAATTTATACTTGTAGGTTTTGAATAATGAAACTCAGAAGGGATATTTACAGGCGTTATAATTGACATTAAAAACCTATACAGTATCTCATTTTGGAGCTGTCTGGACGATACGAAGGCGAACTTTTATTGTATGTCGCAGCCTTCCCTAGCATGGCGTTTTCGGGTGGCATTGGCATAGAATATTTATCATCTTTCTAGCATTCGTCAGTTTCTGAAACAGCCCCACGAAAGGCACATCCTGCGATCACTGAAGTGCAAATTGCAGTGCTAAATTTCTGCAAAGTTGAATTTTCCCAAAACGTACAATCTTTCATGTCGGCTTGATGTGCTGTCTCTAAGACAACACGCTAAGCAGTAGGCTTTTATTCCACTGCCACAAAATTCAACCAAGCCTTCATAAAAAGTTCCTTTTTTTACATTTTTTTTTGCCCCATGAGCGCAGTGCATTGAAATCTTATATATTCACAATGTGCAAGCATGGTCGTGTAGCCAAGGGGTTAAAGACACCTGCCTTAGGAGCGGGTAGGTCCTGGTTCAAATACAGCCCAGCTGAGAAATTACTTTCTTTCATTCATTCTCTTCTTTATGGCAATGATTGTCTTATGTTACAGAAGGACAGACCAGACAGACAGTTTTTTTGTTTATTCAGCACAGAACAGCTCATACATTGAAAAAGAGAAAATCTCACCAGCTTTCCGTTGCTGCTTGTGATGCCGGTTCGGGGCACGGCCAACCGTCGGTCGGGGACGCAGCGGTGGATGTGGACGAAGGCACCAGCCACCACTCTGTGTTGTTGATGAGCTCTCTCGCACAGGTGTTCTCTCAGTGGATGGCCCGAGCACAACAGGCTGCAGTATTAGAAAAACAGGCAACAGTCAACCACATTACAAGGACTGAGGCACACTTTATCAGTCTAGGCTCACGCAAATAGTAAATTTTAGATTCGAATTGAATTTGAAGCTAACAGTGATTTGGTTCAAATAATTTTGAATCGAACATATCACACATGATAAAGAAAAACAAGGATATTTGACATAACCCTACGAATTTGCACAATATTTTTTTAATTGAAACAAGACATGCACATATGTCATTCTCTTTGGTTCGAGGGAAGTGGAAGGAACTTTGAATCGTAGTAGTATTTGATTTTCGATAAAATGCTAGTGGTAACCTGTAAAATGTGTTACGTCAAAACTATCTATACTTAGCACGTGCAAGCCAACTAAACAAGCTTTTAAACTTAAAGATAAAAGAATCGATGTGAGAGTAATTTGTTTATTTAGCCTTGAAGTGAGGCTTCGTGGCAGTGCAGTTTTTTCTTAGAAAGGCGCATTCGCAAGAGAGCACTCCTCCACTGGAGTGGAAACACCTTTACAGGAAGGTTATGTGCAGACATGCGTATAGTATTCATCCATTTCAAAAAACTTTGAAATTTTCAATTATATAAGTTCGAATCAAAGCGAATTTGAATATGTTAATATTGTTTGCATATTTAAAGCGCTTGAATATTCCCGCAAGCCTATTTACCAACTTTGCCTCTAACGCCATTCCCGGTCCTCTGCCTTCACACCTGCGACAAGAAGTGCCATGTGTCTCTTCATGAAGGAGCATTGAGCAGCTTCCACTGAATTTTTGTGGTATGGAATTGCACTCTCGTTTTTTTAGCAGTGTCAATGTAACAGAGAGAATGTTTCTAGGATTGTACAATATGCATACATGTTTTAGCCTCCTCTATTGGCGTCTACCAGTATTGCTTGAGCTCATCTACAGTTCCTTTCACCTATCCAATGGTCATACTTTGTGTTGCTCTTTTCTATATGCCAAGTCTAAAATCAGTGCCTAGTGGTCATGCATAGTCATGCTACACTAAACTGCACTCATTGCAGATTCAGGTGGATGGAGTTTCCGCTATGCTTTTATGACCCAGCCCACCAGTCACTGCAAGAGCATGCAGCATGGTCAGTGTTTCTATAAGGCTGTGTCGTGGAAAGCCACACTCTCACAGAGACGCGATTGTGGTGCTGGTGTGCTTTCGTCCTTGCACAAGAACCATTGTATATTGTGCCACAGGGGACTCCGTATCGGTAGTGTTGGGCAATGCCAGAGGCAACTACTTCTGTCCTCTGTTAACTTTGGCAAAAACTGTTTTTGATGGTGCATTGCTCAGTGCTCTTTCGTTGACAAGTGCAGATTATCCAAAGAATTGAATGATGCAGCGCAACAGCTTGCTAAAGCTAAGCTAGCAAAGGCAAGTAGAATTTGGCATGTGTGGCCCCATAACATTCACTCCCGTATTCTTTTCTAAGAAATAGTCCAATAGTTTCACATTGTAGGCAACTCTGCAAAGCACTGTAATGATCAACAAAATTCAACTGGAGTTGGTGTTCTGTACTGCCCACTTTTTCTTGTCTTGTGCACCTCAACAACAATCTCTCATCTTCAATTGGAAGATGCTCCAGTGGCTATTTCAACTGTCTTAATTAACTAAATTAGGTCTCAAGTTCCTGTACACCGGCACTCCATTGACATTACAAAAGAATTGCGCAGACTGGATTTTTGGAGCACCGTTGAGTAGCAATACTATGTGCTTTATGCTTCACAGTTGGTGGGACTTCGTAGTTACAATCAGCACACAGTAGGCCATTGAACTTCTGCTAACTAGGTTGTGTAGTCTGTAAGTCAACTTGAACTAAAGATATCTCCTTTTATTTATTTATTCATTTATTTATTTTTTTATTTATTAATTTATTTATTTATTCAGCATTTATTCTTTTTTTTCCTGGTCCCCGCACCAGAGACAAACTCACCAAGGGGCGCTGAGGCACCGGAGTTTCCATTGGCCGAACCACTGTGACGGTGGGTGCTGGTAAAGGGGCACTGACTTGCGCCACTGCCCGTCGAAGAGGACTGGGTGCGGGTGGTGGAGGTGGCGAACAGCTCAGCTTGGCCTTCCACTGAGTGGCCTCTTCTGCACTCCGGCACAGCACTGTCATGCGGGGCACTGAAGGACCTGCAAGCAGAAGTTGCAGAAACAACAACACCTATCGTGATCACTAGTTTGGGAGCAATCGAAGCAACCTAAACTTGCACAGCTGTATCAGCCTCAATTTTTCCATCACGCCCTGCTGAATAGCAGTTCCCAAGATTGAGGAGGAAACAAAAAAACGTGGAGAGCGCTTGAGCATCGCCATCATGAGCAGAACGGGCCTCATGCGCATTGCCTTCTCAATTGCTAGCCTTGTTTCGGGGCATGCCTCTACCGTACCGCAAGAAAACAAACCACTGCACATATAACATTGGCTGTTTCAGAGAATCCTAAAATGCCTATTGCAAGTACAGCTCTTAAGTTCCCACTGCGCCTTATTATTCCTTTTGCGAGTCAGAGAAGGACCCACTATGAGTCCTTAAGGCATCACGCAAACCTACGCAGATGTTCATTTTGTTGACGCTTTTGCTGATGGTGCTGATTAAATATGTCTGAGTGCTATGTCATGAGTGGGCCTTTGAAACACCCACTCGTTGCGCGATTAACATGTTTTGAGACCTGGCGTAATTCTACATTTCTGCCACGCAATATTACATGCATTAAATAAACTCCTTCCACTACATAACATTCATATACAGTGAAATCTCTGTACGACGCATCTCAATGGACTGCTAAAAATCATTCGTTATTTTAAAAAGTTGTGGTAGTGAAGTTATTGAAAATTTGCACAAAAATCATGACCGAAGATACACGAGTTGCCTACATGTGCTATCTATGCATTCGCGACTGTGTTATGTTATAAAAAGCATAAACAAACAAACACAAAATATTATGGAACCAGTGCACGTTCAATGAAGGAAGATCTATCATTTGAGCTGGGCAGCTCGGCTGCTGAAAAACTAACTATTAAGCATGCACATCATTCTTATGCATTGCAAGGCACTGGCATTAAATACCGACTCTTCCCGTGGGTTCGCGCACGCTGTTTTAAAGTCGTCTCTGCAGTCGCCGTTTCCTAATCACGACAAGTGGTATAGATCTTATTGGTCATCTGCTAAGCTTACGTGTATGCTTCATCGTCGCACTGTGCATAGTGTTCGAGCATTAGTGAAGCATGCATCATTGGCAACTTCGACCCATAAATAACTCGCGTCGCATTTTTAACTATTGCAGCATTTCTTAAAGGCAGCCGCAAGTAACTTTTTAAAATTTCTATTCTTTACTTTCAAGTTGTGGAGATATAAGGTGGATAAATTTTGATACGTCATTCTGAAGCATTTGGTATTCTAAAATTCATAGTAATGAATTATTTTTACATCAAACTGATGGACATTTGGAGGGAAATTTCCGAAAAAGTTGTTAATTAGAAAAAATTGTCAATTTAATGTTCACTATAACGAGATTTGACTGCAGTGCATTTTCCAAAGCAATTTCAAAAAACAGAGTGGTTCTGTGATAGGACAGCTGCTTGCCAAACAGACAGCCCGGGTTCGATTTTCACTCGGACCGGAACATTTTTATTTGTTTTAATTGCATCTTGATGTTCTGGTCACAGACCTGATGATCTTTTGCTTACAACTAACGATGCTGCCACCGTAATTTCTGCAAAATGGGCTCTTTAACATAATAGCATTTGCAGGAAATAAAAAATGGAAATTGAATTGCAGGATCACCTGCAATTCCATTTTGCATTTGCACCAAATTTATGGTCCCACATAGATGGTTAGTTTTTCACTTGTTAACTAAAAAGAATGTAAAAGCCCACATTACCTTGAATGTCAAAGGCACAGCCATCAGCTGGATCCTGGGAGTTTAAAACTGCCAATCCCGGTACAGGGAGGCGACCCTGCAAAGGACACATGTCTGAAGACTGTCTACAAAAGTTACAGGTGTACTAGTTTGTGTAAGCTCCAAAGCTCCTTCCGACAAGCCATTCTTTATTAAAAAGAAAAGAAGAAGGTAAAATGTGTTTGCAATAAAACAAAAAAGTTGTGCCAACTCACGCCAATTCATAGAAATTCCTCTAAGAAAAGAAACTGAAGTTATCTAAAATGAGAATACATAAAGCTCTATGATGTTCAAGTACCACAAAGTATAGGAAAGTGCTGCCAAAGTTACGGTCGCACAGGGGCACAAACACAAGGCCACTCAAAATTTTAAATATATTCACTAATATTAAGCAATGCGCATAAGATTATGTGGCATCATAATCCATGTGTGCGTGTAAATGTGCCACAATTACACACATTCACACAGTGAAACCTGAATTATTCAAAAATCTTCAATTGAAACTGATGGGTGATTCGATCTCCACAGCTGGCCTAAGTCAAGCTGTAGGTATTTGAATAGGAAACAAGAATAGCTAATTTGAACTCACACAGCCGAAAAATTACATTGAACAAAATTTCTCGTGCCTCTGAATAGCCTCTCTAAAAATTTGCCCAACAATGCTTCTTGCTTCAGCACTTCTTCGAAACAATGACATAACGTGGCCATTTAAGCAAGGCTCGTGGGAGGACAGCACACAAAGAGCTACTAGCTGTCTCAGCTCGCACACCCTTTGTGACCACCAATAGATAACCCACAAGAAAGGGAGTGTAAGGCACATATTCGCTCAGCTGCTGTGACCATCGCTACACAGCTTACAAGGCTGGTCCTGAAACTTCGCCTTCCCCTCGACTGCTCCACCGCACACACGCTTGCCTCCTCCTGCTCTGTTCCCTCCACAGTGATGCACTCACGCATGACCAGGGACCGACTAGTAGAGGAGATCGGGGACGAAGCCAAAAATTTCTTTTGGGAAGAAGGAGGTTCGACCATACTTAATGTACCATAAAAACCAGATCATAGGTCGAATTTTCTTGCAATAAAACGCGACGAAAAGTCGATACTCGTCTTATATACCGGTCATTAGCAGAAAAAAAAATTGGAAGCCTCGCAATGATGGGCAGCTGAAGTCAAAAGCCTGCATTGCCATCGTGAGCATCAGCAGCGGCGCCGTTGGACAAGGCTACGCAAGGCCTACAATATACTAGCGACACCATTTTGCTTCGGTTATCTTTGTGAGTCTGCTGTCTTATCTTTTCTATTTCCTTTAGAAATGAGTGTTACTCGACGGCAGTTTATGATAGACTTTAAGAAAAAAGTTATCGAGTATGCCGAAGGGTTTGGCAACCCGGCTGCACAAGAGGAAGGGTGCATCAGAAAAAGTGAAAGAGCCAAAAGCAGCGCATCACATCCTGCGGCAACCAAAAAGAACTTTGTTTTGCGGATGGACCACAGTACACCCCAAACTGAAATCCCTACTCACCGAATTCGCCCGGAAATTGCGTGCAAGGTCACTACCTATGACAGCGGAGTGCATCAGCTTGAAAGCTATCGAGACAGCGCGCCTCTGGGCTCTTGAGGGTGCAGTTCAGGGGCTCGCATTCATGCATGTGCCGATTTATGAAGTGGAAGGGCTTTCGCTGAGGCGGCATACTTCCGTGTGCCAAAAACTGCCCGAACATTGCGATAACAAGCTAGTCGAGCATTAGCGCTTCGTCATCAGGCTTCGTCGACAGCACTGCTACATGATGAGACACATGGGCAACGCTAACGAAACTCTGGTCTGGTTTGATATGCCGTTAAGTCGGACTGTGACCGCTAAGGGATTCAAGCAAGTGAAGCTCTTGACAACGAACAACAAGCATTCGTGATTTACAGTAATGCTCGCGTGCAAAGCCGATGGAAAGAAGCTGCCTCTTTATATCATTAGCAAGAGAAAAGGGCTACCAAAAGAAGACTTTCCCCGTCATGTTATTGTAAGAGCGAACAAAAAAGGGTTCATAAATGAGTCCCTCGTGCTTGAGGGGATCTGGCTCATGTGTTATCGGCAACCCGTTGCACTTTTTCAGCGAGCGAGCATGTTGGTGTTCAACTCATTTCGAGGCCACCTTCACGGCCAATGTAAAGGGAGCTCTGTCAGACGGCAAGACAAACCTTGTCGTGATCCCTGGGAGACTAACATCAATCTTTCAGCCACTGAATATAGTGCTTAATAAACCCTTCGAAGATCGCGTGAGCGAGGTCTACAATTAGTGGATGCTGGGCGACAATCCCAGGAACCCCGCTGCCCACCCACGACGTTACCACTCGCGACCGTTTGTGGCTGGGCGTCGTGCAAAACTCTTCCGGAAAAGATGGTGCAAAAGTCTTCTCGCAAATGCTGCATCAGCAACTGCATTGAATGGAGCGGAGGATGATGCACTCTCGAATGTAACTAGTGACAAAGAGACATAGTTGGACACAAGTTAGGACGAGTCTTGAATGACAGCACTTTAGTGGCTTCTGGCGTTGAACTACATAAGATTATTGTCGAAATAACAAAAAAAAAAAACACCACACTAGCTGGTTGTGTCGCAGTATTTATCAAGGTAAGAGTGTGCCGCAATATCGTTGCGATATTTAAAGATTTCTTTTTCGGAGATTCAATGTTGGGGAGGTCGACCCTATATTCCGGTATTTACGGTACGTTCGTGCATGCATTTGCATGTTAGTGTGTGTATGTATACATATAAAAAATTTAAAACTTTTTCTTTCGGGATGTTGGACTCCCCAACAACCTTCGCTGGCTACTACCAATGGAGGAGACACAAGACTTCCACCACCTTTGCCAGTCACTAATAAGCCTCCTAATCGCTGGTAAGTGCGAAGATGGTGAAGACAATGCCTGCCCAGGAATGTGCATGTGACACGCTGCTCAAGTGATTGAGCACTATATTAAAAGGGCTCTCTTTAGTTCATACTCCCAAGTTCCTGCCCCTGAATGTGAATAAACAAGGCTCCACTGTTCAAGGCTTAAAGAAAAGTGAGAAAAGAACAGTGCTGTTGGGTATGCTTACCTGGTAAGAGAAACGCCCGTTGGAAAGGGACAGCTGCACAAGGCAGCTGGAGAACAGTGCCAGGTAAAGGTCACGCCGCTCCTCTCCCGTCAACAGTACTACAGGCCCCACGTGCAGCAGCTCACCTAAGCACTGCAGCTCCTGTGGCATCACAGTTTTAAAAAAGGTGCACAATTGGATTACTTACAACTAAGGTTACTGTGTTTTGTATAATCTGCATTGCTAGCAAACACATAAGCTTCACCAGTCCATCAGAAATATTAGACAAACGGAAAAGTATTGCTAAATTGAAAACATTTACAAGGCCCCTAAACGTTATAAGTCGTGAGGTGCTTTTGTTTCAGCTAACCATAGCAAGTGGCACAGCTCTATTGCATTCTCTCGAGCACGGCAGGGAAAGGAATCGAAGCTGAGAAAGCATGTCATGTTGACAAGCCCCCCCAAGTCATGCCTTCTCTTTTTATCAGCTACAAACCTTGCTTAAGCACGCATTTGAGGTGTTGAGACTTCACATTTTGAATTTTATTAACCATTTGTGCAAATAATGCCACAACCACCTGTGCAAATAATGCCACAATTTTTGTTTTTTTAGGATGAGAATCAATGCCTGCATGTGCTCCGTCAAAGAGGGAAAAGCACACATTAATAATACGGATGCGATGCTCATTGAGAACGTATTCATGTTTTTTTTTTTTTATGGAAGCCAACAAGCTTCCCAAATGAATCAAAAACATTTCATAAAAAGGACTGACTGCCCCACACAGGCATAGATATGCATCTACTGTAGTGAAACATGAAGAAATGCTGTGATGTTTTCATTGCAAGAGGGGTCCTATGATCTGCGAGTTCTAAAATATTGTTGAATTGGGCAGAACATTTGCCACAGTATATTGCTCTCAAGTGCTCAACAAATTAGGATCTATGAGCAGAAGACAGGCAAACGAATGTGCATCTCTAGACCAATGTATGACAGCAGTAGCCCGCTACAACCCCTCTTGCAATGTGCTGTTTAACGATGGCTGTTACAGGACACTCTTTGGTCCCACAACAGTGCTTAAAAAGACCACCTCGTGAGAAGCAGGAGAGAGCTCACCTCTCCTTCACAACCATCCACAGTGCCTGCGAGTACTTCAAGTTCAAGCTCCTTCTGCCGCCGCATGGCAGAACAGCTGGCCTGCACAGAGGGGCATCCAGATCTCAGCACAGATAACAGGGGGCTATTTTGTATGCGATCTGAGATAGAAAGGAATGAAACATCATCAGAGGATGAAAGGGAGCCGCGCGAGATTGGTTGAGGCACGTGTGACGGTGGGACATGGGAACAACAACCGGAATCGGCAGTGCTGTCAATCATTTTGGCATAGATTGTGCAGAGAACAATAGGAGGCACAGCCCCATCTGATGGAAGGAATACAGAACGCTCTCTAGACTTGAATTGGATCGAAACGTTAGCACAGGGGCTGGAGAACTGAATTACCTTGCTTTGTGTCTGCTTTACTCCAATTCCACATGAATAATTTATGAAAGTTACAACCAGCCTCCACCCCTGAACGGCTTGTTGAATAGTGACATCTAGCGTCCAATCAAGACCAACAAAAATAAATTGTGTAAGTGATCGCACTCTTCAATTTTAAGCTTTGAGAAACAATTCCTACCAATAGTGATGTTCAGCTATAATAATGCAAGATTTCTTCATGTGCTGAAAACATTTCTGTCCTTTTCTCAGCTTACCTGTTGGCTGTTTACTGCCCCTTGTCCTGACACGACGTTTCGTTCTGTTCTTTCTCAGAAGACGAAAAAAATAGCCCCCCATGAAGTGTCACAAACAGGCTATTCCATACGTACGGCCATCTCTTTGTAGACGAAGACGCTTCTCTGTGTGTCACCACGGTCTATGTGGCTCTCCTAAAGGAATAATAAGAAAACATGGGTAGAAAATATGACACGTCAACACTCTCTTCAATAGCAATATCAAAACTGACAAAGAACGTGCTCAAACGCCTTTAGATCAATACTTACACCACTGAGTGTTCACAACTGTGCGCAAAATACCAGTAAATATTTATTAGTAAACTTTTACTTGAGAAAGTTCAAGCAGTTGACAACTGTACCTCACAGTGAGGCTGACACGTTTGGGATAAATTACAAAAGGTGACACATAGTATTCCACTTATAACACAACCTGACACGGCACGTAGCATGCACGGCCAAGTAGCTAGAAATTAATATCTTAAATCTTACCAAAAACAAAATAAAACAGATGACACACCACCTATAACAGCTGTCTACATATCGTTCGTAAGGTCAACAAACCGGAGATGAGACGAGATGTTCTTTATTTAAACGATACGTTTACTCACTGACTAGTTTAATGTGTCGACGGTGATGATAGCAGTGTTTTGATGCTCCTGCAAAGTGGCGCTCTTGTAGGAACAATAAGGCACATGCATGGGTATGTGTGCGTGTGCTTTTTTTTTTTTTTTTCAAGCTTCTCGCATTACACTGCATGCACAGCTTCTTATATGCCCTTGTTACAGCATTTGTTCTGTTCGGCAATGCTAAGTGTTGGAGGAAGTTGGAAATTTCAGCGTACCCCAGCTTGGTAGTCAGGAATACTACATGAATCGGTATATAGCCAGAGCCTCCCCACTTGCCCTTTTGAACACACGCATGTACATAGGCACGCACACATTCGCACAAAAAAAAAAGCCGCTCATATGGGCTGGGCTTGGGGCCTACACTTGAGTGAAAAGAAACATGACGCCCTGCCAGGAACAGCAAAGAAAAAAGGAACAGCAAAACTTTTTGACATGCAGCGTCTACCTCAGTATGCCGCTGGAGCTCAGTGAGCAAAGCTGGGTACTTGTCGAGGCGGCGAAACGGTCGGCTCAGCCCTGTTGTCAGAGTCAGAAGGGTCGCACCAGGTGGTGAAAGCTGCTCCAGCCATGATCCCAGTGTATCTCTGCATGGGCAGCATTAGGAAGGTGTCCTCCATAAGGCCACTGAACAATGTGGACAGCTGGCATGCATATAATATTACATGGGCAAAGTACTTTACCAGCTTGTCAAATGACCTGCTGTTTAGCATCTATGGCACTGCACCGACAAACATGAGGGCATGAGCTTGATTCATGGACACGTTGGCCAAATTTCGGAGGTAGAAATTGCAAAACTGGCTGTGTACTTCGACTTTGGAGTATGATAAGCAACCTTAATTCGTTAAAATCAATGTGGAGTACCCCACGAAGATGTACCTCATAAGCATGCTATGGTTTCAACCCATAAGGCCTCAGAATTTACTTAGTTCCATTTTTAGTTTGCCTAATCCCTCACTAACTAGATTACCAACTGCAAAAACAGAACAACGATCATGAGAGATTCGAGTAAAACCTCTGGGCAGTCATAGCAAATCGCTCTTTGCCATTGTGATATCCCCAGAGGTGAAACCGTTGATTGCATTTGGCAATGTGGTATGTGTAGTGGCAAAAATACGGGCTTGCTTGAGACGACGAAGAAAACGTTTGTTGTGGCAGAGGCTCGTGCTGCTGCAGCTGCTGCTGAAACCGCTGGCTACTGTCTCGCTGCTGTTCGGCCCATTAAACGGTTGCATCACCCCGGCGTGGCGTCTAATAGTACTCTTACATTTGGTGGAGAGTGCTGGTTGTCTCAAACTGGAACTCCGTTCCCGGACTCTACCTCAACCCCCCGCTCTGCCAATGCCTGACAACATGACCCAGCCACCTGCAGTCATAATCCCATCCGTCACCTGTTCCGGAATGCCACGACAGCGAGATCCAGTAATTTTCAACGCGACCCACGACCAAGACGCCGAAGACTGGCTGTCCCAGTATGAAGCGGTAAGCGCCCACAATAAGTGGGATGACACCGACAAGCTCGCTTACCTTCATTTCTATCTGGCGGGTGTGGCAGAACTGTGGTTTAACAACCACAAAGCAGAAATACCCTCTTGGTCAACCTTCAAGACGCGCTTTGCAGAAGTCTTTGGCCGACCTGCTGTTCGCAAGCTCCGCGCCGAACAGCACTTTCGCGGCCGTGCAGAGCGCTCTGGCGAGACCTTTACCTCGTATATTGAGGATATTCTGGACCTCTGCCGTCGTATCGATTCCCACATGCCTGACGCTGACAAAATACGGCACATCATGAAAGGTATCGAGGACGACGCCTTCCACATGCTCGTAGCAAAAAACCCGCAAACCATCGCCCAGTTTATTCAACACTGTCAGAGTTTCGACAAGCTGCGGAGAGAGCGCATTTCTACTCGACGTCCAAAGCTCGACACGAGCTCTACATCTGCGTTAACCATTGGCGCTGTTTCATCAGAACAAAGCACCTTAATGCAGCAAATTCAGCAGTTCGTCCGAGAAGAAGTGGCGCGCCAATTGTCTCTTGTGCCGCACGTTCCGGCCAGTGCGCACACACCGACCCCAACGCTCCGCAAGATAATCGAAGAGCAAGTTTCTGATGCCCTGTCTCCTACATACCATCCTTCGCCTATCTCCGCCCCCCTCACTTACGCTGAGGCCGCCAGACGATCGCCGCCGTCGCTACCAAACGCCACAGATCTTGCTAGACAGCCCTGTCCCATCTACGCTGCAAGTCCCCCTGTCCGTCCCCACCCACCTCCTGTTCGCCACGCCGCGCTACCATCAACTAACCCTTGGCACACTCCGGACAACAGGCCGATTTGCTACTTCTGCCATCTTCCCGGTCATGTAGCACGCTACTGCCGTCGTCGGGATTATAACCCAACTGCTGGTGAGGCGACTTACGGCTATCGTCCAGAGCCACCACAGTCGTCTTCGTTCCACCCCACGTTGGAACAGTCGCCGCCACGTCGCCGCGGCTTCGGCAGGGATCGGTCGCCCTCACCACGGCGCCGTTCGATTTTTCCTATGCTTCCTCGATCAGCCCCCACCCAAACGAAAAACTGACCATCGCAGTTCCCGAGGCAAGAGCTGCGCATATATCGAAACTTTCAAGGCCTCTGTTTCTACCTGCTAATGAAATAACTGTGCATATTGATGGTGTACCGGTGCAAGCGCTCGTTGATACTGGCGCTGCCGTGTCTGTGCTAAGTGGTGAACTGTTCCGCAAGTTGAAGAAGCTTACACTGCCCCTTTCCGATGTCTCTCTCCGCACGGCCACTGCGCATCACATCCAATCTTCTGCGGCGGGCACAGCTCGACTGGTCATCCAAAATATTTTGCATGCAGTCGAATTCGTTGTGTTTTCCCCATGTTCGCATGATATCATCTTAGGCTGGGACTTCCTCTGAGCTCATCATGCCGTCGTTCACTGTGCGCGTGCCAAACTAGAGTTGTCGACGATGTCTGAACTGCCCCTGTGTGAAGCGCCGACGTCTGAAAGACCTTTCAAGCCGCTATCTTCCCGAGTCACCGTGGCCGCGGACACTCACATCCCTCCTCTGTCCTGTGTTCTTGTGGCACTCTTCTGCGACGACGCGCAGAAGAGTGCCACAAGAACACAGGACATCCTGTCACCTCTGTCACCGCCGTCTTTTACCCCTCCGACGCCTTTAGCTCTCGCAAAAGCTTCCTTCTCCCGTTCGCAGTTGTCACCGTAGAAAACTCCCGTGGCTCCATTTATATAACGAACTCGCTTCCTTCCCCAGCCATATTATTCCGTGGCGAAGTCCTCGGTCACCTTGAGGAAATTGATTCTGTTTCGCCCAGTCACCTACCTGACGACTTGCCATTATCTCACTTAAACACCATTAGCTCTGATACCACTCCCACTTCATCTCCGGAGGCTTTTTTCCCATCGATTGACCCTCAACTTCCCGCTGCTCAGCGCACCCAACTCCTGGCTCTGCTAGATCGCTTCAAGATGTCCTTTGACCATAGCCAACCTTCTTTGGGTCGCACATCTGCGATCGTTCACCAAATCGACACCGGTAGCCATGCACCTTTGCACCAGCGCCCATATCGAGTTTCTCACGCTGAACGCCGTGCCATTGATGATCAGGTAAACGATATGCTTCGACGTGGCGTAATACAACCTTCAAACAGCCCTTGGGCCTCTCCGGTTGTACTGGTAAAAAGGAAGGATGGTAGCATCAGATTCTGCGTTGATTACAGACGTCTTAATAAGATCACGAGAAAAGATGTTTATCCGCTGCCAAGAATCGATGATGCCCTCAATTGCCTACAAGGAGCAGAGTTCTTTTCTTCTTTAGACCTTCGATCGGGCTACTGGCAGGTTTCTATGAATGAAGCCGACCGCCCCAAGACTGCGTTTGTAACGCCTGACGGATTGTATGAATTTAACATGATGCCATTCGGCCTCTGTAATGCGCCTGCCACCTTCGAGCTTCTCATGGACAACATCCTTAGAGGCTTTAAATGAAACACATGCTTGTGCTATTTGGATAACGTCGTCGTTTTCTCGAAGGACTTTGACTCCCCACCTCAGCCGCCTCGCAAGCGTCCTGACTTGTCTTTCGGACGCTGGACTGCAGCTGAATTTGAAGAAATGCCACTTCGCTGCCCGCCAGCTTACCATATTAGGGCATGTTGTTAGAAAGCATGGTGTTCGTCCTGATCCAGCCAAGCTTAGCGCTGTCGCCGACTTTCCCAGGCCAGCTACACTAAAAGAACTCCGCAGCTTCACCGGCCTCTGCTCATACTTTCGCCGTTTCTTGCGCGATTTCGCCACCATAATCGCACCCCTGACGCATCTACTTGCCGACAACCAAGACATCTCGGCGTGGTCCCCAGCATGCGATGAAGCATTCGCCTCGTTACGGCATCTTCTGACATCACCACCTATCTTACGCCACTTTGATCCAGACGCTCCAACCGAAATCCATACGGACGCTAGTGGAGTAGGCCTCGGCCCTATTCTTGCTCAGCGTAAATCTGGCTTCGATGAGTATGTTGTATCTTACGCTAGTCGCACCCTTACTAAAGCGGAAAAGAACTATTCAGTCACCGAGAAAGAATGCTTTGCCATTGTTTGGGCAATCACGAAATTCCGACTTTACGTATATGGCCGCCCATTTGACGTCATGACTGATCACCACGCATTGTGTTGGTTGTCTTCATTAAAAGACCCATCTGGTCGCCTAGCTTGCTGGGCACTACGTCTAAGAGGCCCAGTGAGCTTCTTAGTGAGCGGGGGCGTTCCTTCTTGTCGGAAGCTGTAGAAGCCCTCCTACGCGAATGCAACATCGTGCATCGAACAACCACCGCCTATCACCCCCAAACCAAGCGGGATGACCGAGCGATATAATCGCACGCTGGGTGACATGCTCTCCATGTATGTTTCCGATGACCATACGAACTGGGACCGCGTACTGCCATTCGTTACGTACGCTTACAACAGCGCAATTCAATCTACAACTGGATTCTCCCCGTTCTTTCTTCTTTATGGTCGGGAACCTTCATCGTTCTTGGACACGATCCTTCTGTACCGCCCAGACCCTTCAGAATCGACGACTTTGGCCGAAGCCGCCACATATGCCGAAGAATGTCGGCAGCTCGCACGTGCACTTACTACGCACGATCAGGCTCGCCAGAAGGACTCCCATGACCAGCGCTCATCTCCATCGTCATACGCGCCTGGAACAATCGTGTGGCTCCGCGTGCCATCGTCTGACCCAGGCCTTTGCTCAAAGTTCACACCCAAGTATGACGGTCCGTACAGGATCTTGCACCAGACATCACCAGTCAACTACATGGTTGAACCTATTCAGCCACCTACAGATCAACGGCGCCGCGGGCGTGAAACTGTGCACGTCGACTGTCTAAAACTTCACTACGATCCACCAGTCGTGTCTGTGCCATAGGTCGCCAGGATGGCTCCTTTTGCACCGGGGAGTCAATGTAGTGGCAAAAATACGGGCTTGCTAGAGACGACGAAGAAGATGTTTGTTGTGACAGAGGCTCGTGCTGCTGCAGCTGCTTCTGAAACCGCTGGCTGCTGTCTCGCTGCTGTTCGGCCCATTAAACGGTTGCATCACCCCGGCGTGGCGTCTAACAGTATTCTTACATATGTTTGTATCTGTTACTGTGTAAGCAAGACTCCGTTTGCTTGCGCAGAAAATTCACATAAAAAGACACTTCACAAGTTCCATCTGACACACTTATCTGACACACGAGTGAAGCCAACCGACATTTCGACTGGGCGACTGGCCCAGGGAGCCAATGAGCGACTGGCCCAACAGGGTGCTGCTGGGGCAAGACGAGATTGCTGAGTGCTGCTGCTGTTGCCGCGGCAGAGGGCCTGATGAAGGAGAGGACCGACCCACGTTGAGCACGGCAGTTGAGCCAAGCGGTGCACCGTCTCCAAACGACCGGCGCCAACGTCACTCAAATGGTGAGCGAACGTTTCACTTAAGGACCATTATTCCTTGTATAGCTAGAGTGCTCCTATGTTAAGTGTACGTCTGTCCATGAGCATGAAGGATAATTTAAGTGCGAACATGTCTTTGTGTACTGATGTGCTGTCAAGTCCTTCCTGGAGCAGTCCTGCTCCTTATAACATCACAGAGTGTATGTTTGCCTACTTGAAAAAAAGAAAACAATGTATATTAAAAGAAAAAACAATGCTATAGCTTATTTTACTCCCCTCAAGCGAAAAAAAAAAAAACATTTCCCCCGCATCGGTGAAGCATCCCATTCTACATTTACAGATGTACAAACTGAACAGCACATTGCACCGCAGTGGCAATGACGTCAAATTCTGGTAGCTACCCACTTCAGCATGTCCATGAGTTGAATGGCCAGAGGATGATTCGCACAGTAGACCAGCTGTGTCGCCTTCATTCGTGCTGCGATTTGCAGGAAGGCCCCGCCCACCCGCTGTTCTCTGCTTGGCTGCCTGCACGCAAAGGAAGTCAGAAAACATTATTGCAAGTGCATCACAGCTAAGTTTCTCCCAAGATGAAACTGGTTGCTATTATAACTGGAGCTGCACGAATACAACCTAGACAATGATCGGATACAATTTAAAATTCCAGAGAGGCCCCGTCTAAATGAATGAAATGCGGCAGCCAATCCCCTCTGCAACTCAAGAAATGTAGTTCCGCTAACGACGTCACTCTAAAGTGCACGCCGATTGGGGCAAGCTTGTATACACTCACTTTTGAGGAGGAAATACCACAAAATCATGCAGTTGTACCTAACTATAGCTCGTACGAACTATAGTTCTGCAGGCCGAGTCGGGAGGTAAAGGCGAACGGGACAGGGCGTCGGCGTCAGAATGCTTGCGTCCGCTGCGATAGATCACGCGAATGTCGTACTCCAGGATTTGCAGTGCCCACCGAGCTAGGCGGCCAGAAGGATCTTTCAATGTGGCGAGCCAACAAAGTGCATGGTGGTCCGTTAGCAGGTCCAATGGGCGACCGTACAAATAAGGGCGGAACTTGCGAAGCGCCCACTCTAGCGCTAAGCACTCCTTTCAGTGACGCTGTAATTGGCCTCAGCTTTAGTGAGCGTGCGACTCGCATAAGCGACGACGTATTCGGAGTAGCCCGGCTTGCGCTGGGCGAGGACAGCGCCAAGACCAACCCCGCTAGCGTCTGTGTGAACTTCCGTTGCAGCTGTTGGGTCGAAATGCCGTAGAATGGGAGGAGATGTTAGCAGACTACGGAGCGTGGCGAACGCGACGTCGCAGTCAGGAGACCAGGATGAAAGGTCTGCGTCACCGCGTAGGAGGTTGGTCAGTGGTGACATGATCGACGTAAAAATTTCGAACGAAGCGCCGGAAGTACGAGCATAGTCCGATGAAACTGCGTAATTCTTTCAGTGTAGTAGGTTTCGGGAACTCGGCGACTGCTCGCAGTTTTGCAGGGTCGGGTAGAACACCATACTTGGACACGATGTGCCCTAAGATGGACAGCTCTCGCGCAGCGAAGCGGCACTTTTTGAGGTTTAGTTGGAGCCCAGCGTTGGTTAAACACGTCAGAACCAGTTGGAGCCGAAGCAGATGTGTAGGAAAAATCGGGAGAGAAAACGACAATGTCGTCGAGGTAGCATAGACACACAGACCACTTCAGTCCACGCAGTGTGTTGTCCATGAGTCGTTCAAACGTGGCAGGGGCATTACAAAGCCCAAATGGCATTACGTTAAATTCATATAGGCCATCTGGTGTAATGAACGCAGTTTTCTGGCGATCAGCTTCTGCCATAGGGACCTGCCAGTATCCAGATCGTAAGTCTAAGGAGGAGAAGAATTCGGCTCCTTGGAGGCTGTCAAGGGCGTCGTCAATGCGCGGTAATGGATAGACGTCTTTCCGCGTCACCTTGTTTAATCGCCGGTAGTCGACGCAAAATCGAATTGATCCATCCTTCTTTCGAACTAGAATGACAGGAGATGCCCAAGGACTGTGCGATGGTTGAATAACGCGACAATGTAGCATCTCTTCGACCTGGTCATTGATGACGTGACGTTCTGCAGCAGAGACACGGTACGGTCTTTGACGCAATGGCTGATGCAAACCGGTGTCAATGTAGTGGTGCACTGCCGAAGTACGACCCAATTGCGGCTGAGAAACGTCGAATGAATTCGCGAAGTGCTGGAGGAAATTAAGAAGCTCGGCGCGTTCTTGAGCAGTTAAGGTGTCGGCGATGGAACTCGAAAAGGTGTCACTCGACGAGCATTCAAGTGGGGAAATGGCATGAAGTTCGGTAGAGGCGCTACTGCACGATTCGTCTGGCATGTTAAAGAATAAAAAAAGAATCAAGGTAATCCACTCGACCGAGACATTCGCCGGCAAGTAGCGTAAGCGGTGCAGGAAGGGGGTTGTGGACGAAAATATTGCTTCGGCCAGCAGTGACGTCAAGTGCAGCGAAAGGCAAAAAAACGGCTCTGCGGCTCATGAAAATGTCGGAAGGTGTAAACATTACCGTAGCATCGTTATAGTCATTGCAGTAAACCGGGACAACGGCAAGAGAGGCTGGCGGAATTTCAGTGTCCTCACGCACGACAAGTTTTGGCGACCGATCAAGGGTTTCGTGCAAAGGTTCGTCACACAGGTGCGAAAATCGAACTTCAGCGCGTGCGCAGTCGATGATGGCATGATGATTTGACAGAAAGTCCCACCCGAGGATAACGTCATGCGAGCACACCGAAAGGACGATGAACTCGACAACGTACATAGAGCCTTGGATAAATATGCGGGCCGTACAGGTGCCGAGAGGTCGAACTGGTTGTGCGCTAGCTGTACGAAGCGATAGTCTAGAGAGCGGCGTGGTCACTTTGCGTAGGGAGCGGCAGAGCTGGGCGGCTATAACAGAAACGGCAGCACCTGTGTCGACGAGGGCAAAGGTAGAAATACCATCGACAGATATGGCGACGACGTTAGCTGGTGAAGTGCGAGGACTTGAGCATTTCGACGACGGCGCAGTTCTTGCCTCTTGAACTGCGGCGTTCAGTTTTCCCGGTTGGAGGAAGCGGGTCTAGGACGCATTGGGGACAGTGATCGCCTGCGAGGAAATGGGGAGCGGGGAGAGTGAATCTGAGGTGAGGGCTGGGGTTACCGAAACTCAGGAAGGTTAGTGTATCCATACTGCGGTGAGGGATAGGGAGCAGGTATGTGCATGGGCTGTGGGTCATACGGTAACGGCCGAGTAGCATCGTGGAGTGGTTGGAAGCGACGGCGACAATATCGTGCCACGTGTCCTGGAGTACCGCAGGCGTAGCAGATCGGTCGATTGTCAGGAGTGCACCAGGAATTGCTGACTTGTGGTGCGGCCCAATGTGTCGAAAAAGGAGCGGAGTGGGGAGCAACTGAAGACATGGGTGGCAAATGCTGCTGGCGGGGTATGCTGCGTACCACCTGGGCATACGTAAGAGGCGCGGCCACGGGCTGCATAGCCGGCCCATGGGAAACAGGCATGGCCACAGGCTGCTGGTGGGCAGCGACGGGAACAGCTTGAGCTACCTCTTCGGCAATAACGTAGCGGAGTGGTGAGGGCAAACGAGAGGACGGCGGCTGCTGCGTGAAGGGAATCAACGACAGTTGCCGAGCTACTTCTTCATGCACAAAGTCTTTAATCTCTTGCAGGGTTGGTGAGTGGTCGGGAACGGAAGTGAGACTGGAGAGCGAGTCGGCGTGTGAGGAAAATGGCCGAGTCAGGGCGCGCTGCTTGCTCAACTCGTCGAAACTTTGACACAAAGTGACAAGTTCCGCAACGGTGACAGGATTACGGGCAAGGAGCAGCTAATATGCACCGTCATTAATCCCTTTGAGGATGTGTTGAATCTTCTCCGACTCGGGCATGGTGGTGTTCACACGGTTGCAAAGACCAATAATGTCTTCGATTTAGCTGGTGAAAGATTCCGTTGGCTTTTGTACGCGAGTCCGCAAGCGTTGTTCGGCTCTGGACTTGCGGACAGCGGGTTGGCCAAAAACGTCAGCAAACAACGTTTTAAAGATGGACCACGTCGTAATGTCGTTTTTGTGGTTGTTATACCACATTTCGGCCACGTCAGTGAGGTAAAAGATGACGTTAGTCAATTTGTCCGCGTCATCCCACTTGTTGTTTGCGCTCACCAGTTCGTAGTTAGCGAACCAGTCTTCCACGTCGGTCTCATCAGCTCCGCTAAAGACCTTCGGCTCTCGCAAACGAAGAACGCCGGGGTTGCTGGGGGATGGAGTGGAAGAGCCAGGTTGCGCGTTGTTAATAGCCATGATGGGAGGTAGCGTTTGGTTGCGCAGCTCCACGTTTAGGCGACGGGGAATGTCAGCACTTCCACCAATTGAAAAAGGGTTTATTGGTGACTGTTCTGACGGTGGTCCTACGATGAAACACGATCGGGAAAGAGCAACGGTCAAGCAGATGCTGGCGATGATCAGCACGAGCACAGTGAGCGAAGCCCAGGACCCAGTACCCAAGCGGAGGCGATGTTGCTTGCCAACGATGCGTTTTCTTCTTCACAGAAGTAACATTTTACAGGAGAATACCTTCATTATAGAGAATGTTCATTTTACTAAAACTGCTGCTTTGGCGATTTGGTTCATGATTAGGATTGATTTACCAGTGCAAAAAAGACAAAGCACCTAAAAAGGAACACACACACACAGCACTGATCTCACAACAAGGCCTTTTTCAAGGCACGCATCGAAGCGACAGAATGACACCATCATGAAAGGAAGTGTGAAGAAACCACTTGACAACTGCATGCCCTAAAAAACAATCAATCAAAGGTAAAGAATTCGCATACCACTAAGTATGCCCCCAACATATGAAAGTTAATTTTACAGTTTCTAATTTAATTGATGTTAGCAAGCAGCACTTTAAGTTTGCTTTGTTACACCAGGACTGGCCACACTGAGGTTAACTTATATGTACTCAAAATGTTTCAATGAATCAGAAGATGCGTGTTGTTCAATAAATATCATAGTACTTGGAAATTTGATAACTGAAACTTTCTAATATTCATTTCTAGTACAATGTACAGGACAAGAATGCTAATAACAACCTACATATAAATTAAAACATATGTGAGTGCTTTAAACAACTACTGTTGTTAATCTAGCTGAACCAGAATCGCTCCAAAAATCCTCAATAATAAAAGGCACCTATGCTGTACGAGAACAGAGGTGTGTTGGCTAGCATGAGAATTGATTAATTGTTTCTGTACAATACCAACTTCCAGTTGCCATATCAATACTTATTCATTAAACTGCCTGTAAATTTGCTACTTAAATTTTTGTGAAACAGGAATAAGTCAATGTGCATCTATCACTAATGTGATACATACTTTTTAGTTCACATGGAACCTATTTCCAATCAAATTTAATTTTTGAAGTTAGTTCCTATTAAAAATTTGTATTTAATTATGTCATTAAATCTCATTAGCCAATTGCTCATGGTGATAACACAAAATTGACAACTAGGCTCAATGAATAAGATCAACCTATCAAAGTCACAACCTTGCAGCTAATTAACTAATTTTCATTGCAACTTTTACCAAACAGTAATATGTCATTGCAACTTTTCAGACACTACTATGGGTATTACAATAAAAACATGACCGTTATTTCATTTGTCTATTGGTCTTATAGAGAAATTAACTCTGGCTTTTTTCTGCAAAAAGAAGATTATTTTCAACTTCTCATAATTTTTCATTACGCACGTAATTTCTAACAGGCTTTCTCTACTAAGCCTGAGAAATACACTTCATACATAGCCGCAAATTACGAAGAAAGAAAGAGCTGCAAATGACGAAGAAAGAAGCAGCAAGCCAGCATCTTTGTATTTGCTCCTTTCTTTTCTGCCATTGTCTTTGTTTGCACTACATTTCTTGAAGAGGTCATGACATGGCCACCCAACAATTGATGGTTTTTGGCAAAAAACAAAGGTAGAGGGTCAAATATGCTTGTACACGTGTTAAAACTGGACTGTAAAAGATTATTTCGGTCCAAAGTATGCTGTAGAAGTCATCGGCTGGGAAGACCACCCACTGCCGGCGACCGCCATTCTGCATGGCGTACGTGCCATCACAAGCTGTGAGGAGCAGTGCCGTCGTCTGCTACCAAACAGCACCTACCACACACGGTCAGTGTGTTCACTGAGTTGCAAGTGTTGCTTGCTGCGTGGTCCACACGTTTCAATGTGTAGCAAGCGTTACCGGTAACAGTGCGATGTCGTCAGCCTTATCATCACCAAAAAATTGGGACAGCAAGTGGTTCATTGAGTAGCAGAAGCGGGGACGACATCGTGTATGCAGCCAATTTTGACTTCGACCCCATCTACACCAGCTCAAGCTACGAAGAAGCGTCGAAGACAGGGCGTACCCAAATGCCAACGACCTCGGTGTTGTGGCAGACGTTGCATATGGCCTTCCGCAACGATGAGTAGCTTTATTTCAAGCATGCCAGATTGACAAGTGAGCTTGAGATACGGGGCCTGTCGATGCTGCATTTGCGAGCAAGTGTTACTTTGCACAGTGGAATTGGTAAAGCGTACAGATATTTGTTTGCTAGCATATGTGCATGCACTACTTTCAGTGCTGAACATGATAAATAAGTGGTCGTAACTATTCTCCACGTTGAGACCCTGGTTGTTTTTCCATCAGTTGTTGCGTGCGGCATGTATAAACATTAACCGAACCAAATCGCATGTCAGTGTGGAGCTATGGTTGCTCATGATATAAATTTCGAACGAATCTTTGCTCAAACTTTGTCGATAGCCATCAGTTCCGGTAAAAACATGGCAAGTGTAACGCTTCACCATGGCACTGCCTGTGAGGAGTTTGAATAAGTATTTATCCGTAGTGGCAAATGGCATACGCATTGTGCATTCACAGATTGACAAAAATTGTTCGCAGCAAGTACCAGCGATACATGGGCGACGCAGTGGCCTTGTTTCAACCACTGCAAGTCATTTAGTTCCAGTGGCAAGCTGAACAATGCAGAGAAAGCTTGATTGCAAGCGCAGCTGACCACGGGACACAATCGTCCTCTGGAATGCAGACCGTGCAGCAGCTCGCCCAGCAAGCGGCTCGTGACGTCATGTCTAGCGAGCGTGCCAATGTTGCCGGACTCCCAGGCCTCTCGCTTGTTTATAAAAATATTGTATTATAAACTAACGGCATAACCAAATACACTGAAATTTCACCAGCTTGTCTGTGAACAAACAAGGATCAACACAACACATATTATGGTCGAAAATTGGGTGTCATAACCCCTTTACGATGAGGTTGCATGAACTCACCAAGTGTCAGTTAGACCAATGGGCTATCTCGCCCAAACTTGCACATGTTTGACATCTCAGTTAAACCGGCCTTCAGACGATCCAAAGGACCTGCAAAACCTACTGGCTTGACGGTATTTTAAACAATGAACAAATTATTTATTTCCCTTTAAAAAACATCAGGTACTCAAAATTACTTTGCAGTCCTTCGACGCAGCATCCCTCATTTACCAGAACATAGCTCTGTATTGCTAAACCTCCTAAGTTAGCAGTATTTCCACTCACTCTCTAACACATTCCAGTGACTCCAGCAGTTCTGTGTGCACCTCCAGCACGGCGGGAAGGTTGCCCATCAGTTGCCGCAGGTCCTGCTCACTTAGCCTGCCCAAAAGAAAACGCATACCACAGTTGATGGGCAGGTCCAGTTGCTGCAACATCACAAGAGACCGTATGGGCAAGCAAGCTAAAGTGGCAAAATCTTGCATCAACATTGGTACAAAGTTGTATTTCAAATAAGCATTCCCTGAATGATACAATAGTCGTGATCACACTTGAAACATCGACATTTCCTCCAAAGTAACCTGCATGCATGCAAACTTCAAGAGTGCTAACAGAACGTGGTTGAACTTGGCCTCCCTCACAGTTACGAGTTTTCTATTAATAAAGAGAAAAACTTGTGATAGTTACAAGTTTTTCAAAAAGCCTGTAACAGTTCTGAATTTTTAATGTAGAAAACTCATACGATCAGCCCAACAAAGGTGTGCCCAGTACCTGACTCATCGTAGTAGCATTCTGAGAATTCAGCTGAGACGCACCAAGAACCTAAACGGCTGAAAATATCTAAGGGCGTTCCTAGCAATTTGCTCCCCCTGACACAGCTCTGTCTTTGTTGTACCACTTGGGTAGAACTTGTGTGTCATTTTGGACAGCAGTACAATCAGGCAAAAGAAGAAATGAAAAGCACTCATTAGCCTACATAGCATTTTTAAAATCATCCTCACATCTGATTACATGAAACGTATGCTAACTAACAGAATCAGTGTGAATGGACAATAATCACCATTTCCTGCATTCTCCTAGAGAAGACAGCACGAGGAAAGTGTCTGTAAAGCGGTGGTTATACTGCTGGGCTAGTGTACTAACAGACGAAGAACTGTGTACCAGCCCAAATCCAAGAATTCCCATTTTTTATTGCGATAGCAATTATATGGACACTCTTGCCTACTTTTTTCCCATTGCCATCATGCCCCGTACGTGTAGAATATGCATGCATATATATATATATATATATATATATATATATATATATATATCCCACGAAGAAAATGATTTGGCCACCGCAGCGCATGTCTTTCAGCACACTAACGACAAGGTAATCAGTTTTGTCTGGTAAGTAAAAAAATATTTCGAACTTGAACCTAGACATAGTAAACCCATATGATATAAAATATCGGTTATAACAAAGTAAATAAAAAAAAACAGACTTGCAATATAGTGTTAGGAATATACCTTTACAACAAATTTTCGGTTACAACGAACTTATTTCTCTGCAAGATGCAACATTGTTATAATGACATTTCAGTGTACACACCATATACCGCTGGTGACACACCAATCTCGGAGGAATATCAGCGCGTTCTCTGCCTTACAACTGATGTGGTGCAAAGTGCCCTCCTGGCGCCTCACTCGTCGAGATGCATTGGCACGTCGACCTGCACTTCACCCTACGCGCGCCGTATTCCCCTTTGCCCGTGCACGCACTTATCTTGTGATGGGGCAGTTTTTACGTTGTGTGATTTCACTGGAAAGATTGCGTTGAGTTAATGTGTTTCTATCACATTCATTGCTTCGAACTTGCGGTGAAACTGTGACCTTTTGTTTTACATCGAAACTTTTTCCTTTTCAAAATAGACTATTTAAGAGCCACACATGAACGTGTTTTTTTTTTTTTTTTTGCAGGCACATTTTGTACTGCTGAGTCAAGGATTTCGCAACAGATTTGGCCAGCAGTCTACACTTTCGAAAGGCTTCACTCCAGCAGGTGCTACAGTGTAGTGCTTATTTAATGACCCTAGGCAGGCTATGTTGTTTTGATTAAGCAAACAAAACTTTGCAATTGCTTCACTGGGTTCCCTTCTAAGTCTAAATAATGGGCTTGTGCGAATAGTGAATTTTAGGTTCGAAGTGAATAGTGATTTTGATCGAATAATTTCGAATCAAATTCGAATGGCATGTATGACATATAAAAGAAGGGAATATTTATCATGACCCAACTAACCTGCAGAATATTTCTTTTGAATTGAAATAGGGGCTTTATGCAAATGCCATTTTTTTATTTCGTTCCAAGGAAGTCGAAACAACCTTGAGTAGTAGTTTCGGTGGGATGCGAGTGATAAAATACTTAACGTTTTAAAATTTAATATACTTGGATCATATAAGCCGTCATAACAAGCTTAATAACATGAAGAATTGATTTAAGGATAACATGTTCTTTCAAAGGGGCCCTGCAACACTTTTTCAAGTAGCCATGGAGCCAGTAAACATGCTTGTTGCCTCACAAATTTACCGTTGCAAAGTTTCTAGAATCAGTCCGGTACGAGCGGAGTTCCAAAAATTTGTTGCACGCTGCAATTGCCATCTCTCTTCGCGTCCCGACGAAATAGCTGGAAGCTACTAAGCAGAGAGGAATGGCACGGCTAAAGAAAATACGTCACACGCACCTCGTGACCTTGAGTACGCCTTCTTTTTTTCTTTTGGTATGCGTGGCTTTTCAGTGCTATCGCATATACTCGTGGACAAGCAGCGGCCCCGGTAACGACGAGCGCGCCATGCTCAAATCAGCCAATGGCTATGACCAGAGCCGTATATTCCTTTTTGGCTAAGACAAGTGGTTTTTGAGCTTGTAGTGTCATTTGCCGAGAGAATAAAGCCATTTTGAGCTCTGAAAATTTATGGTGAATTACAGGCCGCGTGCTGCACAATAACATTTGCCTCGTGTGTTCTCGGTAGCCTCGACTACTGACCGGCAGCGTTTTCTGACCATGCTCAATAAGCGTTGCAGAGCCCCTTTAAATTTGAAGGAGGGCTTCGCGGCAAAGCGAATTTTCTCTGGATAAATGCTTTCATGCACCCCTACATGCAGTAAAACCATCTTTACAGGCGGACTAATATACACTTACTTGTTCATTGCAAATACTTTTAAAATATTCAATAATTTAAAGTCGAATCGGAGCGAATTCAGATACTCAACTATTCGTCCAAATATTCGAAGCACTCGAATATTCGCACAAGCCTACTAAATAACTCTTAAATAAGTGGGTTAACAGCGCAAATTTAGCAATGCAGCCAGATTTTTTTTTTTGATGGGGGGGGGGGGGGGGGGGCTTGTTGAAAGCCATGAAAAACACTTATTTTTATAATGCATCCTGGGTAAAATGCCCCCCTCTATCCAAATTTTGGGGGAGGGGAGACTGCAGCATCCCCCTGGCTACGAGCCTGGAGTACAGAAAGCTATGGGCGCTGTGCTGCCGGGCACTTAAGTCACTGAATCCAGTGAATCACTCACAGGCCAGATTTCTCAAGGGGCTGTAGGTAGCTGCTCATCAAGGTTCTAAGCTCGTGCACATGGCTTGCTTCAGTGTCCAGGATGTCCTTGAACACCTGCATGCAGACAAATAGACGTGATTTTTACCACTTCTAACAACTATGTCACACACACGCACCTTTAGGGACTACTAAAGCCAATAGTTGTTAAAACCTGGCCATTGGCACTACAGCACGGAGGTCACATAGTGGCATATGCAAAGACTGTAGATCTTAAGAAGACATTGATTTCAATTGTTCATTAAAATACGACTGCAGTGCAATGCTGTTTCACCGAACAGTTTACATTAACTGAAGCTTCAAACAGCAGCTGTAAAACTTGTTTCAGGCATTCAGGTTAGGTACACAAAAGCACTAAGTAATGTACTTCATAAAAAAAACTCAGTAAGGTCTTTTCAGTGCTACTGCTCTTTTCACTTTCAAGCATAGAAAATAGCAACAGACTACCTAACACACTGTTAGCCTAAAAAAAAAAAAGGAACAGACAAAAAAACTAGCATGTGCTCCCTACCATGTTTCGATGCCTTGAGCTGAGTGAGTGGTCAAGCGCCCGGACCTGGACTCCAGTAGCCCGAGCCGCATCGCCAGCTTTTGAGAGAAAAGAACATATAATGCTTGTTAATTCCCCTTTGCTCAATTTAGAGATAAATGCCTAATTTTTGTTTGTAAACATCTGTTCTTTTTGGTTATCGTCATTACCTATAGTCACCAATTATTTTTTTCCCTCTCCTCATTCGCTGTGCACAGTATCAGGCACTGTCAAACAACTCTCCTCCATGCCTTATTTTAAGCCATAACAGCTGCATAGACTGTAACTGGCCCCAACATACGCCTAGCTGTTGACACCACTTCATGTTTTTGGCTGTTTTTGGCGTGCAAAAAAAACATGGCCTTTTGAGATAGGCACTTTCTACCGAGAGAGTCATTTTGGACTGCACGAAGTCACTTTGTGGCCACTCGTAAATGCCACAATGTTCTATGAATGATTCAACCAGCATTTATTAAAATACAAATAAAAATTTTTTACCAAACAATCGCACTTAAAATTTGTGTACATGTTGCAGCATTCGAACTGGCCAACATGCAATGCACCATCGAAGCCCGTATATACCCTTGCTTTTACATACCTGGTATCATATACTTTTCAATCAACTTTTGTTGACCTAATTGGGCATGAAGCACAAGTCCATAAATCATATCCTACCTGGACAGGTGCCATTGAAAAGTCGGTCCGACGCATAGGTCGGCGATCTCACTTATGATTCGATTCACTCATACTTGCATCAAGCTGCGAGTCTGAGTCTGAGTGAGTTCACAAGAGTAATATTTTGGTGAATTTGAATCCTGTTCCAAGAAAATTTTAGTAAGTGTGAGTGCGAGTGAGCCCGATTCAGGAAAAGTTTGGCGCGTCTAGCGAGTTTCACTCAAGTTTGCCGACTTACGGTTCTATCTACTGCCTTACTATCTATCTACTGCCTAGATTCATGTTTATACTCACGTCTACTCACAAGTATTCCAAAGCAATATCGTTCATACACATTGCAATATTGATTTATTTATTAGACGAGTAAATTACATAGGGAGGTGCCTCGTACTTCCCCTACACTAATTCTTCCGGGAACTTATTCATTATCTATTTTTTCATGTTGTCATCTCTTTCAATAAAAATGTTCTTGTTGGTTTGCAATTACTCAAAACTCGTATTCGAGGGTACTATATCAACAGTTGCCAAGAAGAGCACCACCGATTGCGTGAGATATTGCTGTTAAAGATCATTGACACCGTACTCTAAACAGCTAATTCCAGACTTACGAGCTCATGAGTCGGCTCACTTGTACTCACTCAGATTCAGATAGAGTTCCGAGTCTGAGCGAGTCCGGGTGAATAATTTTTTTGACGAGTTTGAGTCCGAGTGAGTCCGGTGGAAGAAAATTTTTGTGAGCGTGAGTTCGAGTGAGTCCGGCTCAGAAACATTTTACTGAGTCTGAGTGAGTACTAAGCGCAAAATATATTTCATGACTAAGTCTGAGTGAGCTCCACAATTGTTGTCGACTTACGACTTCACACCATTCAACACCCACCTTGGGGCTTGTGCTCTTTGACATAGTTGCTAGGAAACCAGCCAGTGTTGCCCTGGAGGGTGCCTTCCCACCAGCCTCCATCTAAGGCCTGTGTTACTGTCAGAATGTCACCTTTCTTGAAGCACAGCTAGAAACAAAACAGAAATGGGACACTCTTTGCAGCACTCACTTTCACTTGACTATATGTCACACAAAAGGACATCAAATGGCTCCCTCCTCTATCCCAAAAGTTTTTTCGTAATCTGGTATCTTATTAAAATCGTTCAATGCTGATGCTATGTCCACAATAAGGAAAACTACGCACTGGGGGTGCGATCCAAAAATACCTATAGGCTTGTAGTGATTCAAGCATCTTAACACACATTATGGAAGGACAGAATTGCAGACCTAAATTAATTGACATGTCAGTGCCAAACTCGTTTATATTTGTGGCACAACACGATCAACAAAGAATTCTCTACCTCCATGGAAGAGTAACATGCCTCCTTTTCGTAATTTCAAAGGTGTTATAACTGAAAAAGAAGCTATTTAGTTTGCATTCATATTTTCATTATAAAACAGCTGACAGAGACAAGAACAATGATACAATAGACAAGAACAATAGGCGACCTTTTCTTCTCGCTCTTCAATCTGATATAGGGCCCAGCTAAATCTTAAAATAATATCATTTTCTTTTGCACGCATGAATTTCACTTTTGCATAAAAGTGGTGTCAGGTAAGGTGTAACATGAGACAAAGCTTGCCTGGCTATACACTAATTTTCTTAGCCAGCAAAAGCCCCGCCACGGTGGTCTAGTGGCTAAGGTACTCGGCTGCTGACCCGCAGGTCGCGGGCTCAAATCCCGGCTGTGGCGGCTGCATTTCCGATGGAGGCGTAAATGCTGTAGGCCCGTGTGCTCAGATTCGGGTGCACGTTAAAGAACCCCAGGAGGTCGAAATACCCGGAGCCCTCAACTACGGCGTCTCTCATAATCATATAGTGGTTTTGGGACGTTAAACCCCACATATCAATCAATCAATTAGCCAGCAAAACATTGCATATGCACCATTTGATGAACAATGCAACAGCACTGCATTATTACCACCCTGTTCAGAAGAATAATGTAGTAATTCCAAAACAACTATAACAATAGACTGGTGTATATGGTACAGAGGTTAGTATGTTTGAATTTTTACGACTAGAAATCCGAGACAGCTACTGGCAATTGTATGAGGCAATGAAAGGAAAACAGTTTTGTATGAATTGTATCAAAAGCACATATAAACTATCAAATGTAAAAAAAAATGAAAAGAAAAGTTTTCATGCTTACAGTGTAACACTGTTCTGTTCGTTCCTGTTAAGCACGCACAGATAAGAAACACTGTCTTATTGAGTTCGGACATATACTAGGCGCAAGTGCACAGAGCGTTATTACAAAGCACTCCATAGCCTTAAGAATACAATCTCTGAAGGCAACTTGCAAATGTGTGTATCACCAAACGAGCACCTCCTCCAGAAGAGTGAGGTGACTTAGAAGAGCCAGTTTGGGAAGGCCGAAATTCGAGTTTCTCACCTCGTCATTGTTCTTCCCCTTGAAATTGTGGATTGCACGGACAAGTCTCGGCGCGACGTCTGAAGTCATGTCAGCCGGCGCAGTTCATGACGATCACGACGAATTCCTCTCCCTTCTTGGCCCGCAACGAACGCTGCGCACAAGAACAGTTCACCGCAGCACATTCAACGGTGATGCACTCACTTGTAATCACGGCATTGCCAGTAATAAATAAGCTAGAAGCTGGTATAGGAAACGAAACAGTGTTCTCTAGATTATGAGGAGCTCAAGTCCGGTTTTTCAACTTTTCCGCGGGCATAAATTTCGGTGATATAGCGGCACATGCTCCCACAAAAAGCACTTGCAACGAATGAGGAATGCGGTGACCTATAAAGTGGTGATCCATTAGGCGTGCAAGCTGCGTTTAACACAATGTTTAAACACACCAGACCAATCCCGCGCCCTCCGGAAGGAACGAGAAACAAAACGGCACTTGTATGCGTCACTAGTGATCGAACGTGCAGAAGCTTAACGGCCAGACATCTCAGTGCTGAGGACATTCTTTCGTGTTCTTCGAGATAATCGCACGTCGGCCGCGGTAATGGCGTTTTTTTCGCGCCAGGGTGACCGCTTAAACAGCTTCCCGACGCGTACATCAGGATCAGAAGACCGATGCGCTTCAGTAAACAACGAGGAGTGGCCCTCACATTTCAAGAGACCCGAGCTGTTTCGATCAGTCTTGAGGTGCGCACTGCGTTTTGGCACGTTGTCGCTGCCTCAGACGAGAGTCAGGAATCTGACATTTCGTTATTCGCGGAAGAAACACTGCACACATCACGAAACTTGCAGCGCGCAGCCATTACGGCCATTGCCGATAGTCGATGATGGTCATCTCTACTTGCTGTCGCGAAAAAGTAGAGCTCTCGTTTCATGGTTTCAATAGTTCTGGCAGCAGCGAGTACCATCATCGTGATTCAATCACATTGAAAGAAAATTACGTAGTTGCTGAATACGTGAGACATTGCTTGGAGCCCAGGAGTTATTTTTAAGTAATAACTACTCGAGGACTGGAATGGTATGATATGACAGCATGGCGAACATAAGTGAGAGACCCTGATGTGGAAATCATGACATGCATGCCATGTAAGTCATTACTACACTCCATGTCTTGGTGCGCTCGAGGTCGTTTTGCTAGCTTCAAATAAATTTGGTATTACTGGACGCGAATGAATGACGAAGGTATATGACGGGTGCAAACATGATAATTATGAGACGTGCGTCTTGTAAACCATGACTACATGCCACGTCCAAAGGGCGCTTGCGGTCGTTTCGCTAGCTTCACATATACAAAATTTACATGACACGGATGTCGTTGTTTTTATAATACCACATATCATGTATACATATATGTTCGCCATACAGTCACGTCGCGCAATACCGAATTTGGGGTACATAAAGCTAGCAAAACGGCCGTGAGCGCACCATGAGTGTGACATCTAAATATGTTTTACATAAAATGTACGCCATGATTTTCATGTTATCAGCCGCAATTCATATTCTTCATACAGTGACGTCACCCACTGTCAAATTTGGTGCAACGCAAAGTGGCGAAACCACCACGAGCGCACCATTAGTATGTCATTATGCTATTGTATACACGGCACACTCATGCTTGGATAAAAACGGCGAAAAAATAGAGACAAAAACTAGAGAGGGCATGTTTTACTCCTCGCCGCATGGTCAAGTTCTGCACAGTGTTAAATCTTGTGTTGTTGAGGAGAACGATAAAGCTAAGTTCGTTTACACTTGTGGTGTTTTCTTATTAAGCTTTCTAGAGTTGCTGACGCACTTGCGGTCTATGTTTGTGGAATGGAAAGGGGACATTTATGTCCAAAAATCCGCGGATAACATTATATCTAAGGTGGCACCAATTTAAATTAATATTTTTCTGGGTCAAGTTGGCAGGTTCGTTGCCGAGAACTTGTCCTGCCACATTTTCAGTAAGTTGATTATTATTTTTATTTTTATTAAAGTCGACAGTTAGCATAGCACGATAACTGGTGTATTAAACATTTTTAAGGGCTCTGGTCATGGGCCAAGGTTCACCTGCTATAGCCACTGGAGAAAAAGGCTCGAGAGCTTCAGTTTCTAAACATTAGACCACGCTTTGACGAGGAACATCTGTGTTGGCTGTTCAGGCCCCAATCCGCAAGGGGTGTCCTGCCATTTACTTCAGGCCATTCTAATATAAGTCAAGTCGGGCATGACATATGCGCTCTAGAAAACGTGCACGCATGAGATGAAAGAAAGTTTCCTGAGTGGTTGAAAGGCTGAAATCGGCGAGCTACTGTGATACAGAAATCTTGAGGGGCTTTCAAAAGCTAATCAATCTGATCAAAGACGTAAATAATACGCGTATAGTGAACAGAGCGCATGCGCAATTAAAATAATTAAGCCACCAGTAGTGGTTCCCTAAGTGTATAAGTTTTCCTATAGCTTGAAAAATGTGGCCAGTATGTATAGGGTACGTGTTGTGATGTGAGCCCCCCAAAACATGCCCTACTCCCGCTTTGCTCCCGCTTGCACAAAAGTTCGGGTTCACACATTCAAGACCTGCTCGTTCTGTCCGGAGAGAAAAAAAGGATACCGGTAGTTGAATTGTAAATCATGTGTCGTTTATAAGCTATCATTATCATGCAGTGTGTGTGTTTGGGGGGGGGGGGGGTTATATAGGACAAACCGGGTGGTGCGTCAATGTTATAGTCTAAGGGAACATTTGACTTTTTTGACGACTTCTGGTAGTTTGCATGCACTTGTCCAGCTCATTGCAGGGAGTGTGGCTACATTCCAAGCCAATGGCGGAGAAAAACACTTTGTAGTGGAGCATATGCACCAACGCGTATGCGCCTTCGGAAGACAACGAAAAGCCCGTGCTCTGATTGCGCGAGAACCTGTGCCGCCTTTGCCAGACTTGCTGTTCGCCCATTTTCCGTCGTGACCTCGTTGCGACTCCTCTGTTCTAATAAACATCATCGCATTTGGTGGAGGCTGCTGAGATCCCTAAGCAGACCTGGAGCTCCGCTCTCGCAAGTTGGCCGAAAGACTACCGTACAACATGACTAACGCAGTCGCCAACCAGCCCATCCCAGCACAGCCAGCACCATCGGCTGCCCCGTCGACCTGCCACGGTGCTACCCGTCAGTGGGACCCACCAATCTTCAGCGGCAGTGGTGAGCAAGACGTCGAAGACTGGCTCTCCTTGTACGAACGCGTGAGTGCCAGCAACAAATGGGACAACGACTCTAAGCTTGCCTATGTCATCTTTTACTTGGCTGACGTCGCCAAGCTATGGTTCACCAACCGCGAAACCGCCATCGCCAGCTGGTCCACCTTCAAGACCCTCGTGACCGAAGCGTTCGGCCGACCAGAGGTCCGCAAGCTCCGCGCTGACCAGCGTCTGCGCCACCGAGCCCAGCAACCTGGTGAGACCTTTACTAGCTATATTGAGGATGTGCTCGACCTCTGCAGGCGTGTTAACTCATCCATGCCTGAAGAAGAGAAAATTCGACATATTCTCAAAGGCATCGAGGATGGCGCATTCCAGATGTTGCTGGCGAAGAGCCCGACCACGGTGGCAGTCCTCGTAAGCCTGTGCCAGAGCTTCGATGAATTGCGTCGTCAGCGTTCCATCGCCCGTCAGAGTGTCCCATCACCAGATTCGATCTCGGCCGTCGCACTCGCCAATGGCAACGTTCACCAAGGAACCCTGTCGAACCAGATTAAAGACTTCATCAGGGAGGAAGTCGCCCGACAGCTTTCCCTGCTGCCGCATAGTGACGCGCCCACGACAAGCCTCCCTTCGAATATGCAGCAGGCCATACGCACTGAAATTTGCAATGCACTCCCTACAGTGCCGGCCTCTTACCCGTGCACTTCGGTGCCATCTGATCTCTCAACTGCTGGCTACGCACCAACTGCGCCGCCTTCACCTCTCAGCTACGCAGCTGTGGTCGCGCGGCCCCCACCGCATCCAGTCGCCTTATCGGCTCCACCTCCTCCGGCCTCGCCTCCAGTCTACAGGCCCCCACCTCGCTTTTTTCCGTCCATCTAATGAGTGGCGCACCCGAGACAATCGTCCCATCTGCTTCGCGTGTGGCATCGCTGGCCACATTGCACGCTTCTGCCGCCGCCGTCCCACGCCTGCGCACGCATACTTCGGAGCTCCTACCTACGCACCGCAGCAGACCACCACGTCTGCATATGAACAGAGGCACTCCGACTCGGATCGCCACCCATCGACTGCTCGTTTCCCATCACCTCGTCGCCGATCGCCATCACCTATGCGTCGTCGACCACCTCTTGAGGAGGGAAACTAATCAGTGCAGTTCCGGAGGCAAGAACTGCAACTTGTGCGCAATTCCCAAGGCCTCCATTTTCGCCGCAAAATGTTGTTGATGTCGATGTTGAGGGAGTCGCCACATTAGCGTTAATTGATACCGGGGCCGCCGTTTCTGTGATGAACGCAAACTTTTGTAGGAAACTGAAGAAAGTGACCACATCTCTCAGTGGCTTGGTGCTGTCCACGGCTAGCGCGCAACGCATTCATCCCTCGGCTGTGTGTACGGCGCGCGTCGTCATCCGAGACGTTTTGTACGTCGTACAGTTTTTTGTTCTACCATCTTGCTCTCATGACCTTATCCTGGGTTGGGATTTCTTATCACGTCATGAAGCTATCATCGATTGTTCCCGTGCCGAAGTGTCGACGTCCCTTGTGCCAACATGTGAATTTCCACCACCCAACCGCTCTCCTCTGCTCTGCAAAGTCATCGCTGATGACGACATCACCTTGCCTCCTGAAGCTTCGGTCCCTATTAGCCTTTCATGTCTGGCGCAACGCAACCTGACGGCACGGTGATGTTTACGCCATCTCCGGTTTTTACTGAACGCAAGGGCATCGTTCTCCCATTTGCTGTTCTTACAATTGCGTCTGGTTTAACCGTAATGCTGGTCACCAACCACTGCAACTACCCCATTGGCTTACTTCGTGGTGAAACGTTAGGATATGTGCAACCTGTCGACCATATCGATGATATTATTCTTCCCGATGAAACGCCATGTCACATTGCTGCAATCACTCATGCGTCTGAGCCATCAAGTTCGTCAGCCTTCAACAATGCTATTAACGCAGACCTTCCCCTCTGGCATCGCCGCCAACTTGTTGCTCTCCTTAACAAGTTTCGTTCTTTTTTCGACTTTCAAGAACCTGCTTTGGGCCGCACCACCACTATCGCTCATACTATTGACACCGGCTCACATTCGCCTCTGCGACAGCGTCCTTACCGCGTTTCCGCCGAAGAGCGCCGCGTCATTACGGAGCAAGTAGATGACATGCTTAAACGTGGAGTCATACAGCCTTCTCAAAGCGCTTGGTCATCACCTGTGGTTCTGGTCAAGAAAAAAGATGGCACCGTACGATTTTGCGTGGACTATCGCCGCTTAAACAATATTACGAAAAAAGATGTCTACCCGCTACCACGAATAGACGATGCTCTTGACTGTTTACAAGGCGCCGAGTACTTTACATCTTTGGATCTGCGTTGTGGGTATTGGCAGGTGCCAATGGCTGAATGTGATCGCCCTAAAACAGCCTTTGTAACGCCGGATGGCCTATATGAGTTCAAAGTCATGCCATTTGGGCTCTGCAACGCGCCTGCCACATTTGAGCGCATGATCGACACCATCTTGCGTGCCCACAAGTGGAAAACCTGCTTATGTTACCTGGACGACATCGTAGTCTTTTCATCTGATTTCCCGACACATCTTGCTCGCCTCCACGAGATTCTGACGTGTCTAACTTCTGCAGGCCTACAACTTAACTCCAA